TTCCTGTCCTCACTGAAACACTATCTATGTCATTCAAGAATGTTAATGACTTATTTCAAATGGAGCTCTCTGTCTCCTCAGACTTACTTCCCCAGAGTGTGGTGGTTTGTGTTCAAGCTATAAAAACTACTTCTCTTTTCTAAAAACAGATTCGTCGAGTCTCTTTTGCAAATCCAATTTATCAAGAAGGACTGGCAGATGACATAGATAGAAGAAGCCCTGTCATTAGGTCTCATTCTTCACCATCTTCCCGAAGTCTTAAAATCTTATCTAATATTCAGGCCAAGGTAAATTGTACTCACAGTTCTTGTCATTGGTAGTGTTGCCTTAGTGTGTGTTGCAATTGTAAGAGCAGGGAATCAGTATGGGTAAGAAACCTTGCTGATGTAAGGTTTAGCTGTAACTGGTTTAGCATGATTCTTTCTGTTACTCTCTGAAGACAAGTGCACTCTGAGGTCTAGATAGCTAGGATCTTACAATTAACTGAATTCCTGCGATCCTGAGAGATGTTTTTTCCTCTTTTTCTATCCAGCATATTACCACTCCAACCAAAGGATTTCTGTCCCCAGGATCTCGTAACCCTAAATTTAAGAGCTCAAAGAAGTGTTTAGTAAGATGTGCTTTGGTTCATGTATTCTTCTATTTTTTCCTATATTCAGTTGTGTGATAGCCAATTTAATATTTTTTCTGTATTATTCAAGATCACAGAAATGACGAAGGAGTCACTGCCTGGCCCCATGGAACGCATGTATCCTGCCTTAGTTGGCTGCAAAGCACCAGTGGATGTAATTTTACCTCAGCTTACATCAAATATATGGTAAGTGGATTGTTGCTTTTGAAGATGACAGTTTAATAGAAACAGAATTCTTACCAAACCTACAAAGCCAAATTTTCTGATGAAAAAAGTGGTAACTTGGAGACATCTTTTTGCCAGGGTTTTTTTGAAGGAGAGAGGTTATTTTTGTGGAGGAGAGACTTAACTGTTTTGGAATTATTCAAGTCATCTTTTTTGTAAGAATATGAAAAGCTCACACCCAGGAACACCAGGAGCTTTCTCCTCTTCACATGACAGAGCAGATCCATCTTAGTGATTATCTGCAGCAAAGCAGTTGGAGTTTTCTGTGTCCTGAAGGAGAAGCAAGATTTTGGAAAAAGCCCTACGTTTCAAATGCAGAAATGCTGGGTGCTCAGCTAGTTCGGGCTCCAGTCTGAATTTTGGTAACTTATCATGACAAACTATAGACATGCAGTGGGAGTTGCTCAGAACGGCTGTGGCTAGTGTGTTCAGCTCCTTTCCACTCCTGTTAAATGCGAGTCGGCTTTAGAATGCTAGTCACTGATGGATGTAGGATAAACTGCAGAAGGGTGTGCTTCTGCAGCCAGAACATCATTTGCATCTCAGTTTTTCCTTCACTTATGTGCATGTGAACCAGCATTCATGTAAGATTCCTTTCTGCCCCACCATGCCAGGCAGAAAGAACTTGAATTCTAGATAATAATCCATTTTTCCTTCTACCCTGCTGCAGTGCCAGAGGCTTGGGGCAGCTTATTCGAGCAAAGAACATTAAGACAGTGGGTGATCTGAGTACTTTGACAGCATCAGAAATCAAAACTCTTCCCATCCGCTCTCCGAAAATTTCCAATGTTAAAAGAGCTCTAAAAGGCTATCACGAGCAACAGGTAAAGTTTAATTTTAGTACACAAAAAGCAAGTATTGGCCTAATGAACTGCTAACATCCATCATGAGGAATAACAGACTTTTTCTCCCATTAGAAATAGCACTTTAAAACGTTAACCTCTACCTGTCACAGTCACCTGTGAATTTAAGGTACAGAAGACTTGGCTACAATATTAATAGGAATAATGATTGTATTTATTATGAGGTTAAAACATGCCCCACCGTGTATTCTTTGTTTTTTTTTCCCTTGAAAATGCATTTTTTGTTCTTTCCCAAAAATTCTTCAGGTAAAATCTCGAGGATTTGAGGAAATGGCAGTTCTTGAAGACACAGAAAAGGCCATAAATAATGTAGAAGATAAATCTCTTTCTGTAGATGAAGAAAAACTTGCAACAGGTACATATTGCCAGGTTTTGCTTAGGATTGGGGTGTTTCCCGCTGTATTGCTGCTTTCATTCTCCTAATGGGAACACTTGATTTTTTTTTTTTACTGTTACAGATATTAGCGCCTTAGATGGGTGTTTAAGGTAGCCACTTCATGACATACTGTAGCAACGGCGTTTTAAAGCCTGTTACATATCTTGAGGGAAGGATGCTGGTTTTCCCTAAATAAGCTTGCATGAGCAATGAGAAGAACAAGTTAGTCAGGGCTCTAAGTACTTAAGTTTCGGAATCCAGCATGTTCTGTCCTGAGCTGTTTAATGGTGTAGTAACTGCTATGCTTCTGGACATGCACAAAAACAAGCAAGATGACGTAGTTCTGTGGCCCCTCATCTGGAGGGTGCGGAAGAAGAGGTGGTTAATTCCCTGAATACCCAGTTTGGATTTGGTTGCCTAGCTTTTCATTTGAATTCTCCCATGCATTTTTGGAGTTTGGCCTGGTAGCTCAGAGGAACCCACATTTGTGCTTCCTACAAGACAGCTGAACCATTTGTTTACCTAGAAAACAGAACTGATCAGTAGCTTCTCAGCTGCCCAATTTCAGAGTTGGCCCTTGGGATGACTCGTCTGGCACTGGCAGTATCTGAATCAAATACTTTCATGTCTATCCTTAGTTTTATTGTACAAAGGGTAAAGAAGGGTAGCATGGAGTCCTGAGGGCTGCTTCTGTCAGAAGCCCTTGTGTGGGACAAATACTTTATAGACTGCTTGAATATATTATTTAGTACAAAAGAAGCTGTAACATAACTCTGCCTAGGTTTAAATGCAGACAGGCAGACTGCCCTGCCCTGCTGTCCTTCCTTTTCAGATTTGATTGAACCCATTGTCGTGAATACAAATGACCATCCCGCAGCAGATCTGATGAGCCAGATTGATGCACTTGCTGCTCAGCTGAGCACTGAAGACCTTCACAGCTATTCAGGCAGCCAGCTTTTTGAGATGCAAGAAAAACTTGTTGGCATGACAAACTGTATAATGAAGAATCTGCAGTCTCGCTGGAAGTCACCACCCCATGAAAGTTCGGATTAGGTGCTTATCATTCCTAAATAAGGAGGGTCTTGTTACAGTTTTGCCCAAACCCTTCTTCTCTTACTGGTGAATTATTTCCTAAACTGTGTATTTTGTACTATAAAAGATTTTTTAACATCTATGTCAGAAAAATATATCATGTTGGGGTTTTTTTTTTCCTTTTTTTTGGTGGGTGTTTTGTTCTGCTTTTAGGGTTTTTTGGGGTTTTCTTCTCGTTGTTGTAATTTGTGGGATTGCTTATTCCCTATTAGAAGTATTTGTATTGTGTTGCTATGCATATTTCTTTCAGGTAGCGAAAGAAAACTCGACAAAGTTGTGCAATAGCAAAGACTGTGAAACCAAACCAACAGAGTAGTTATTTTTTTCAAATCTGAAGTGTTCTTACTGCTGCGGACTCATAGTACTTGGTTAAGAGGTTGATCTCATAACTCCATTCACCTGCTATCCCTCTTGCCTTCCTCTGAAGCTGTAGAAACCCTGACAGCAGCAATCTCTGAGCCCACTGTTTTGTATAGAGATAATATGTGCTTAATTCCATACCCCAGCAACAGCCCAGGAGCCTGGTATTGACAGCCAGGGGACATCTATTTTTGCATGTATTTTTCTAAGAATCACACTAAGAAGCTGGTAATGAAATGTGCCCTTACAGGCAAGAGACTTTGCAGAATCTCTCAGGCTTTTCCCCACATTCTTTGTTTGCAGCAGTTCTCCTTCTGTAGAGAAGACTTTCCTTTGGAAATGGATGCATTTGGCAAGATCTCTTTGTATATTGTGTACAGACTTACAGCAAATGTTGGTTAATAATTTATGATGTTGAGTTTTAATTGCATGGAATGCATTGCTGCTTCTCAGAGACCTTCAGAGTTCTCAGTTTTTACTCTGGAAATCTAATTTGTATATACTGTTCTGTAGCTACCAAAATGAATGTTTATTGAAAGGAATTGCTGCAACTGGTTTTAGAACTTACACATGGGCAAATAAAAGAGCAGATAGTTCCCAAACTTGTTAAGGGCATGTTTCTGATTTGTTGTTTTTTCCCTTCACTGTGTCTAAACATTGTCCTCCCTGAGCATTGCTTTGGATCCACAAGCTGGGAGAGCTGAACTGCTGCCTTAAGGTAGGAGCAGGTCCTTGGGGACCTGTCAGTGTCTTGTCATCAGAACATTCTTTGCCCTGTTCATGCACCTCATGAAGACAGCAAATAGACAGAGAGGTGCCTTGCGGCTGTGACATGAACAGTGCCAGAGACAAGTTGTCAGCAGGTTCTCTTGCTTTCTTGAAAATGTTATTTTGGTTCCAGCTCTGTCTCCTCAGGCTTGTTCAACTCTAGTGCTCAGTGCTGTGCACGGATAACGATGTGCCTAACGTATCTCAAAAGGGTGTTAACAAAACATCTTTGTTTAACTAACAAGCTTCCTTCAGCACTGGTGGCAATCCTGAATCCCACATCAAGGAAGGACGTTTCCCTTTCAAGATGGTTGCATATACCATGACAAGCCATGAACTCCCTTTGAACTCTGAATTCCTCAGAGTTCATGTTGCAGTTCCTTCTACTGCTGTCCTGTTCTTAATCTTAAGTCTATCCTGGACACAGTATACAGTGATTTCTTACTTCCTTCTTTCTTGGCAACCAGCTGGCACCAGCTGCTTTAGGAGAGGAAGCCAATAACCATTGTGTTCTTGTATGATATGATACAACTTGTCTGGCTTCATCCAGAGACCCTCAGTTTCTTGTGGCTGTTGCATCCTCCACCACCTCCTGGGTTCTTTCCCTTAACAGTTTTCTGAACAAAGCCAGTTTGCTATGAGATTGATTCCCACTCTACAGCATGAATGAATAAAGCACGCACACTGCAGAAATGTTAGCTTTATTTAGGCACTAATTTACACGTAATAACAGCTTTTGACCCCAGAACAGTTGCATGAAAATCACATGCCCAAGAGCTCAGCAAGCAGGGAGAGGCTTTCAGGTTGGGGTTTGGTTCCCCCCCCTAATCCCAGATAAATGTTGGTTTGAGATACTAAGCTTAAATATTGCTTATATGTAAAAGAAGTGAATAAATTCAAACATTTTAGAATAGCTCCAGAAAATAGCTCTCTTTCTAGAGAATGAATAGAGTAATATTTGGTTATCTTAGTTATAAGTACATGTGGAAAACTGGAGACACTGAGTTGGATTGTGTTCTGGCATAGTTAAATGCATGATGGTGTGTGTGGTGCTTGAAAGATCCAGGCAATATTTTAGAAATGTAGTTGTGGGGTTTTTGGCATTGGAAGAAATACTGTTATGAGCAATGCCTGGTAGTGTGCTTACAGGTAATTTTCAAATACGTTTTGGAAGGATATTTCAAGAGTGTTTTTGCTCTGCAGTTACTTCTTTCCCCCCACACAGTTCATAAGGCGCTATCAACATGGAAGACATTAAGGCACTTTGGAGAAAGCATTACAAACCCTTTCATAAGGCTCCTGTCTTGAGCAGAGCCAGTGAGTCCGTGCCATGCTGATGCACTTTATGGGAAGATAATGGGTGGGTTTAGACAGCTTCTACGTAGTTGGCTGGCAGCATGCCAGTTTTGCCTGTTCTCTGGACGGTGCCATACATCCAGCCTTCATCAATGGATTGTACATTTACAATTGTGTCACCATCTTTGAAGGAAACCTCATCAGAATCGGCTGCCATATAGTCATACATGGCCCGGTAGGTCTTCTGTCAGGTGAAAGGGAGTGGAAAAGAGGGCAAAAAAAGGAGATACGTTTATAGTCCTGCTGTCAGCACTGGTGGACATTGTTGGTGAGAAAATGTAAAAGCAGGCTAAGGGCAAGTTATGCTTCAACTTATTTCAGTACTCTAACAGTATTTCTGATGGCAGCATCTGCCTGGCCTAAATCTCCTGTCTTCAGATCACAAAACATTTCTTCTCAATAGCTAAATAAATACCTTAATTACCCAGGTCTCACAGTACCTTGGGTTACAGCCTTTGTGTTTTGGCAGCACTGAGGCAGAACAACGTATTTGTAATGTGTTTGAGCAGCTATTGGCTCCAGGTGGCTCCAGCCATAACTTTTAAGTTGTTGCCTCCCAGCAGATCTTGGGGGGAGACAACGCTATACCTATCTTCATACAGCTACTCCAAGACTCAATCTCAGGAGTAGGAAGAAGTGTTAAAGTTTTCAAGAACAGGGGAGGGTCTATCCCACTCCAATGACTTTACACCTTCACTGGGGTTTGTACCAAGCTTTGGCCCAGTGAGTAGGCTGGGGCCAACTTGGTCTTGGAAGCATGGTCTGAAGCATGATGTGGAGAATACGGCATCAGCTCTTGAAGACCTCCAGGGCTGTGCGCTTTTGGCAGGTACTTGTATGAACTTCTGCAGTAAGCCAGGAATGTGTGTCTTAATACAACCGAACAGGGTTACTTACCCCAGCAGTAGATGGGTGAGAGGGAACGGATGATACTGTTGTTTGCTGGGTAGCAACTGATGATGACCGTTGTTGTGGTAACTCTATGGTTTTAGCTTGCTTGTAGCCCACTACAAAAGGAAAATACAGTTTGTATTTTTTATTACACATTTGGCAACAAGGTCAGAGTGGCTCTGAATAAAGACCATGGGTGGGTCATTAGGTGGGTCAAATCTGAAACACAATTTTGCAGCTGTTGGTTGTTTCCATAGCTCCACATTTTGCAGGTGTACTTCCGTGCTGTTTCCTGGCTAAAGGAATACTCAACATGAGCCAATGCCCAGCATTTACTATGTGTCCCCATAGGGCAGTAAGGAAGTGGCAAGTTTGTTCTCCTACCTGTTGTAGTGGCAAACAGGCCCCCGCTGCTGTAGTAGGATAAATGCTGATCTACACCATCTGAGGGTTCAGACTTCTCATCGCCACCACTGAGGCTCAAGGCACTGGCAGAGCGGGAATGCTCCCGGCTTCGGCGCTGGGCTTGGACTGCAAGGAGGAAGCAGGGGGAACCGATTTGCATCTTCGTTTTGTAAGGAGATGCACACATAAAAATACATGTGGATATAAATATGTACATGCATGCACACACACGCATATGCATAGGTTATTTTGTATATACACACATGCATGTTCTGTAAAAATAACTAAAGCTCTCCACTGTTACTGCCAAAGTTGTGCTTAGAGTAGAAAACTGACGCGGGCCCAAACACACGCTAAGCAGGATTGGTTAGTGTATTGTACAAAGTTCATGGAAAACAGCATCTGAGTTAATCACAGTATTTTTATGGTTACTCAGTGTTTGCCATTCTAAAAGTCTTCTATGGGCAACATGCTGAAGTTCTACTCAGAAAGGCAGTTATGTCCCTGTTAATATTCAGGGTTTGGTGTTTTTTTTTTTCTCCCACCTCCTTCCCTTTAGTGGTAGCTACTTCCAGAATTTTTATTTCAATTATCCCATGCTTTCCTTATCAGTTGACAGAGCTGAGCCATGCCCAAGACTGTGGTTTCTACCATTCAGGATGCACTTCAAATAATTAGCAAGAAAGGAGCTTAAACAAACCAAAAAGGTAACTGAGGAACAGTATTCTTAGTTATTTAAAAAGGAAGCACATGTTACAGGTAAGCCACTGTATCATGCTATCTGTGGATCAAACATCCCTCTCCATGCCTGTGTTAGATCACTTATATATAAGATTAACATAGTTTTTGAGAAATAAGCTATATTAAACAGCTAGCTGCATTCATGGAGCTAGCACAAATATATGTATACTGGTGAGGAGGAGCTATAGACAATTTCTCCTCTAGTTAACATTAATTCTCACAAGAACTGTGTCCCTCTATAACATTTGAAATCTTGTCTCTGTTTAAGTCAGCACACAACACTACACTTGCGTTCTTGCACAGGTGGAGCGTGAGCCTGTACTTCAGCGTCACCAAGCTGTCAGCTTTACTTGGTCGGATTTGCATAAGTACAAAACCTATTTTGCACAAACAGTACTACAGCATATGGAACAAACCAGAGATCATATGTAAGCTTCTGGACTGAATATTGTCTTCTGCTGGGTCATAGTCAAAGACTGACCCCGGATTAGTGCGCCACACACGAAGACCTGCAAAAAAAAGGGCATCTTCTGAGGAGACGCTGTAGCTCAAGCAGCTTTCAGAACTTGAGCAGCACATTCGTCCCGAAGAGGAGTAAAAGCATATCAGAAAAGGGCAAGCAGTATATGTCATCATAAGTCTCAAACCTATAGCACAGATTATTTTTAATTGATTTATTACATCATCTACATCACTGAGGTATTTCTCTAGTATGCATGGTGATGGAAACAAAAAACATAAGTAAGAGATGTAAATCCAGCATTACTTTAATAAATTTGGGCAGAATGGGACAGGCAGATGACAGAAAATTTACAGCTGCTATTTTTGCAATGAACTGATAAAAACATCATCTCCAACTAATGATAAGTTTGATTTGGTGCGGCTGATCTTAAATGCTACCACTCATCCAGGTCAGCTTGTGTTTTGTGTAAATGAAGTACCTGAATTGTTATAAAACCTAGGTTCTGCTTACCTGTGAGAGTCTCTTGATCCTGGTCCACGCGCTTTCGCTCCATTTCCACTACTCGCCGTTGGATGCCCCTGTAGCTAATGTCACTGAAGTCCTGCATGTTCTTCTTCACGCGTTCTGTAATGGGGTCGGTAACTACAGGTGTGAAACTACCTTTGCTTTTCTCAAACTCTTCATGGTATTTCACCTGCAATTTAAAATGAAGTGTCTGTTCTCTGTAGCTTAGATGAGTAGTTTTTATTCCTGCTCACCTCAGGTAAATTTCTAGTAGAGAGGTGCACTGTTGTTTAGAACTTTTGTTTTCTCCAATCCAGGAACAATGAGAGAGCCTAACCCCAAACACCCCTCTCCTGCAGTCACTGTTTAGCACTTAATCTACTTGGGTAACTAGGCTTGATATATGTACATTGTGCTCAGGCTGCCAACCCCAGAATGTCTCAGCAAAAAGGTTATATTCTTATTTACATCACTTGCCAAGTTAGAATACATCTATAAATGGTCTTACTGTAGAGATGTTTTTCTGGGTCTCTCGCACCCGCCGCATCTCAGGTGTATCCAGTACATATGCGGCTTTGCCTTGTACTTGTTTTCGGAAACTGTCTGAATAAAGAACCTGCCAAATGAGAAAAAGGAAGTGAGAACAAGGCACCAGACTACTTCTGCGTCATGAGGAATGAGCTGTACTGAAGCAACCTCACAAAGAAGGGGCAGGGGAAAGCAGCAGGATCTATACTGGTGTATAACATTAGAATGCAAAACAAAATTATTCTTCAGAATTACAAGAGATATGGACAGCTCTGGCCTTGATGCCAAACATTCCTTTTTTTAATTAGAAGAGCCTTGTCTTTTTAACCTTGTAAGAACAGGTAGAGGTAATAATGCAGTAATAGTGGTCCAGGTACTTTTTTCATATATTTGACCTGCACCTCACTGGCTTCAGTAAAGTTATCAGTGGGGAACACACAACATAATTAGACCTGCATTTTTCACTGATATGCCACAATTTTTACTGGGTTTGCAGGGTTTCTTTTTTTGAGTTAACAACAGTCACATCATACTTCTTTACACATCTGCAGATACTTTATTACTGGATTTATCAAGCCATGACAAAATTAAAGGCCAGGCTGGATGGAGCTTTGCGCAGCCAGGTCTAGTGGAAGGTGTCCCTGCCCATGGCAGGGGATTGAAACTACATGGTCTTTAAGGTTCTTTCCAACCCAAGCCATCCTATGATCTTATGTATATAAACATTTACAATGGGGTATTTCAGGATTTGCCTCTGGAGTAACAGGTTAGTAAAATAGGGCCTAAAGGCCAATTTCCAGATTCATCATGTTTTAATACATAACATCAGCAGTCTAACATAGCATACTGTTACTGAAGAGCAATCATTTTATATGCCATGCAATGCAAGACAGTAAAACCAGAACATATTTGCAAGACTTGAAGGTAACATAGGTTATTTGAATTTCAACTGTTGTTTAAAAATACCCTCCAAACTAAAGCAGCTAATCAATCACACAGAAAGACTTGCTCAGATGCTGTAGAAAGTAAAAGGCAAGCATTAAATGATTTTATTTTAGAATGGTTACTTCATGCTTCCAAACTAGGTAGCTAGGTAGTTATGTTAACATCTGCATTGTTGATCTGAGTAAGGATTTCAAGGATTGAAATGTTACTTTAAAAAATATTGTCATATATTGACTGAATAGAACATACTGAGCTGATGTTTTCCTGGTTGCGTTTAGCTCTCTCCATCTCTGGAGTCATTGGTGTTGGAGTTCCTTTTGCCAGATGTTCCTTGTACAAAACCTAGAGTGTGCAAAAAGGTGTCCACAAATCAGACTGGAGTAAGTCATACCTCATTCTGTAAACGGTGTTATTAAGCATACTCATCACTGCAGGGATAGAAAAGATCTTGGGAAATAAAGCATCTAAAAAAGTTATTTGCTAGAGCAAAAGGTAAAAACCAAAGGGAAAAATAGGCAAAAGTGAGGAAAACTGAGAAAATAAGGCTAAGTTAGAAGTGGAGGTTTTGTTCAGAGTGGTTATTTTTAATATAAGGTGCTTGTCTGTCTTCTTTCAATACCGAGCTAATCTGTTCTTGATTGCGTTTGACTCTCTCCATCTCTGGAGTAACCGGAGTGGGGGTTGCCTTCCCTAAGCCTTCTTTGTATACAACCTACAGAGCACAAAGTAACTCAAAGTCACAAATGTACAAATTAAAAGCTGTAACATTATCGGGTTTAGAGTAAACACCATCCATTATGACAGAAAAAAAATAAAAGGGTCATAGGAAAAATAGTATTAAAAAGTTAATTCACAAAATTTGCTTAAATACTATGATTTTAAGAAGTGACTTTCTATGCTTGAGGGAAGAAAACTAGAGGGTTGGTTAAAACCAGGCAGACTTAAGTTATTTAGAAAAAAAAAGTGCTCTATCATATCCTTTTTTACATCTTTCAGACAATACCGAGCTAATGTGTTCTTGATTGCGTTTGACTCTCTCCATCTCTGGAGTCAGAGGGGTGGGGGTTGCTCTCCCCAGGTTTTCTTTGTACAACACCTGTGGGATACAGAAGATGTATCCAGTGTCTCAACCCTGCACACACACACACACACAATCAAAAGGATTTGAACACGAATTATTACTTTGTTATCAAAGTTCAAAAACGTCACAACTGATTATGATACACAGCACTGCACAAAAGGCAAACATCTACTGCTGGAAAGAAGGGTAAGAAAAATAAACTGTAAAAGGAAAGCTTATTATTTTTTTGGTTAACAAAGACAGGCTCTATCCAGCTATAACTGTGACAATGGCCTGGGAAAGCTGCCCATGGACCTAGAGAACTAGTAAAGAAATGCTTTATCTGATGTTTTGCCTGTATTTGAAGCAATCTGTGACCTTTTGGGAGGGAGTCTTCTTGTCACACTTACATTGGGCAGACAAATACAGAAGGGTGTTGAGGATGGGTGTCTGGTATCGCTGCACCATTACACCTACCTATCTCCCCCAAACACAAGGCCACCTAAAAGCCCTTGCTGATACACCACCCAGAACAGGAACAGCCTTGTTCCTTTTGTGTCATTCTGTTCAAGGCATCCAAAGTCACATGTCAGAGCAATGCAGTCTCACATGGCTCTGAGACATGGGGTTTCAGGGTGGAGTATTGGTTTCCTGTTAGTCTGTGTTTGCTAAAGTCAAATATCCCTGAAAATCCAATGAAAGCTCAAACACTGCGCATAGACAGGTCAACCTGAGTATCTTCAACAAAGGCTGCTAAGCTTCTAATATTGTCTGGATAGAGCCCACAGGTACATAAACTGCGTTGCAGAAAAGGCCTAAATTGCTGGATCAAACTGTTAACACTAAAGTAATTTTGTTTTAGGAGAGGAGCAATTAAATGGCAGAAAGAAATATACCTATTTTTAAATTAGAATCAATCTTCAGTAGATAGTTAGCGTGTTACTTTATTAAGATGTAAGCATGAAGATAAAAAAAAGAAATATATCTCTTTTAAGGTACCGAGCTAATGATTTCTTGGTTCCGTTTCACTCTCTCCATCTCTGGAGTGATTGGTGTTGGGGTCACTTTCCCCACATTTTCTTTGTACAAAACCTACAGGATACAAGGGAGTATCCAAATGTAATTTAAAAGGTACCATCACAAAAAAAAAAAAAAACATACCAAAACCACCCAAACCCCAAAACTAAAATAAGACCAAACCAACATACAACATGGCTTTTGAATCATTACACTTAGAAAGGGTTAGGCTTGGGGCATAATGCTTCTCCCGAGAGAAACAATGGGAGCTTTGCCATCAATCCACTTGAATGCAGAAGTGGACCCTGCACGGAATCAACACTGTGTACATGTAGTAAGAAAGGGTTAAAAAATTGTGCACAGAGATTATATCCGTCAAAAAGAAAAAAAAAAGGCAAACCTAGTTCTAGTAAAATCCTGCTTCAGACAGTGTTAAATAGAAGACATGATTAAAAAGAAGGTATCACTTGTTTGTAAGCACAGAAGGTAGGAGGTTTATGCTACACGACAGATTTGTCTTCTGAAGTTAGAAAGCACAGCTTACTAAACGCTGCAGTTACAATGTTAAACACGTCATTCACATCCTTAGGAACTGGTTTCCTGTTAAAAATACCGAGCTAATGATTTCTTGATTGCGTTTAACTCTTTCCATCTCGGGGGTGACAGGTGTTGGGGTTGCTTTCCCTATGTTCTCTTTATACAACACCTATGAGACATAAGAGAGGAGCCAAAGAAAGCAACAATAAATAAAAAGCTATCCATAGAAAAAATTCAAGCCCAAGGCATTTTTTTCTTGTATTTATTTTCTCAGGACCTATGTAGTGCATATATTTTTAAAGAAGGTACTTAGCAGTATTTTGCTAGAGAAGTAGGGTTTGGCATACTGGGTTTTTAACATAAGATCACTCATATACCTCTGTAAGTATATATATACACACACTCGTATAAGTACTGCATAAATGAGACGACAGAAATACCATATGGAGTGGTTGAGGATTCTATGAACATGTAAATTACAATTTTTCTTTTTAAAAGAATGTCAGCACTGCAGAGAAAATGAGTGGAGCTTGTTAAGTGATTTTAGGATTAGAACAGGACATTACAATCACTCTTGGGAAACAAAAACCCTTAACAAGTTAAAGTCACCACCGTAAACCACACAAGATGTGAGTAAGAAGTAAGCACTTCCGTAAGCTGCTTTAGAGCTATGGCTGACATTATTCTGGAACTAGCATTACAGCGTCCATTTATTAAAACTGTTAAAATGTTCTTTTAAATAGAGTTAAAGGGAACTTCTTTTTCTTAGCAAAGTACCGAGCTACAGATTTCTTGATTGCGTTTGACCCTCTCCATCTCTGGAGTGATAGGAGTGGGGGTCCCAGTCCCCACGCTCTCTTTGTACAACACCTGTGTAGCAACAAGAAGCATCCAAGAACATAATCACAACTCAATAACAATTACATCCAACATGAAGTCAAATATTTGAATCTGTGGTAGCTCAGTCTGCTCTAACGCGTTCCAAAGCTACCCCTGAAAGCATTGAAGGCTGGATTGCACCTTGAGGGTCTGGAGGCAAAAAGATCTATGGTTTTATCCTAGCAGATGCCACAAGTCCAACACAAAAGCCTCTTAACATCAAACACATATTCATGGCAGAGGTGAGCTTTTGGCCACCACTGAAGCCTGCCAGAAAGTCAGACAACCCCCCTTCTGTCTATAACAAGGTTAAAAAAGGAAAATTATGGGATTTAAGAAAACAAACAAACAAAAAAAAACACATAAAAAAGAAAAGTTGGAAGAGGGAGCAAAATGGTTAAAAATACTTAGGATAATGTAAATAATCACATATATAATAAAGTGGTAAGTCAGTAACATTGGAAAATATAGTATAGGGAAGAAGAAAGGATATTTTATGAGTTGATTAAATGGAAGTAAGGAGTGGAATTGTTCATTTTTAATAAATGTTAAAAAGTTCCATTTAAGTGGAGTTAAAGGGAATCTACTTTTCCTCCACAAAATACCGAGCTAATGTGTTCTTGATTGCGTTTGACTCTCTCAAGCTCAGGAGTGACAGGTATTGGGGTTCCTGTCCCCAGATCCTCTTTGTACAATACCTGTGGAGTAACACGGCTGTATTAAAAAACAAAAAGTGGAACAAGCAAACGACAATAACAGGCAGCTTGTGAGAAAACCAACCGAATGTTTTTCAAAGTTGCTCCCAGCCAAAGCTTGGAATAAAAGAGAAAAATTAAAATGCTTTTCAACACTATATAGCTAAATGCTAACACTCCGCAATGCCTTTTGGCCGGAAGCTAGAATACCTTCTCTCTTTGCTTCTCAGGAGCTATACACAAAAACTCTCTGTGTAACAGTAGACAGCAAAGACCTCCTAAAGGCAGAAATTATCAAATGCAACACAAAAGGAACAACGTAATCAATTCTCTTTCGTTTACTCATTCCATAAACATCACAGCAGGTGACACTAGTGTGTGTATTAGAGCACTGTTATACTGAGGTCACAGCCATGGATTTGTATTGGGCACAGAACTGTTTAGCTCTCACATAGAAAGTAAGTCAAATCAGGGAAAAAGAACCAAAACAGCATCAAACAAAACAAAAGTAAGGATTGTTGGGATTAAGAAAAGAAAACCGCGTATTTTTAAGAAGAAAAAAATTATAATCAGGCTGAAAAGAAAGGTAGAATTAAAAGTTATTAAGAGGATGTAATAAAAAAAGGAACAAGAAAGATGTAAGTAACAATTACGGAGGAAAAAAAATCTCAAAGGGACCAGGATATTATTTTTGGTGTAAGTTGATTATAGGAGAAAGAAAAAAAAATTTTTGTGTGTTAAAATGATTTTTAAATAGATTAAAAGGGAATTTTCTGCTTTTCAAATTAAAAAATACCGAGCTAATGTGTTCTTGATTGCGTTTGACTCTTTCAATCTCAGGAGTGACAGGTGTTGGGGTTCCTGTCCCCAGATCCTCTTTGTACAACACCTGCGGAGCAACACGGCTGCATTAAAAAAAGGATCAAGCAAACCACAGTACCACTCTGTTTGCTGAGAGAACACACAGAACATGAGAGATGCTTTTCTGAGATGCCCAGAATAAATACAGGGATTACAAAAATCCATAAAAATAATAAACTAGTTTAAAACTCTGAAGACAGACTTGCACACTGATAAATCAGTATGACTTCTACTAGAATGCTAGAATACCTTCCTGACTGAAGTGCTTCTCAAGGTGGACATTTAAAACTGGTGAATAATTGGAAGACTGAAGTCTTATATAGATTATAATGAAGTATATTATCATCTCTTCCCCAGCAGTGAGGTAAAACTTTTCCTAACTGTACTTGAGCCATTGGAGAACCAGGTGGCAGCACCTTCCTAGAAGCTTTTCTGTACACATATGCACCCACCCCTCAACAAAGAGTCATCCACTCCCTGAGTGAAAACAGTACTCGTCATCCAGTTTATCATCAAAGAATCTAGCTTGCTTATTACAGGAAGGATACAGAGACACGATCATAATAAAGGTATATGTGTGAAAATAGTACCTTAGAAATCATAATCGCTACTGCTCTCCTATCATTCATGACACTTTTCTCACTCAGACAAACAGACTGATGTTACTAATTCATTTTTTTTACCCTGCAAACCTGTGCTCCCAACATATCTAGAGCAGTTTACAGCAGACACAGATTTGGGGCACTCTCTCTGTGCAACAACATGAATAACTCAAGAAAAGAAGGCAGCATCAAATACAATGCAGAAGGAATAAAGGCATCAATTGCATTTCATTTACCCATTCCATAAGCATCAGCGCAGGTTACACTGGCATGTATCAGAGCACTGTTATCCTGAGGTCATGTCCACAGATTTGTATCAGGCAATAAATAGTTTAGTTTTATATGTAGTAAAACCAGGGTGGGGAAAAACCCAACAACCAAGGATTGAAGTGATCAACAAAAGGAAAAGCAGATATTAAAAAGAAATAAATATGTTCAGAGTAAAAAGGAAGATGGAAAAATGGAATCTAAAAGTTATTAGTAAGATGATCTAATCAAAACAAAGTCAACAACTACAGAGGAAAAAAAAGTCAAAACATGGGGAACAGGGTATTCTTTCTTGTGTAAATAGATTACAGGGAAATACAAGAGGGGCTGGGGTTTTTTGGTGAATTAAAATTATTTGCAAATAGATTAAAAGGGAAAATGCTGCTTTTCAAATTAAAAAAAATACCGAGCTAAAGTTCTCTTGATTGCGTTTGACTCTTTCAATCTCAGGAGTGACAGGTGTTGGGGTTCCTGTCCCCACATCCTCTTTGTACAACACCTGCAGGATAACATGGGAGTTCAAATAAAGTTAAGTCCAAAAAATCCCCACTGCACTTGACGAAGGTATCACACATCATTTTTATGCCAACTTAATATACCAGAAAGCAGGAAAAATTAGGAAGTATAAACCAGTTAATAAGTATGGTAAATTTAGAGGAAGTCTTCTCATAGCTAGAAACACTGGATCCTAATCCTTAGATATGCTTCCGCAGAATAAGAAAGCATTAGAGGAATGGAATTAAGCGAATAAAAACCCAGTAATTTTAAAAATGCAAAATGCCTTAAGCTTCACCAAAAAAAAAAAAAAAAAAGCTTTAAAAATTAAAGGACATGAAGTATCAAGTGTTATAATAAAAATATATTTAAAAATAAGTATATAAAATACAATGACTAAAATATATAACAGCAGAAAGGGGATGTTTCTACGTTTATAGGTTAATTGGAGGAAGTAGAAAATCCACAAGTGTTAAATAGTTACAGGGAACTTTTTTTTTTCCTTAAATGAGGAAAAAAATACCGAGCTAAAGTTTTCTTGGTTGCGTTTGACCCTTTCCATCTCAGGAGTGACAGGTACTGGGGTTCCAATGCCTAGCCCCTCTTTGTACAACACCTGTGCCACAACAGGGAGTATTAAAAAACAACACAAAAAACACAACCAAAAAAAAAGGAAGGAAAGGAAAGGAAAGGAAAGGAAAGGAAAGGAAAGGAAAGGAAAGGAAAGGAAAGGAAAGGAAAGGAAAGGAAAGGAAAGGAAAGGAAAGGAAAGGAAAGGAAAGGAAAGGAAAGGAAAGGAAAGGAAAGGAAAGGAAAGGAAAGGAAAGGAAAGGAAAGGAAAGGAAAGGAAAGGTAGGAAAGAGAGAGAAGACAAGTAATTTAATATAGTGAAACTTCAAAATATGAAAAATAGAGCTTTGTCAGCCCTGTTCAAAGGCTAGCAAAAAACCTCGATGAAAATAATCTGCTAATATTACTGTGAAGTTTGTTGTTATCTCACCTGGGGGCACACGAATGCCAGCAAGAACTGCAGGAGTGTTCTCTTACCTGAAAACTCACTTGCAAAGGAGTTTTTTTACTCAAACAAAGATCTGGCAGAAGCAGCTTTGCCTCTAAGACTTCTAAATAAGTTCACAGAGGGCTGTCATGACCTCAGAGACAATTAATGTAGCAAAACACTTAACAACAGTGGCTTGTCTGAACTCTCCTATTAATTTCAACTCAGGATGAATTTCCTATCTGTCATGACTGAATTGGGTTACAGTGAGCCAAATTGACTTGCAAGTCACTCTAATTGAAACAGAAATATAGAACAAAATAATGACATAATGGTCACTTGATTGGAATATGTTAGGAGTAAAAACAGTCTGGATAGAATTCATTACTACAGTGGTCTTTTCTTATATATGCTTTAGTCTTCTTTTTTTTCATACTGCAGTGATATGACGATGCCACCCAGGTTTTCTTACAAAGCACCCACCCCAGCAAAACCAGGAAAAGAGACAGCACACACAAGTTACATTAGGTTGCTTTGCTTCAGGAAGGGTTAAGAGTTCATTTTTTGTTTGCAGTGCACCCAGTGTGGGGAGTCTGAAGACTGTTAGAAGGATTGACTTTGTTATTGAAGAGGAGAATGATATCACTCAGACTATTACTATTTCACTGGGAAGAAAAATAAGGTACTGCTTAACTGCTTTAAGTAAACAAGGTTAAGATCTCACAGCTGGTACAATCTAATGACCATTAAGTTAGATAGAGTGAAAAAATATAAGGATATTGACAGAGGTTTAGTGATTTGATTAAAAAAAGGGTTGTTCAAAGTTCAACAAATAATTGAAAGAAAAATGTAATACAGAGGCGTTAAAGGGATTTGATTTGCATTGGAAATGGTAGGGTTTGTTTTATTGAGCAATACCGAGCTAATGTTCTCTTGATTACGTTTGACTCTCTCCATCTCTGGAGTAACCGATGTTGAGATGCCAGTCCCTAAGCCCTCTTTGTATAACACCTGTGAGGTACAAGAAAGTTTCCACAAAAAAAGAAAAAGAAAAAACCAAACAAAACCCCAAAACCACTCAACATAGGCAAACCCATTAAATCTGACTATTTTGTGAGTTATGTTTAGCATTAGGGTCACTTCTTAGTTAATTCACACTTGTTCTAGAGGCAAATATTAAGGAAGAGGCTGATGGCTGGTTATTCTATAAATATATGACTACAGACAGTAGAAGATAAAGGGTTAAGAAAAACAAACATGGAGAAAAACACCGTGCTAATTTCACAGCTACTTCCAGGTTGGTTCTTAAAAGAAACATGTAAAGTTGTAAATCATCAAAAAAAAGTTCAAACACAAACAGGTGGAATATAAAGGAGTTAAAAATGTTGCCAAGGAGAAGACAGAAGAAGGGTGAGATTCCAACCCACTGAAGGAAAACAGATTGTATGTTAGGGTGTTATGCAAAAATAAGGTGTTATGATTTTTTTAAATACCGAGCTAATGTGTTCTTGATTGCGTTTGACTCTCTCTATTTCTGGAGTGACAGGTGTTGGGATACCTGTCCCTAGGTCCTCTTTGTACAACACCTGCAGAACACAAGCACCCAGCAAGGTGAGAAGATCACATTCCTGCCATATCAACTATAGTATATTTGGACAGATAATTTACCTGGTTTACAGGTAAATAATAATCTGGGATTATACATAAATATATGCACAATTTGTTTTACTCAGTATGCATCTTTATAAGCACAGCCAACAGCTCAGCAAAGAACTTAACGTCTGTGTTCAATGCCTGAACCCACTGAAGTCAATGGAATACTTCATTTCAGTAGGACACAAGTTTAAATCTTTCACTAACCTGGCATGAAAGGTAGATAGGCTCTTCCTTCCATTTTAGTTTAGGAATGTAACAGTATTACTTTTCAGGCACTCAGCATTAATGGAAGCTATTTTTATGGTGTTAACAAACAGCTGAACCCTTTATAGTTGTGTTTAATACAAAAATACTCTGCAGTGGGCTCTATTTCTTTTTGCTTTTTGTGACTGCTTGTTTCAAACAGTATTTATTTTACTTCAGTCTATGTCTCTAGCAAGAAAAACAATAGAGTTTTAGCTGTCATATTATTAGGTTTATTTTGCAATTGTTTGATTAAAAAAAAAGTGCATTTTTCATTAAAAGAGTCACATAGGCAATGCTAAAAAAAAAGTTAACAAAAACCAAAACCAAAGAGAAAAAAACCCGGAAGAACACTGTTTGTTGTCATTAAACAATGAAAAAATATGAAAATAAAGCAATCACAGCATGAGAAAAAAAATATGTAAAAGGTTCAAAAAATGAAGAATCATTTGAAAAAACAATTGTGCAGAAGTACCAATAATTGTAAGACCATATCCTGACTCAATTCTGTATGCAGAGATCAAAGTAAAGCAGGCCTAGTGCCAGATGAGGAAAGCATGTTGTGCTTTGAAATCCACACTCCCCTAGGTAAGGGAAGAGCCAGTACTGCTTTCACTTACAATGGTCACTAGGGTTTTGTGACTACAAAAAAGGTTCCCATTATTTTTTCCACAAAGTTCTGTCTAGCTGATCCATTTTTTCAGACTAATTGTAAGACATCTGGGTATTTTTGTTTCTAGTTCTGTGTTTAGAAAAGGTCAGAAAAGTAATACAGGAAATGGCTGATTGTAATGATTCCTGCAAAAATTCAAGTATTTAAACTATCTGCTGCTGAATATAGGGATTTAAGAGATCTGTTCTCTTTTCAACAAAAAAATACCCACAAACACTACCAAAAGCTGGAGCTTGAGCTCTCCATGAGTATATAGGTTAATAGAAAATATCGGTTATTACCGAACTGATGTGCTTCTGTGTCTCCTTGACACGCTTCACTTCTGGAAGATCAGGAATCGGAGTTCCTTTCCCAATACTCTCCTTGTATTTAACCTGCAAAGGCAAAGACATTAGAAAAAGGTAAAAGGATTTAGATTAAAGGACAGCTGACACATGTATGAGTAACAAGTTACATGAATAAAGAAACTTAAGTCTTTTACACTGAAACTCATTCAGATCTCAGGTACTAAATGTATTTCGATAGAAAGAAGTAATCAAGGAACCTTCTATTCCAGTTATCTAATAGGTAACTCTGCCACACCTCTACAAAGCACTTTAACAACCACTAGCGTAAAAAAGCAGCATCTTGTTTGAGGCAGGATTTTTCAACTGAAGCTTAAAACTTGGGTATCTGTCTCCCAGGAGCTTCATTTCAGCAAGAACCACCCCCCTGATCTAAACCAACTGAACCATTTCAAGATTTCTTACACAGAGTTCCAAAAAACTGTGATATTAAAAATTTAAAATAATTTCTGGAAATTTTAGCATAATGACATTGAAAAGAGCACCTAAATGCACATGTGGATACATAAAGAGCATTATACTGATCTCATGAAGACTGAGAATTTAAAAGACCTCCTCGGCTTCAAGATGAGCAGTGCGGCTTCCCATCGTCTTTACAAGCCATCTGTGAGAAGGCAATGTTAGCTGCTGACAAGAGGTCACTGTGAAGAGCTCTTCACTAAAAGAGTTTTCTAACACCAGATGTAAATAACTTTGCACCTGATACCATTTGGTCTTTCTACCTTCAACAAAGGCAAGAGTCATCATACAAGATTTTAACAACTACAGTGCATTTCTACTTCAGCATAACAACAACAACAACAACAAAAGAATAATATTTCACAAGAACTTTAGCATGAAGCAAATTGGTTGAAATGTTAGTACCTTTTATAATAAAATGATGCCAGCATTCAAAAAAACATGAAAAAGATTTACAAGTTTTGAAAGAAAAGTAATACATACAATTATTCCAACTGTAGTGTGCTACAATTTTTTATAGAGTATGAAAGTTTTCCAAGACATACTTTAGTAAGGCTCTTGACACTGTTTGCCTGGCATCTTCATAGACAAGCTAACAATGAATGGGTTAGAAATAAGTGCAAATTGGCTGAACAGCCAGGTCCAGAGCATTTTGACCAGTGGCTCACGTGCCAGTGGTAGGCAAGTCACCAATGGTGTACCCCAGGGGTCAGTACTGGGGCCAATAGTGTTTAACATCCTCACGAGAGACCTGAATGCCCAGAGTGCACCCAGAGCAAGTTTGAAAATGACACCAAGCTGGGAGGATTGGCTGATGCATCCAAGGGTTGTGGTGCCACTCAGAGGGACTTCAACAGGCTGGAGAAATGGGCTGAGAGGCATCTTGTGAAGTTCAGTGGGGGGAAATGCAAAGTCCTGCAATGGGGGAAGAATAGCCCCAGGCTGGGGTACATGCTGAGGGCTAACTGCCTGGGAAGTAGCTTTGCAGAGAAGGACCTTGGAAACCTGACAGAGAACTAGCTGACCATAAGAAAGCAACGTACCCTCATGGCAAAGGCCTACAGCATCCTTGGCTGCATTAAGACAGGCACTGCCAGCAGGTTAACAGAGCGGATCCTTCCCCTTTACTCAGCAATGGTGAGGCCACATCTGGAATTCTGTCTCCAGTTCTGGGCTTGCCAGTACAAGAAAGACTTAATGGAGCAAGTGCAGCGCGGGGCTACAAAGATGAGTAAGAGACAGGAGCATCTTTGATATGGGAAAAGGCTTAGAGGGCTGGGACTCTTCAGCCTGAAGAAGAGTATGTGCAGGGGGAACTTACCAATGTGTATAACACTACACATTACAAGGGCTTGTAGGGATAGGACAAGGAGGAATGGCTTTAAACTGAAAAAGGGTAGACTTAGATTAGATCTTAGGAAGAAGTTCTTTTCTATGTAGGTGGTGAGGCACTGGCACAGGCTGCCCAGAGAAGCTGTGCCTGCTCCATCCCTGGCAGTGTTCAAGGCCAGGTTGGAAAAGGCTTTGAGCAACATGGTCTAGTGGAAGGTGTTCCTGCCTATGGCAGGGGGGTTGGAACTAGATGATCTTTAAAATCACTTCCAGCTGAAACCATTCTGTGGTGATTCTATGAAATACCTAGTGAGAAGGAATGAAGAAGAGAGAGCTACTTTTCCTGGAAGTGTTCAGTGACAGGACAAGAGGTAATAGGCACAAATTAAAGAATGGAAAATTCAGTCCAAACACAGGAAAACACTTCTTTACTGTGAGGGTGGTCAGTCACTGGAACAGGTTGCCCAGAGAGGTTGTGGAGTCTTCATCCTTCGAGACAGTCAAAACTCAAATGGACGTGGTCCTAGACAACCTTCTCTAGCTGATTCTTCTTGAAGGGTTTTGAGTAGATGATCTTAAGAGTCACTTCAAACCTAAATAATTCTTTGATTCTGTGCTGAATATACTATGTTTGGGATGAGACTAAAACCATGCCAAGAGCTTTCAACTTTTAGAAATGAATTGTAAGTAACAAATTAAATGTTAATCATCAGAAAGATTACTGTTTAAGTAACAAGAATAGGGAAAAACTTTTAGAAAGTATCCCTTAGCTGGATGGATTATTGCCAAACTACTGTTAGCAGCATTTAAAGAAATAAGGGGGGGAAGGGGAGAATATATTATTTCAAGTTGAATTAGCACTGGTAGAGTATTAAAAATCAATTCTTTTGTACCGAGCTGATTGCATCCTGGGTTCGCTTAACTCTCTGCATCTCTGGTGTCTTTTCAATAGTTGTTCCAGTTCCAATATCTTCTTTATATAAAATCTTAATATTTAGAATGAAGACAACAAGGTTAAGCGCACAAAACACAATGTTCTTTCTAACAGCACATGAATACAGGCTCATGACAGTGATTCAAACACAACAGTGCAGACCGTTAAGCCAACTTGGAGCCTCATCTTTAGTTACTGCCTTACTACCTATCTGAAGACTGTCTTACTATACTACTGCCCTTTGCGCAAAAAGGGGTTGATCATTTATATTTGTAGTGCATTTTCAAGTAGAATATCAAAATATTTGTAGGCTAATTTTAGGACTGAAGACTAGTATTTGCTCTATTTTTTTCCTTTTCTAATTTGCTTTAGTATGTTTTACCCAAATGTCTTCCACTTAGTTATTCACTATGCTAATGGAGCTAGTGGCAAAACAATACAGCAGACTTCAAGCACTTCATTCTAACACATGAAATGTAAAACAGGCCAGGCAGACAGCTCACTTATCACTGAAAGAAGACAGCTGCCACACAAGAATACAGTACTCGCATGGTAACAGGACAAAAGAAAGGTGGATACTAGTAATATCAGTTTAAATACAGGATTGACTGTTTAACTATATCACAGCTATGAATATGTGAATATGCGCAATCAGGGCACTCTACAAAAAACAGCAGTTAAAAAGGGGTAGCAAACCCCAGCTAAATCTACTTAAAATATGATTAGTTTTGTTTGAAAAAGTTCTTATAAGCATTCAAGCTGATCAAGAACATAAATACCTGTAAGGTAAGAGCCAAAAATAGCTAATTTATTAAGTACATTAAACTGTACTTTTTGGAATGAGAACTGAAAACAGAAGGTAACTATACCGAGCTGAAATTCTTCTGGTTTTCTTTCACACGCAGCATTTCTGGTGTGTCTTGTACAACTGTAACTTTTCCTTTACTGTTCTGTAGGTCCCACTGGTACTGAAGCTGTTGAAAAAGTTAAAATAAAATGTCAAATGTTGACTCCATGCCATAAAAACTTACAGAGTTTTCTTTGAAGATGAGGAAAAAAAAGTACACCTTATAAGGTCATTTTAACACCACCATTAGTGGTACTACAGTTAAAAGTATTCTCATTTAAATTAGCAGTAGCAGATCCTTAACTGAAAAATCTTGAAAGGTGCCAGACTGTATCTAAACTAATTAAGTCTCAACAATGGAAATCAAAGATTTCAACTCAGGTCGTGGAGTTCTATTACTGACCACAGAGTCTGGGAGGTAGCCCGACTGACAACAAAGGACAAGTTCTGTAAGCATAATTCTCTATCACTTGCAAAGGAATTATCAGAGGCTGCAGCAGAAAGTTTTCTTCAAAACTGTTAACAGAATCATTTTGGTTCCCTTTGTAACGCATATGTGGGGTGCTGCATACACAACAGACCCTCTAATTGAAGATTCCTGAAAATATGAAGCAGCCTAGTTGGGATTACAGTGTGATATCGGGACCTTATTAAATAATAAAAAAAAAAAAAGGCAGAATATTTTTCACTATTTGACAGTAACAGTCGTTTTTTATTTATATACATACTGTGCTAAAGTTCTTCTGATTCTCACGGACTCTCTGTATTTCTGGTGTGTCTGCTACAGGCACATAGTAAGGCATGCTCTTTTCTGCATCTTCTTTATACTTTTTCTGATGGTAAATACAAAATACATTCCATTAATACAAAAATACTAATAAACAATCTGGCATTACTTATTGTTGCATAATGTCCATCTTTATGGAAATGTGAGTACTTCTGTGTCTGATACAAATTCAGATTATGCCTCTGTGTAAGATTTATTTTAAACATTAAGTTACTAAGGAGTATGAAAATTAAGCTAAATCTACTTAGAACAAAATTAGCTTTGGTATTGCAAAAGCAATATAAATTACTGTTTCATTTTATACAGTACTAAAATAAATTATTTTTATTATCAAAATGGAATTCTAGAGTAAGAGATGTCATATCACATCACCAGAAATCTGTTTTCTGGTGCATCTCCTGAACATCGGGACAGGTAGTCATTCAAGTGCTCCAAATCAGTATCCCCTCAAGGTTCTCACATGAACAATGATTAAATTGCTTCATTCAAGATACCTGGCTTGAAAGGTTCTTGACCTGCTGGGCATGAATAATCTCCGGAGTATCGACAACACTGGTGTAATTGGCTTTCTCCATTTCTGCCAATTGTTTGTATTTGATCTGTTGGGGAAAGATCAGATTTAGGTGCCTTTATCATATTTTGGCAACAATTTTCATTTGGCTTAATCAGAAAAAAGCTGTTAATAAATTTTCCTTTAAAAAAGTCATCAGATATGATACATGCAGTATTCACACAGACCTGGCTGGCAATGTCAGTGGCATTCTTTGCTCTCACAAAATCTGGTGTCTCCAAAGCCAGTTCTGTCAGACCTTTTCCTCTGATTTCTAATTCCAAGGCTTTTTTGTACTCTTTCTGCAGATGACGACAGTAAACAGATACCTTGTCAATATGAACACAATACCTTTAGCACCTCAGCTAGTTTCATGGCCACACAAAAACCAGGAATACTACTAATATAAACTCACAATTAAACACATAAATGATGTCACTAAAGTGTCTTAAAATCTTGGGAACAAACAGCCCCCTCCAGCAGTAAATGGCGCACACTACAGGTCAGCTGTATTAAGGTCACTCTTCCAACACCAGTAATCTCAAAGTGTGATTTCCTTTAGGTGACCAGCAATTCATGCAAAACTGTAACTTGAACAGAGAGGAAGCAACAGAGAATGAGCAGTGTATGAAATGCATGTAGTAGTGAAGAGTGGTCCCAGATGTTTCAAACTGAGCATGTCGAAAAAGATGCAAGGTGTCAGGATTCTCTGTGACATTTGGGGCCCTTTGGAATGGATACCCTCCCTAAAAACTCAGTGCTGTAGCAGCCACCCTTCCCAAAGAGATCTTCCAGTAAGGTCTAAAAGATTTATACTGTATAGATTGATATAATTCATACTGGACAGGGTGCTGAGACATCTAGTCTACGTCAAGCTTGCCTAGAAAGGTTGGACTAGATTATGTTTGAGGTCCCTTCCAGCATAGTATTCTACAATTCTATGATTAATATCTATGAATTTAGCTGAATTCATATTCATATTATTCATTTAAATTCATTATTCATATTTCTGCTGAATTTAGCTGAATACATCTGTAATATTCTGGTAACAAAATACATGCTCCTTGAATAACTCAAAACCTCTGCACTACTGAGTACAAACTGCTGTTGTAAGGATGTTTGTCTTCAAAGTATTTTGTTAAGAAGCAAAATCAGAAGTCACACTAAAAAGTTACTTTTTTTCACCTTTCAGGCTGATGATGTTAAGGCTCCTAAACTTATCCCATGAAGGCAATCACCCTGAAATACTTATTATACCAGTCCAACATACAAATAAAGCCGCTGTTAGGTCTGCATCCTGACTGCTGGCCACCTTTGTCCGTCTTAGTGGGGAAGACTGCCTCAGCCATCTGCCCAGCAGCTGCCAACTGGGCATCAATCCTGGGCAGGGGGAACAGCTCATGATCAGAGCTGGTGTTTCTGACACACTCATCAAGCATAAAGCATGATAAAAAACGGCTCTTTGCTGCCCAGCATACCTCCCAAAGCAGGAGCATACCAGTCTGGTTCTGTCATTGTAGTCCTTTTCTGATCTCTCACTTTTGCTTCTTGTTTCCACAGCCCTGGTCCTTAGTTTCTAATCCTTGGTTAAGTGCTCCTGACCCAAGATGCTTAAGTTTACACAACTGACAAACTGACACCTCTGATTCTTATGCTTAGCCCTGCTGCATCACAGCACTGGCTTTGTCCATCCCTTGACAATAGATCATAGCACCCGTTTCCCACCTATATTCCTGATAGTAACTACAAAGCTAAAAAAGAACTCACGTAAAAGTTCAGGCTCACAGCTTTATCCTTAGTCACCCACACACTTTTTCTTCCTCCCCCCCCCCCCCCCCAAGAGTTTCTAGGGAATTATAAAGTTCATACTGGTGTTACACAGCCATAAGCATTTGTCAGTTGGAGGTTATTACGTCCATTCAGTTATTTTCTAAATAGCTTTTGGCATACCTCGTTCAGGATTTGAGTTGCATTCTTTGCTCTTAGCATGTCTGGAGTCTCCTCTAAAGAGGTTAGTCCTTTGCCTTTGACACCTTCCTCCAGATCCTTCCTGTACTCTTTCTGCAGAAGAAAGAACAAGAAAACTGCAAAACCAGACCAAAAAGAGTTCTATATTTCACAACTTTGTTGCAAAAAAAAAAAAATCAGCAAACAAACAAACAAACCAAAACCACCAAAAATTTCAAATGAAAAAATAATGTTTGAAACAACGAAGAATATCACATAGGGTTATATAACAACTACTACAACAGAATAGAGTGTGGTAATTATTGTTCAAGATTGCAAAGGCGCACACACATATACACCCTCTCATGTAACAGTTAAGACTGATGTATGCCAGAAAGGATGCAGTAAATACAAATACAGTTACTGAACAGTAACAAATTAGATCACAGAATATATGGAATCATGCTTAATGTGAATGGTTAGGAAAAAGAAAGCAGTGAAGAACTGCTTAGTGGAATTATTTAACTTGACAGAGGAAATAAGCACAGAGTAACTGCTACCTCGCTTGCTATTTTGGTTGCGTATTTGACGTGTAATAAGGATGGTGTAACCTCCAAGCCAGTAAGGTTTCTGCCCTTAATGTTCTCTTCAAAGTCCTTCTTATATTCTTTCTAATAAGAGTAAAAAAAACCAAAACAAAAAAACCACACAAAACCCCAAATTGCAAATATTTCTTACATTATTTTTAATTACACAAAAAACTACTGGGAGGATGGAGCAGTAGTTCTGTATTAATGTCACAGTCAATGCCATGGGCATGTAGAGCAAATAAATCCTGTTTCCACTAAAGCCAATGAACCAGCTCATGACTTTCAATGGAAATACGATCTGACCCTGCTTTTTTTTTTAATCTTTTTCTACTTAGTTGTACATGCCGAGAAAATGTTCAGTGGAAACACCCCAACATAATGACTTTTGGCTGTATACAATTGTATACAACTGTTTTTCAGCACGTACAAGCCTTCACCTGTGACAGAGCAAGATTACAAACAGAAAAGAACTGCTTGAGGAAATAGAATTACAAGTCAGTGAAAAACACTATGACACCAGAGACAAAGAGGAAATAAATAGGTTTCTTAAAGATAGACTTCTGAGGTGAAAAAAATAACCAGGGTACTTTCTGTGGACTATGACGAGAACTGACACACATACTGTTGTTGCAAATTTTAAGTGAAATGAATTTCATATGACATTTCTTCTAAAGACACGAAGACTTGCTTAAGCTTCATTTACTGAGAGCTTCTTGATGAAAAATTACAGATGATACACACTTCAGCACAACATGGGACAGCTTCATGGATTTTGAATGTAGTATTTCTTAACCAATAGAAAGAAACGTGATACAGCTATATTTTTTTCAGTCTATGAGCATGCACAAGATGCAAGGATAATTGCGTAAGTCACTGTAAAAGTTCAACCAGGAAAAAAAAATAAATGTAAAGTTTTTTAGTCTGTAGGTATTGATTTTAACCATACCTCACTCTGCATGAGCTGAGATTCCTTTGCAGTAAGGTATGTTGGTGTTTCAAAGTCCAACATAGGTTTTCCTTTTTCCTTCTCATACTTTTCTCTGTATTTCACCTGAGAAGAAAATAAAAATATTACCCTCAATCAAAGAACCAACTTGTCAACTAGTATGCTCCTACTATAGTCAACAGATCTGTGGTAAATGGCTTTAAACTGAAAGAGGGTACACATAAATTAGATAGTAGGAAGTTCTTCACTGTGAGGGTGGTGAGGCTCTGGCACAGGTTGCCCAGAGAAGCTGTGCCATCCCTGGAAGTGTTCAAGGCTAGGCTGGACAGGGCTTTGAGCAACTTGCTCTAGTGGAAAGTTGGAACTTCCCCTGTGGCACGGGGGTTGAAACTAGATGATCTTTATTGTCCCTTCTAACCCAAACCATTCTGTGATTCTATGAAAAATTAATGTTTAATACTGAAATCTGTATCATTGGCAATAAAATGTGAAAAGCAAAGGTCAGGCTTGCAGCAACATCTGTGGCCTAAATTCTACTGACTTCTGTTGTAGAGAATAAGCAGTGTTAGCTCAGATTTCAAGAAGACAGGTAGCTATAAAAATCTAACTTGCAAGCACTCAGACTGCTCATGGCCCTGGCTGAGTTCAGCCAATTACATGTTAGGTACTATACAGATTGCTGTGTAAACAACCAAGTAGTATACAGACTGCTGGAGTGTTAGCATCAGGAATGAAAAGATGTAGTTTAGTGACTTGCTAACTAAAATGTTCACAAGGATGAAGATATTCTTGCTTCAAGTTATAGTATCAGCCTCTAAGGCATCAATTTTCAGACTCCTGCATGAGCTTATGCTATGTCTTTGGCTGAGACAGATCCTGATCTCAAACCGGAGCAACAAGTAGTGACTTTAACTACAAACCTATTCACAACCATTTTCTTATAGTCCTTTGCTATGTAAGGTTTTTGTTCTTCCATGTCATGCAGTAGGATAGTAACTATGGCCCTTTGCATTCTAGCAGTAATTTTTCTCTTTGCTTTACAGTCAATAAATACCTGGAATAGAACCTGGTATAAAGAGGACTAGAGACCAAATCAGAGTATGAATTTCTCTGGAATAATCCACCATTTGCTGCATTGCAGAGGGGAAAAATGTTGGACACATTTAATAGCAGTCGTAGCTATTGTTTTGGTTAAAGTGATTTTGGATGCAGAATGAGGATAGAATGGATAAAGCAGCTGAAAATATACTGTCAGCAACAACCCTACTTCTTTCAATTTCCATTTTCTGTGATTGCCAAGTCTTTTTTTTACAGACAAAATACCCAAATTAATATATTTTACTGTGTAAACAGATACGTACACAACAGTCGTAAGTAACTCTGAGATCTACTCTAGAATGAAGATATCATTCAGATATTTTGTTTTTCTGAACTTGAAAATGTGCAAATATTTCTCATTGACATGTTTACTCAGGTGTGCAGTGTTCATAAAGTGGATAGGCATAGAGGTTACTACATTTTGGAGAATTTACTAGGACGACTTGAGTGATGGAGACTGATACTCAGTGAGTAGGGTTAATGAGAAACAGCTGACCAACTTACGTGGCTCTGTAGTTCTGATGCCTCCCTTAGATGAACCTGTTCAAGATTATCTGGCACCACAAGGTAGTGACCCTTACTCTTCTCATATTGCTTCTTGTACTGGTACTGAGGGGAAGGTGTCAAAAATCATCTCAATAACAAAAAAATTATCCCCCAGCAAATTTATTTGTTAGGTCCAATCAAAGCAACACTTCAATGGAACATTAAGAGAAATTAGATATGCAAAAAGCAAAACAAAAGCAAGAAGTTTAATTCCCAGTATCAGATAAAACTTCTAAAGATGTAGGTAAACAGTTACTTCTTTTTTGACCATTTTGATTGAAACAAAGATTTTTCTCAAAACCAGAATTAAAAAAAAAAAAAAAAGGAAAAAAGAAAACACAGTGGATACATGGAAAAGCTGCATTAGGCAATAATGATTTTTTACTCTTCTCAGTAAAATTTTGTTAGGCATGAGTCTGTGCATCTACACCAGGGGAATGTTAAGCATAAATATGAAATCAAAAAAATAGACAAAAATAAAAAAATTAAATATAGCAAGCAGTAAATAAGACAAAAATATCAAAAAAGAGAAGAAGATGGTATTTGTTAGTGTAATGCAATCAGTTAAAATGTAATAAAGAGGATTTAAAATATTAGCAGTTCTGCAGCTGGTAAAGATTTGACTTCCCAGAGGATAAATGTGGCAAAATTGCTAGTTAACAGGAAATAATCATTAGAAAGTAGAGGAAGAGATCACTACCAGGTGACATCCCATGAACAATAACAGAGGGAGTAACTGTTACAGAAATATTTAGCAGAGATCATTTCAGAATAGAATCAATAGTAATGGAAAATACAAACAAGTCTGGGATTAGTTAACGAGCTTACAGCACTGGCGAGCTGGCTTGTACTCAGGACATGGTTCATGATCAGCGATTCAGACATGTCAGTGACAGGCTTATGAAGTTTCTTTAAATCTGCCTTGTATTTCACCTGCCAGTAAGAAAGGACAGACATCATCAGAAAAGACAACTGCTAGTAAAACCTGTGATGTTGACTGCATTAAGAACATAAAGGAAGTCTTTGTTAAAAAGATTTGAAACTTTTAATTTCCCTAAGGGAAAAGCATAAGTAAACATACCTCACTAGCCAAGTTGTGAGCATCCTTCATGGTCTTGTAGATTTTAGCCTCCTTTAAATCATACTTTGGCTTTTTACCCAGCTCTTTGGAAAAATTCTCCTTGTATTTCACCTAAATTAAAAACAATCATATTACAATTGATCTTGAGGGCTCACTTGTCGGCTGCAGAAGGCAAAGAGTTCCTACTTCAGTACTGATAGTAAGCAGAAGAACAAAATTGTAGCAACTTGAAGATATCCACTGGAATAAAGGCTATTTTAAAGATGACTTGACATGGAAAGAAATCTATATCTCTATTTACAAAATACCACTTGAAATTTTTCATTCAGTGCACAGGTTACATCTCATGGTAAAAATCACAGATCTAGTCAAGAGATTTATGGAGACAAAATACAGCTAAATTCTGGAGATGAAGAATACTTCACTTGATGGAACTGTGCATAGATAAAAGAAACCCTATTTCACAAAGAGACAAGAGCTGACTCTTGAAGAGTATTAAAGGAATTTAAAGACTATAAAAATAATTTAAAGAGTATTCAAAAGAATTTTTTATGAACTTCTTGGAGAAACGACAGCTTTAAAACTACCTCAAGACATACAAGCACTGAAAGTGGCAATATATCAAATATATTTATATAAGTTATACACATAGCATGTTCTGTATAAATCAGAGATGAAGAAATTATCACAAACAGAATAGCAATACAATTAATTACTAGGAATTAGGTTATGCAAGAGGGTTAGTAACACTTCCAAACCACCTTACATCACTAAGGGAAAGCATAGTGATGTAAACCATGATAATCCAGTTGGTGGCACAGAAATGTTGGTAGGAATGAGAGTTTTGCTAACAACTTAAATGAGGGCAAGCTCTTCTTCCATCATGGCTTGTGCCATTCCACTGCTGCAGGTGCAGCTAAATGCTAATTCCTCACTATTGCTTGTAAACCTACAAAAAGGACAGTTCCATTAGGAATATTTTGGGTTTATTTCTTTCTTTTTTTTTTTTTTTTTTTTGTTATCAGAGATGCATGCTTTTTTTTCAGTGGAAGAGATGACTCATGATATACTGGATTTAATGACAGTTACAGAAATGTAAACAGGTAATTCTGTATTAGTTAAAAAAGAAATACGATTGCAGAATAAAATCACATTCCACAATCACACTTTACACTTTGAATTCATTGTCATATTCTTGTCCACACAGCACCATATAGCTCATGGTGGATACTACTCTTGTGTTTTTGCTTGACAAAAAAATGCCACATTCAGATAAAACTCACAGTGAAATAACCAAATCCACAAATCATATAGCTGCTGTAACAAAACAAATAATACTAATCTTCTGAAAGGAATTAGTATTGGTTCTGACCTCAGAAAAAATAAAACCAAGCAGAAGTATACTTGAATCTGTTAGGTTTTGCAAGCTATGTAACATATTATCAAGATCAGACCATCATGCCGAAGAGTTCACATTCTTTAAGCCCAGAAGAAACATTATTCTGCAAAATTAAAAGCAAGCATGCCAGACAGGTCCAACTGAATCCAACTAAAAAATGACGAACAAGACAAACAAACTGGACATAATGCTTTATATTAAGAGAAGTTTACCAGAAGAAATGCTTCAAAGAAAAAAAAAAGATTGCTCCAATTTTTCTTTGCTCCCTTAATGCCTCTACAATAGTTAATTTCTCTGAGAACCAAAATGATCTCAGTAAAGCACGTTTATAAGACTAAGAGGAGAACCAGCTAGTGGAACAAAAGTATGGAAAAGACAGACCTCGTTATCACTGAATGGGAATATACATACTTTCTTCTTTTTCTTGTAGTTCAATTGTTGAGCTTAAGAATCGTTGGTTCTACTGAGAAGATTCTTGCTTATCCTGACACACAGAGTGGCTGACATTCAAACATGCGACAGTTACATGCAGCAGTCTTGGCTAGACATAGAAAAAACATAATTCCCCTTTCTTTTTGTTTGGAAATACATGTGTAAAACTGAAATGGCACAGACCTATCTGCTGCCTCTTTAAAAACTGCTATGCAACCACTATTTTTCTATTTTCCAAAGTTTTTGCCATGGCAAGAAATATAAGAAACTATGTGTCCCAAAATCACTACAGGGTACACTTCTCAGAGGCCATGGAGCTGATTCATACACTGTGTTTTAATTATGCCATGTCCAACATAATGTGAACAGAATAGTTTAAATAGACACTTGAAGTCTGAATAGTCAAAATGAAGTTCTAGTGTGAATCTTATGCATATGTTATGACTGGTTACTGGAAATTACCAGCACCACTGGTTGGAAGTTTCATACACATATATTTCCATTTTTTTGCACAGTTTCAGGAAAACCAGCTCAAGCTTATAAGTCTGTTTTTAGTGGTTTTGAGGGTGAAAAAGGTGAGTTTTAACATTCCACAAGTGCATCAGAAAATTCCATTAAAATTACTGGAAGTTCCTAAACAATTACAAAGGGCATAATAATGTCTCAAGCTTCATGTGGTGTTTCTGAAACAGGCAAATTCCTCACCCACAGAATTCCTGTTCATTATCCAACATTCCAGAGGGAAAACCAAAAGGTTTTACCTAACCAAGCAGTCTCACAAGTTCTGCTACATTCAACACCTTTGACGCAAAAAGATCCATTCAACTGGTGCATCATAAACCCTTTAACAAGTTGGAATTGTAAGATAATATGCAAGCAAGAGACAGATGTGTAAAAATGGCAGTCCCAGATCTGTCATTTAAAATGATCTTACATGACTACTTAGCATATTAGCTTTCTTAAAGGTTCTCATCCATGGGGTATCATAAGATGCAGCTCCATGCCCTCTCATATGTCGTTTGAGGTATTCTGCCTATAATGTGTAGCAAGAAAGCAAGATCAGAAATGCAAACAATTACAGGATTAAAACATGAAGTGCTGAGAAAGAACCAAGTTGAACTGAAGTCCTGGCAGAAAAAATTGTCACAAAAAATAACAAGCATGTACTTTGGACTGTCTGGAGAACATGACTATTGTACAGAAGTGAGCAAGCTCCTGTTAATGTAATGTATTAACTTCAGAAGCCAGAAGATTCTTTTAAAGGCACAAAGTAGAAAGAATGAAGGTTAATGTCCATCTTATAAAGGATGGATAATAAGAGTTAGGGAAAAGGCTGATTCTTCTAAAGCCAATAAACAGAAGAACTAAAAAACAAAGATAACATGGCTAACACTTCAGCTTTAGTATTTAAGACCTTGTCATGGTACCATTTTAAGGAGATTCTATAACTCTATTACTAATATTTGCTAAGTCAGTAGAAAAATTTATTTAACAAAGAAATATTTTGTATTGGAATTCAATTTTTTGTTTAGCTTATTCCCTTTGGAATACTCCTTTATTCCCTAACTTAGAAATAATTTCAGCTATAATATTAACATTACTCTGTAAATTAATACCATGTCACATTTCTCTCATTGCTTCAAATTTTAACTAACTTTTTATTATTACCTGGCTAGTTAGCTTGGACACCTCCTTTGCCAGTTCAATATCTGGACGTCCTAGCATGCTTACACCAATGCCAGCTTCTCCACGTTTTTTATATTCAATCTAACAAAGAAAAAAAGTAGTTTAGTCCTGATGACATTCTCTTTTAATTATTTCACTGACACTGGTTTTAGCAGTAAAATTACTGATAAGAAATTATACAGAAGACTTAAAAATCACTTACATCACTAATTAACTTGGCAGCCTGAGTTGCTTTCTTAATATCTGGTCGATCTGCAATAGGTGTATAGTGGAGCTTTGACTTGGCATCTTTCTTGTATTCAATCTAATCCATAATGATAGAAAGAGGAAAGAAAATTACTGAGGCTTGCTCATGAGGAATATATCTATTAAGGACATAGCAATGTTGCTAGTAAAGTGCATGGGGTTTGTATGTTTGTGGTTTGTTTAGTTTTAAATAATTTCACAAGGAATGGATTTTGGAAACTTTTTTGCAAGCTGCCTAGAAACAAAGAATTAAGCAAACACAATTCTGTCTGAAGGAATAAAAAATACCAGATGTGATTTGCACTTGATCATTTTAAATACTACCATGGGATTAAGTAGAAATATGATTTGAGAAGAAATCCTTTATTTCAGTGCAATTTTAGATTTGTAAATAGTTGCACCATTATCTGTCAAAATTACCCCTGAACGTGGAGGCTGGAAGGACATCAGGAGTATGTGAACTTCAGATTTGCCAGCTGATGTTGACTGAATTTTCTTACACACACTACTTAATTTATGAAAAGACAAGACAAACTTACTGTACTCTGTTTTTTAGCAACTTCCATGGCATGTTTCACTTCAGGAGGCTCCAGCATGACAGAATAATTAGATTTGCCTTTCTCCTTCACAAACTTCTTTTTATAGTTTGTCTGTTAAGAATAAAAAGAGTCAGGTATGATTTTTTTAATTTCACATGGAGGTAAATGCTACTAAAACTTGGAAATAAACACACTGAAATTGTTAAGACAGACAAAATACAGCCTCCTCAAGTCTCAAAATGTATGGTCCTCAGCTTCTTTTATGTTGGTCATAATTTGCACTGTAGACTACAAAGGTTTGCTATTTGGAGATAATGATTTGTACATAAACTCTGTCCTATGAAAAATAAAATCCAACCCACTACTTTCCTCCAGAGTATTTCAACAGAAACCCAATAAATGTGTTTACCTCTGAAGTTAAAACCTCATTCTAGTCAGAATTAACCTTTTCTGACTCCTTGGCATTTTATGATGAGACTCTGAATGTACTGCATGCATACTAAATCATGCAAGTGTCTAATCATTTACAGGCAGCAGGTAATAATCTCACCACAAATTGTTATCACAGTAGTTACTTACCTCACTGACATTCTTGGTCACCTCTTTCACATGAGCAGTGTCTCGTGTCTCTGGCAGGGTTGTGTAAGACCCGTGTGGAAGCTGCTTCTTGCTGTGTTCTTTGTATTTGTTCTGAAAGCACAGAATAAAAATAAGTAAAAAAACCCCACAACACTGCAAGTCCTGCTCTCCTGCCCCCCATATTAAAAGGATATACCTAATATGAACAAATAACAACTCCCTGATATTTTACCTCAGATACAAGAGAGCTGACATTCTTAGCCAGGAGGATCTGAGGTGTATCTGGAACCACAAGGTATGACCCTCGAGCTTTGTTGTGCTTCTCTTTGTATTTTATCTAGTGAGAAGAAAAGGTATCATTTTAAGCAATGTGCATTTTGTCTTCTGGCAATTGAAAAAGAAATTCTGATAGTTGTGCCTGCTTGTTAGTGCAAACATTTGCAGAAAATCCCATATTTTTATGTTTTCCAGGATAAATTCATTCCAGTCTATATATTCCTATAGTTCTCCCTTAGAATTTTATTAATATTAATATACTGAATATTGACTGTTCATATATTGTTAGGAATTATTACAGATACTTTGTGTTATGCACAAGTTACACTTGCAGCTTTTCTTGTTTTCTTCACAGTATTTGCATTTAAATAACAGGAATGCAGATCTGCCAGAGGTCTAGAGTGTTCAGGCAATGCTAACTTTGAGTGCTTATTTAATTCATGAACTAGGCCAGTGACATTTACAAGACCAAATTTTTTCAGATTTTGCCAAATTGTGAATGAAATAAATCAAATCAAATAATGAAGTGAGACTAAAAACAACTTCTCAAAGCTTCATTCTTAAGCCAATCATATTTCCAATAAAGTAGTTCAGATAGTAGGTAAAGTTCTAGTAGAACAAAAACCAGTGTTTCAAGTACTTACATCACTCGCCAAGATGGCATTATTTAAGGCCAATACTGTGTTTTTATCATCTGTGACAGAGAGTTTACATCCCTTTAGGATTTCCCGGTCCAGTTTGTACTCATACTGCAGGAAGAAAAAATAAAACATAAAGCAGAGTCTCAAATCTTCTACTATTATTATTATTATGGACATGAGAAATGTGGAGAAAGGGAGTATTCGGTTTGTTCTGATTTTCTTACATCGCTCTGTTGCAGAGACGACTTGGCTGCTTGAACAAAGTCAGGCCTATCAGCAATCCAGTGCCAATGAGCCTTGGCTGCTTCATATTTCTTTTTATAATCCAGCTGTTTATAGTGAAACAACAAGAAAAAAGGAAGTTAATTGGAAGTTGTGTACTTACACATGACATTCATACAGATGCAAATTCTCTTTCACTCTGTACCAATTAAAGAGAGAAGAGGTAAGGGAGTGCATCTACATCAAACTAAGGCTTTCCTCTGAATCATTTGCAATCTAGGGGGAGTCCATTTACCCCAGTTTTTCCACTGTGAAGTCAAGAAAGGAATATGAACGACTGAAAAGATGTCAAGACTTTGAAGAAAGCTAGTGTTTTCAGTTCCTTGCCTACTGAAGTGGATGTTGGGCCATCAATAATGGAAAACATTGGAGAGCTTCCCATGAAGAGCTTACTTAGTCTACAAAACAAGATCACAGAGAATTTCTGGGACAGTTAAGTCTGTCAGGAGAACAATGGATGTGTGACAAAGACCTCAAGTGACCTCAAGGAACAACTTGAATGAGTGCACCCTTTAGTATGAAATGAAATAAAATAAAACGTATTTTATTCAAGCAGCTTAAGAATTAGAAGCAATGTCCAAGCTCAAAAAAATTCAACAGAACTGAAAATAATTTCTTATGGTCTCCGTTGCCAGTATCAAACACTACCCAAAATAAAAGTATTAATAAAGCTGAACTCACATTGCTGTTTAGCTTGTAAGCATGCCTGGGAGTCTTGATATGAACTGAATCCGCTATGACATTGCAGTGAGATTTATTCCTCTCATACATTTCTTTGTATTTCAGCTAAAAAAAGACAAAAAATGCCACAAACATAATATCATAATCAAGAAAAGCATCAGAATATGACAAACATAATACTAAAAACTGCTCATGATAAGATAAAATCCTAACAAAAGAAAAAGAAATTATAACAGTACAACTTAGTATGAACCATTTGCATGAAAGAAGGGTCCTCTTCAGCTGCAGTTCTCTCTTAATAGAAACTGTAGGAGGTATAACTCACTATGAAGCACACAGATTTGGCAAAACCTGCACATGAACAGTAATTCTGCCCTTTTCTAGTTTTTGGCACCTAATAGAAATGCTTTAAAAAAACTTATCTTCTGATAGGCACAATCACTGCTTTTTAAAAACTCCTGTACAGAATATCAAATTCAGCATTCGGTTTGGAACAAAAAAAACGTATGTCAATTCACAGATCACTTTTGGACACCTTTGTCTCTTATTGATCCACCTTAGTAGCTGGACAACATGCTATTTTTCCTCCTAGATTGACTCATTATATAGATTATCCATGAGGCATGTGAATAACTTTCATGCTTATTGTAGTATATATTCTCATGGTACTATATTGAGTTACAGTATTGCTAGTATCCTCATTTTAGTTACAGATATCCAAGAAACAACACCACAAATGTCAGAGAGAAAGCCTGGGTAGCAGGAGGATTTAGGACCAGGACTCCCAAATCCTGTGATATTCTCTCCACTTCATCTTCCTTTCTCTCTCTTCTTAGCCTTCCACTGCCCCATAATCAAAACACACATTTATTTCAGATCAGAATATTTACCTTACATACCCATAGTATCCATAGAAGAAATGAATAAACACAGTAATGTATTAAGAACGTTATACAAGGCTCTGCAAAAGCCACTGGCCAATAGAGGAAGAAAACTCAGAAACAAACTCCCTGAAGCCATGCTTTAATTAGACACCAGCTCTAGCTCATGGCTTTTATTACTAGTGAGGACTGTTCTACCCCATCAAAAATGTTTGAAGATCCACAGAAGAACATTACATGAAAAACTTCCTGAATACTTTCATATTCTGCTGTGTATTTTGAAAAAGCATTGACAGCTTTCACTACACTCTAACAAGAAGCTATTTTTTAATTACATTGTTACTTATGAGTTATAAACATTTCAGATCAAAGTAAAAAGTTAATTATGTGTCTTTTTGACACCACAGACACAGATGATTTACTTACATCACTTATTCTGTCCTTCACCTTGCGCACATGCAGTAACATAGGTGTATCATGGATTGTAGTATAGCCTCTTGGCTTCGCTTTGTTGTATTCCAGTTTATAAATAATCTGAAGACATTAATTATAGATTATATTACTTATTGTCAGTCTTTTCATCAAGATTGAAAACAACTAAGATGAGAAACATCTGATAATGGACTACTGTAAATGCCATCTTGTTAATTATCCCTCTTCAAAGGTATGAGAGAAGGAGGTATTCTTGAGAGGGATGGACCACACTTACATCACTAATCTGTTTGTTGACTTTTGTAGTCCTTAAGTGTTCTGGAGTATCTACAACCATAGTGTACTTGTCTTTCTTCTTTTCATAGTCCTTTTTGTATTGAACCTGGTGATTGGGAAAGATTGTATGTTAACCACACAAAACAAGACAAAACATCTTCAGGAGACACATTTATATTCACACACAAAATTGCAAAATCCTTCCACCAAAGCCAATGAAAGCTGAATATGCAAAATAACTTGACTTTTGCAAACCCCTTATTTCCTTAAGAGGCTGCTTATCTATCCATGTGATTAATTTTATGTTTATTTCAAGCTGCTTCACTTCTATTCTGTATCTCCAGGATTGAGCCAAAAAAGCAATCTCAGCAGACCACTGACGTTTAAAATTCATAATTGGGCAATATCTCATTTTAAAATATTAATTAGAATGAGGAGACATGTAAAACATCTTACAAAACAGAAGATTAAAACGTTCACTAAATGCCAGGATATTTTAAAGGCTTCAGTAACAGGATTTTTGTCTTGATAATGTCTTGCTTAAATATCATCTTGGGCTACTCAGGACTCCAAACCTGTTTTTGCAGAATTCAGTGAGAACAAACTGTACAGCGAGAATGGAAATGCATCATAGACAGCCTGATGGCAGGTGGAAGATGGTAGAACACATTTTTAATAAAGAACTTTTATGCTCTATCTTGCATCAAAAAATAAAACCATGCTTTTGAAACAGGACTGTGACAGACAAAACATAAATCTGTATATAATTACATACAAACAACACATGAAATCAATCCAGATGAACATGCAGGTCAGGCAGAGTGCAAATGGCAATAAAGCACAAGAGAGACTTGTGAACACCATAAACAGCAACAAAGCTCTAGATCCCAGACACCTCGAGAGTGGAGAGAGTTAGGCAAGGTTCTGTATATATGTATGTACTACAGAGGTGCATACAACTTACATCTATGTAATTAATGTCAAGAGTATATATTAAAAGATTTGCATACTATCCCATTAAGGAAATTACAAAAGTTATTCTGGGGAGAAAAGAGTAAATTTTAGATTAATGTGAGGGCACTCAAAAGCCAAATATGTCACTGTTTCTTCATCTAGATATGAGTAAGGAGATAATGCTTGTGAAAGTCATTAAAAGAGAGGTAATAAAAAATAGATGCACAATAGTGTATTTGTTTTTTAAAACCTCTTCTATGACTTTAAAGAGGCATTACATTCCTGACGTCAATTGATGCACAACATATCAAAGTACATACAGTAGAAATTATCTCACTCAAAAAGTATTAATTCTTTTTGGGTAGCAAACAAAGATTGTCTGTTCAAATTAACTAAAACATCACAACATCACAGGTGAAGCCTATGATACTGCTAGCTATAGACATACCACACAGAGCAGCTGTGAGTGAACCTGGCACATTATGGTAGCACTGGCTAGTGCTCCTACAGTACCTGACTGCTCAATGTAGTCGCCCACTTGGCCAGGAGGTTCTTAGGATCATCCACAATAACACTGTACTTATCCTTGAGCTTCTCATAGGCAGCTTTATATAACTTCTGCTCAGAACAATATAATACATTGTAACAAATCAGAAGTGAAGACCCAAAGAGATTACAGTTCTAACCATTGAAATCTCTTTATATGAACTATTTAAAGGCCGCAATTGAAGTTCATATCCAAAAGAGAAATATATATATGTATATAAAACAAACCCAACAACAAAAAGAGGAAATATCTGCAAATAGTACATGCATTTCTGAATTTCCACTGGAAGGCCTAATCTACAATTTAAGGATACCTGTATTCTATCACTGCCACTCTTCAGTAAGCCATTTTATGACTTACTTTTTCAGGAAAAATAATTGCAGAAGCAACCCTGTATGGAACTAGATTCTTGATTCGAGTACAAAGAGAACACAATGAGATGAAAGAGTAAAATACAATGTTATACTATCATCAGACATTTTGTAAGAAAAACCTGTAATCCCTCATCACAAAAAACATCACTATATAACAGAAGACATTAAGGTAAGTTCCTCTCAATTTATGGAGCCCCTCATTGCTAAAATTTTACTCATTTATGTTTTTTATATTAAATTTCCTTATTGTTTGGTAGAGCAAATAAGGAAAAACTGAATACTAACAATCTTCCATAAGAAACTCCACTTCACTGCTTACCAAATTGAGTATGAAAGTATAGCAATGGTACTGGAATGGTATCTGTTGTGAAACAGTTTTTCTTACCTAGAACAGGTATACTGTAATGCATTCACTGACAGGTAAACAATTTAACATAATATTTGGTGAAAAAGAATAATGTATCAAGATCACATCTCAAGATGCGAGAGTCTAATTATACACTGCTTTAACAAAAAGTATCAGAGTCTGGTATGGTATGCCAGCTCCAAGCTGATGAGAATTCATGTAGAACACCATGCTTTTCAATGGGCTTTGCCCTGTGGGAGTACCACACTACTCCTAGAAACGCCATTGCTGATGTTAAACACAGGGGGACTCATTAACCCCTTTTGCTACTATGTTGTGTTTATTGTTTCTTTAGCACTGCAGGAGAAAAGTAAGCAAAAGTAAGTAGTAGAGTGGGAGAATTCAAGGTAAAATATCTGAAATGAGAGATGTGGTAACTTAAGGCATAATATTATCATCTTCCCAACACTAATGAAGTGGTTTTTTACAATGTTTCAGAAAAGAAGTTGTAATTCTCTCTACATCTTTTTCACGACAATCAGTGTTACTAGGCAAGCAGCATTATTTACATTACCATTCATTTACCTGTCAGCAAAGGAGAAGTTTCTTTGCAATGACAAAATAATGGAACAGGGGTTAGGATTTCACTTTTTAGGGACTGTAAACCTGCCCTGTCCTAACAGACAGACACTAAGAACAATCTTGTCTTTTATGGATTTAGTCTGACCTTAAAACATCCTTAAGCCTGAATATATTTTATATAAAAGTTCATAAGGAATATCAACCTTTAGCTTGGTATTGACATATACCCACTTATTATGTCAGTATGAGACATTATGAGAATGTTCAACACTTACCATATCCCTCAACTGAGTTGCGTATTTAAAATGCTCATTAATTGGAGAATCAGCTACATACTTAAAATGAGACTTAGTCTTCTCAAACATCTCCTTGTACTTACACTGGAAGAAAAACAACACAAAAAAACCACACACAAAACCCCATTCCAATGTTAATCCAAAGAAGGGAAAAGCAATGAAAATGTACAACTTAGAAACAGCCTGCAGCAAAACTATGGCAGAATTATCGCATAAGTGTGTTTTACATATCTACAAACAAAAATTAGTTGTAAATGTAGTATTTTGCAGAATGGAACTATTACATCAAGAAAGCAATGGGAATTTCAGGTCCTCATCATTTTAAAGCTAGACTTAGAATCACTATAAAAATTACTGTGGAACTGATACCCTTGCAAAGAACAGAGGGGGTAAGTAAAAGATCATTTTGCCTCTGTTTTCTTTTCCACTGTTTTCATTTACTGAAATTTTTGATGCTATATATTAAGTTCTACCATAAATACAACGTATCAACATCTAGGTCAGAAGTGGATTCTCCTGTGAAAAATTACATCTACAATATAAGCAAACATCACAAAACATTTAGTAATAATTTGGACTTTGTTTACTTACCCCACTGTAGAGCACCTTATTCTGCTCTGCCAGAACAAAACTTGGAGTATTCCATACATAACAGCCAATGCCTCTGAGCCATGATAAGTCTTCCTTGTACTTAACCTTTAGAAAAGAAACAAAATTATTCAGTTTAAGCGGCACCAAGTTACAGCTGAACAATGCTGAAATGGCGCCTCAACACAAGGTGCAGCAAACAGAGCTACATCCATAATTATTCCATTGTAAAATACGTTACAGTTACTCATACTTTTCTGATGGACTCAGATTATTCACATTCCTAACCTATCATTAGCTACTGGAGTTCCTGTGTGAATTAAAAAACATTTGTTCTTGTATAATTAAAGAGTTACTGTGTATGCACAGATATGTACAATTGATAAAGGGTTAACAAACAAACCTAAGTAAACACAAATGAAGACTATTCTGGTAATTTCAAAACCAGGTGGGCCATCTGATTTGCTCCTTCATTTCACAGATCCACCTGGTAAAAGTGTGAAACACTTAAAAAATTTCATCTGCCTTCTCTTTCTTAAGAAATAAGAGTTGGCTTTCATTTTGGAAACCTGCTTATAACTTTCAACATTTCTCATCTGAGAAGTAAGTGAACTCACATCACTAATAGCATCCGTGACTATGCGATGATGGAAGTGCTCTGGTCGGTCTGGGATCGATCTCCAAATTCCTAACTGGCTCATGTAATTTTCCTTATATTTCACCTACAAAGAAAATTGAAGAATGAAGGAAAAACAATTTGCGAAGAGAACACTCCAGACCATGCAATTTCAAGACAATTCTTTTTATAAAATACCAGAACTAAACCAGTGGAAATGAGATTAACTTACATTCACCTTTCTAATATCAAAGGCAAATCAAGTGCATATTTCAAGGAAGAAAAGAAGTCAGTATTAACAATGCTGACCATATTTTATAATTATTTGCCACAACTAAATAGAATGATAGCATAAATGGCATATTCTAGCTTATTAAATGACAAAAACTAGTTAGGAATGAGAATGTTGGATACATACGCTGCTAATATCATCGGTGACCTTTCGATGATAGACTATATTCAAAGCATCTTTCACTGTGTGGTATTTGCCCTTAGTATTCTCAAAGGTTTCTTTGTAGCGCAACTGGTATGAAAAAATCACATAGAAAACAATACATTATATTGTTAAGAAGCTCCAATTGCCTACTATCAATTGTAATTTGAACAAGATTTATGATGAACATTTGAGGAAAAAGAGTCAGTACATCTAAAGCAACACTTCATGCATTTCACTTTCAGACTGAAGACCAAGAAAAAAATTATCCATGTATCATGGAACAGCGAAAGTGCCATTTTTGGCATAAAAATCCTACTTTCCTATGAATCCTATTTTGGAGAAAGACTTTCTTGGAGGAGAAATTCAGGCATGTGAAAGAACTGGGATGCTCCTGTGCAGTATTTAAAAATCACTCTTAAGAGAGCAGTAAGACTTATCACTAGAACAAAACACCAGCCTAGCACATACGCTTTCAGAATACAACATGCAGTCTGAAATACATAGCAAATATCTCATGAATGAGTTGAATACATTTAGCTATTGCCTTAAATCACAGACCATTACTACACGTTTGAAGGAAAGATCAGTTTCACCTTAGTAACCTAATGTGCAGATAAATTTTCTAAATTAAAAAATGAGCACATTCTCAGTGATGTGCAACTTTACTTTCAACACAAAAAGACATTCTATCCTTGCTCCAGCATCAATCATTTCAATCCAATCTGCACTATTTGGAGATTTTATGTGTAAGCAAATTACTTTAAATCTATTCCTTCTTTTTGTAAACCACATTGCAGTGCAACGGAAAATGAAAAATAATTACAATAAATGACCAAAAGCATTTCAGTGACATCAAGTAAAAACATAATAATCTCTGTAATATCAAATGGAAATGTACATGCAAATGGGGTGACCTAGTTGATGACCCACAGTGAGATAGCCTATGCTGTGCACAATTGTCCCCCTTTGATCCTTTTTCTGTTTTGTTTTTTTTTTTTTAAAGAAAAAAAACAACAAACCAGCAGTGGAAGTGTTCATGGACTACGTACATCACTGGCATTCAGGTACGCTCTCTTGGCTCTGATCAAGACTGGTGTGTCAGGGACAGGCGTGTATTTGTCCTTCATCTTCTCATACTGGGTTTTATACTTTTTCTAAGGACGACAGCAAAAGGAAAAAGATGTATCTTTAACATTAGAAGCATTTGCTAATCTGATGTTACAGTAACACCCAGGGGCGCTACACTGAGTGCACAAAGTTATTCTTGCAAAGCCTTTCGGTCAAAACTCTGGGAAACAAGCTCAGCGGGTCAGCTCCTTCTAGGTCTTCCTGGTCTTGCAGCCAGTGTACCTCAGATTCTGTGAAAAAGCACTTAGAAGCAGGTATCTTATAAAATACTAAAACATATTAAAAAAGCGTAATGTCTTACCACAACTTAAAAAAGAAATGTGGAACTTAAGCATAATAGACAGAAGGATAAACAGATTTTAGCCTTGAAATTAGAACTAGAACTTTGAAACAGTTGAGCATAGTGCTACCAAACAAAACAAAATCCAGATATCTTACCTCACTGACCATGTCCTTTATATTCCTAGCATGCGTAAAGGCTGGTGTCTGACCATCAGCATGATGGTGGGGTCTCTCTTTTGTGGCAAGTTCCACATACAAGTACTGCAGCAAGAAAAAAAAACAAAAACGAAGAAAAAAAACTATTACATTTTAGCTAAGTTTTACCTTATCTCTCTGAAAAATGCCTGCAAATTCACAATGTGTACATGACCACACAATTTATTCCAGGAAAAAATACTGTGCCCTTTTCCATGCTATCTCAGTTCACCTTTCTCTAGCAGTACTCTTGATGCTCTGTAACTGCCAGTAACATACTTACAAACCAAGCAGTCAGATACATGTGACATTAATGACCTCTCTGCCCTACATGCAGACCTAGGTTTAAATAAAAGCACCCGTAAGGTCTGTTTTTCTGTCATGAGTATCTTCATTTTGTTCTACAACTTTACAAATTCCATAATATTTGTAGCCAGGAATTCAGATAACAAGCTAGAGTATGAATGAAAAAAATATGATGAATAAAGGCAGATCAATAAAAATATTTATACCTTTAATGAAGTCAGAGGTTTAGAGAATTTGAACCAGAGTTCAGTGCTCTATTTCATATAAACAAAGCTGAACATGTCCATTATAGAGACATGGTCAACACAAAAATGCATAGCCACATAACAATGAGCAACTGTCATTATAGATGTCCTTTCTAGTAATTCTACATGGCTTTGAAATGGCCTGGAAAGATTTTGCTGTACTTTAACAGTATATTAAGAGGGATACCCTGACTGTTTTGGTTTGGTTTGTTGTTTGTTTTTTTTTTTTAAATCAGAACAAAATTTTCACCTGGCTCTGTATTTTCTGTCCTTGCTTGGCTCTCAAGAAGTCAGGTGTATCAAGGATGGAAGTGTATTTTGTCTTCAGCTCCTTGCCTGCAGCCCTATAAACCAGCTGGAAAGAGACAGGTCCATGCATTATTTCTGGTTGCATACAGTCATTCAGCAGCTGAACAATCACAGCTTTGCAATTATTAACACCTAACATATTAAAAAAAAAAAACAACACAGTGGGAGGGGCCAAGCTTAATTATAGCTAACAAAGATGTGCAAAAAGAATACAGAACTTACTTCACTCAAATGAGTTTTTAGTTCCTGAACAGCTCTGTATCCAGGAGTATCCAATACTAAGTTGCATTTAGCCCACATCTTCTTTGCAGTATCAGTGTATACATAATTAGACTGGAAAAGAAAACCACTATTATTTAGGAAGCTTTTATTATTCTTGGTAGTAAAGAAAATTTTACAGTGTAACCTAACGGTGCTTTGAAATAACTAATTAGCTTTATGGTAGGAAATTCTGTCATAAGTTTTTACTCATTTTCATGTACTTAACTTCCTGGAAGTACATAGCATGCGTGTGAATAAATCAATTGTTGTTATACACGGTTCTCAGAAATAAAACCTTACCCAAAGCTTACGCAGCTGACGAGCACGGACCATATCAGGAGTATCATACAAGAAGCAGCCCAAGCCCTTCAACCACTTCAGATCTTCTTTGTATTTATTCTGAGGCAATTACAAAAAGAAAACTCCAAAGTTAACTTTTGGGATAATTTCCTTAATCAGTCTCTAAACACAGTGACAAAGCATTTATCTGTTGCAGAACAGAATACAAATGATAGAAGACAAATTCCACTCTCAGTATAAAAACATTAGGTGTACTGCATTCAAATAGCAGGTATCTTAAAAGATGTTGCTTACATCACTTGTGATGTCCCCAACGTAGCGGCAGTGCAACACCTCAGGAGTGTATGGCAAGGAAATCAAGTGTCCCTGCATCTTAAAGAAATCTGACTTGTAGATCAGCTGAAAGACAAAGGAAAAACAGCATTTCATGTTTGGTCATGCTGAATACTCTAGATCTCTTCTGGTTATGTTAAAAAGATACATACATCACTGACAGCTTCCTGTGTTGCTCTGACTTGACGGATTTCTGGTGTGTCTGGAGTGGTATGAATCTTATCCTTGTACTTGTGGTATGTTGCCCGGTACAACCTCTGTATCAAAGAAGACAGCATTCTACATTTTAAAAACTTAAAATGGCAAGCAGTTTGGCAAAGACCTCTTTTATAAGGGAAGGAGGTTTTGCTGGGTACTGCATAACTACTAGAGGAAAGGGAGCAAGCATACTATTTCCTAACAGGCAAAGATTTTCCACAATTGTTTTAGATAGCACCATCTCTAATACATAGAGAATCTGACACTTTAATCCTTTGATGTTTAATTTTCATCCTATTAAAGCCAACGATCAAAGAACTGAGCGTGTATATATAAAAATCTAGAACTATTGAGACCCAGTGTCATACAGATATAATAATTTCTATGCAACTTTTATTAAGTAGCAGCAGATCAGTTAATAAAATAAGGCTGCAACTGATTTTATATTGTGGTAACAGTTTTACAGAATTATGTAAAGTTAGAGCTATAATATACCTCAAAAAGTCATACAGCCTGACTCCAAGCCTGGATCAATGATCCCTTACCCTTCTTGATGGATATTTACCTATACAGCTCTTAAAAGCCTCGAAGAACAGGGATCCTACAACTCTCCTTACTCATATTTTGGTCACTACAAATGCAACATAAGCAAATAAATATATTTACCATACCTCATTAATGACTTCATTCACTTTCCTCACATTTTCAAACCCAACATCTTTAGGACCCAGAGTATAGCCTTTAGCCTTCATGTGTTCATAGGCTTCTTTATATTTCAACTATAAAGTGGAAAAAGGAACAAAACATACAGAAACTAAATTTGATCATGATTCTACTTACAGTGCAGTTTTGCTAGGAATCTGTGCAGTATAAAGAGTCAGAGTTTTAGAGACAAGCAAGATATAGCTATATCAGAGTTAAATACACATCATCATCTTTATCATTCAACCCAACATTAATAATGTTTTAAATTTCTCTTACATCTAATAAGATACTTGCATCTGCTTGAGAAAATTTGTATTTTGATAGTAATTACTTTGGGTAATTATGGGGTTTGGTAACATTTAAATTCTGCTAAGGCAAACATTATTGGTCCTAAGTTGCCAGTAACTTAGCTCCAGCCCTGTCTCCTGAATTTACCTTGGACCTATGCGGTAGGTAGCTTGTCTCCAATCTTTGCCCTGTTTCCCATAGCTCCTGACTGGAACCCCCTGGGTGGACCTTGGCCCTGGCTCCTGCCCTTGTCTGAGACTGTTGATACAATGTGTTACCAGCACCCTGCTCTGCCCACCCCATTCAGGTATAGTGGGACCTCTCCCCAGCTGATGAGGTCACTGCCTATGTCATGGTCACCTTCAGTTTCTGGCTCAGGCATTCACATGAAACTATCCCACTCTTGTTGCTCTCTGAAAAGCAGTCTCATATCTGAGAAATAAGTGTCACAGTTGTGTGCTTACAGATGACAGGCATCAAATATTCCCTTGCAACTCATGTTGTGGAAGGGCTTAGTACATGACTTACATCACTTCCAATGTATTGGACATGTTTAGCATGCTGAAAGCTGGGAGTGTCTGTGGGAAGGCTGTATCCAGTGGGCAGAGCATTCACACCAGCCCAGCGATACAAATTCTGCAACAGAAGAGAGAGAGTTTGTGACAATTGTGTGTAATATTTGAGAGTATTTATTGGCTGCATAGGAAATCTTGTCTTTGCAACTGGCAAGTGATTTCCCCTATGTCTGCATTATAACACATACTTGTAGGTTAAATGAGGACATTTCCCCACTTTCATTTAGACCAGTGAAATCTAGCTTCTTTATCTGAAAAGCTGAAGACAGGCATTAACTTTCAAAGAATTTTCTTTTTTGGATATCAGAAACCATGTGGACCCAAAAGTTTTATACTTACTTCACTCTGTATTTTGTTTGCATGATACGCCCGCTCCAAATCTACTGTTTTATCAGTAGGAATCATTTTGCCTTTAACATTGTGCAGATATTCACTACGATAGACAGCCTGAGAAAAAAGAAAAAGCAATTAGAGGAGAGTCATAACTGTGATGTTTTCTCTCAGTATGTATTGTTTTGCACACATACAGGAATTTCTCCTAAAAAAATGGATTAGTTTTTTTGATTCAGGCAATTAATGATTTTAGTGATTGTGTTCTCATATTTTAATAAAGGCATAGGCAATGAGTTATATATAACCAGCTATGATTAAATTATTAAAATTAAATTATTTAAAAAATGGGATAAAAATCCCATTTCTAGAACTTGTGAGGTAATGGCATACACAATATTGGGGTTGAAGGGTGATACAAACACTTACTTCACTTAAATTCAAGCCACTGAGAACATTCTGGACATAGACAGGAGTGTCTGTGACCACAGTGTAGTCATTCTTCATCTTTTCTGCCTTAGATTTGTACTTAATCTGCAAAGAAAAATTCAAGAGCTTTAATTAGTATGGCTAGTCATTGCTAATGGAATGTAATATATTATTATATTTGTTACATTTGCTATTTATTTTATTAATGAACTATTCTATTAATGAACCAGCCATTAAAGAGAAAGTGTATTGAAATTCTGGCTGAATAAATGAACATGCACCTCACTAGGTAAGAACAGCAGAAAAGTTTTATCAAGGAATACTAGAAAATGTCAATATTCATTCATAGAATAGGCATATGTACCATGTGATAAATATCCAACACACTTCTGATACAGGGTTTGGGAAAGGACATACATTCTCAAAACCCAGAATAGTTATTCTCCCATTCAAATGGCTTAACTATAAACTAAGGATATGTCCTAAGATCTTGAGAGGAGGGGAAAAGAAAAAGATCATAAAATAAACATCAAAAGCATCTAAAAAAAATTTTTAAATTGCATCACTTCTGCTTTACTTCAAGGGTTCTGAATGAAGTATTAATATTTTAAGCTGTACGTTTCTTTTCTATTTCACCTTTTCCAAGAAGTATTAAGATATATGCCTTCTTGAATGAGATGTATCCTGACAATATATACTCCTAGGGCAGTAAGGTTTAAATAACCATTTATGATTATTTAATGAATATTTCAGTAGAGAAAGATAGAGAACATTTTCCAGACTATATCTGGGGCAGAATAAAGCTACTCTATCCTTTTAATACAGTGGAGTGAAAAAAATCTAGAAGTAAAACCAGTGTATCCACTCACATCACTGCGAAGATCGTAGGCGTGTTTGGCATGGAGAATTTCAGGAGTATCCCAAACAAAGCAGCCAATACCCTTCAGCCAGTTAAGATCATCCTTGTATATCACCTAAGGTATCAGAGCAAAGCAACAATCTGTAAGACTTCCACTAAGATCTAATCTCTTATTGCCAAATCAGTCCAAAACACAACTGTCAAAAGATAGCAAGTAAAACATCCAGTATTATTTTTTTTTTGTTTGAGAAAATCAAAACAATTTCATTTGGAATTTAAATAATTTTTCTTCATTTCTTCAATTTGGCCAATAAATAAAAAAAAACCTGTAATTATTAAAAATCATATTTGCATATCCTACTGGGCAATGATTTACTGATAGATCATTGCTGATATACAGTGCTGACCTATGCAAGGCAAGTGCATGGAAGCATCACACCACCAGTATTTTCTCAAAGTTCCAAAGTTTCCACACCTTATGCAACTAAATAATAAAGGACAATTTACGGACAGGGATGGCCGAACCTGTAGAACTGCAATGTTATGACCCAGTGCCTACACTGACAACACTGAAATTATGCACATTAAGCCACATTAACTATGCACTTAGGTGTTACAAAAACATGATATAGATGCTGTTTAGCAGTGCATAATGTAACAGATTCAAGTGGCAACTTCACAGTGCTCCAACTAAGTTTTTGCTAAGTCATTTTCTCCAAGAGAGTATAAATGCAAGAATCTCTTTTAAAAATGAGCCACAAACATACGATTTGTGAACTTACATCACTGACTTGATCTGTTACTTTCCGAACATGGGAATTGATTTGAAGATCTGGTAGACAGATCCAGTCGTGAAGATGTGTGCGGTAATCGATTTCACTGATTTTCTTCTGTGCATCCTTAGCAGAAATTATGTCTACCATGTCTGGAATAATGTGGACTTTGGCTTTAGTCTTTTCATAGACTTCCTTGTACAGACGCTGCAGAGTTAAACCAGTACATTAATAATGCTGACAAATAATCTGCAGTATTAAGTGCTGATAAATTTGAAAATTATTATTTTCATGGATTGTTAGTGGGAGAGCAATCACTCTATGGCTATGACTGAAATTAACATTGTGCATACTCTAAAAATAATTCACAGTACCTTAACAATTTCACAATGCTTTATCAAATTTTCATTGCACACACACGTTAAAAGGAGACAGACCATGTAGTGCTGCACTTTATACATAAACTGTCACACTAAAGGTTTATCCATGCAGGCAATTTAACAGTTGAGACACGGGCTTGAGAAGACATTCATAAATTTATGACAGAATTCAGCAAATACTGAACACTGCCAAATGCATGTGGAAATGTGGCATCTGAATGAAGGCACGTGGATTCTTTGAGTAGCCTCTTCTGAGATAAGTATGGTTTTATCAGGAAAAGACACAAAAGAAAACAACACTTACATCAATATTAAGCTTTCCAACTCTAAGGCACCTTGCTGTATTGGGATCATCCTCAACACCCCGGGGTAACGTGTACAGTGCTTTAAACTTGTCATATTCTTCCCGGTATTTTACCTAAGCAGATGCAAATAAAGGCAACAAATAACTCACTCCAATGAGTCAACTGTATTTTTGCAACAAAATTTACCACTAAGCAAAATATTTAGTTAAGTCCAACAAGAAGAGAAAGCCTTTAAAGCAGGATCCTGGTTTTTAATTTTATTTTAAATGGCAAAGAAAGCATGTAACTATCATGTTGCAAAAATAACAAAGGCTGACTAGAAGACTTTAAAAATAAATAGATGTAGAATAAGCTACTAATTTATTGTTCCAGCTGTTTCATTTAAAGATTCATGAATAGAGTGATCACTCATGAGCCTCCGTTCAGTAAAGCATGAGATTATGTCCTTCTATACTTGATAAAGCATGACTTAAAGACTTTTAGTGTTTTTCTGACCTGGATGATTACGAAATTTAAACTAGAAAACAAAATTCAAGAAAACATTTCTGTTCTATAAACTATGGCATTATTTTCTAAGAAAAGAAGCAAATGACTATCTAAATTTAAGGTAAACAATTAGCACAGAAAACTGATTATTTACAGTTACATACTATATCTAAACCAAAAATAGAAGTTATGATTTGGTTTGGTTTTTTTTTTTAATGATAACCTATAGTATTTGCAAAGCATGAAGAAAGTATTTTATTCACTTACAATACTAGCATTATGCTTCAGTTCTTTTGCACGTGCTAGGGATACAGCATCAGAGGGTATCGCATAGCTAGTTGCTTTCACTTTTTCCCAGGCTTTCTTGTAGAGATTCTGTGGGGAGATAGAAAGTATCTGTGAGTGGAAAAATTCTTCTGAGTAGCAACCAACAAAACAATAGAAATCAAAACCACTTCAGTTTTTATATATACACTGTAACTATTACTATCAAAAGGCTGTGCACTAGTTTAATCTTGACAGTGCACAAAAAGGATGACAAAAATGCTTTCTAACTATACATGACCATTCTCATGCAAGATCTGAATTCTGTTCAGGTGGAATTTTCTTCAGGGAATCCATTTATTAATGATTCTATTTTGACAAGACTGGAGCTATAGTGAAAAAATATGTCCTCCGCCTGAAATACAGCTTCTTCTACACATTCAAGAAATGCAGAGGGTTGCCACTAGCTTTGATAAATTTCATGTTTGGACATTTATCTTCAAACAGATTGAATGAACAAAATAAACAAAAATCCCAGGGAGTAGCACTTTAAGAAATAAATGAATAAATAAATAGAAACTCTTACATTGCTAAAGAGATTTTTCAAATTATTAACTCTTTCAGAATCTACTGTTTCAGTCACAGTTGTATATTTGTCCTTAGTTTTATGGAAGTCTTCTTTGTATTTCACCTGTAAGATGAAAGACAGGTTTAACTGTTTCAATTCTCAGAAAGAGCACGGGGAAAGCTTGAGTAGAAAAAGTGGGGAGACTCACATCACTGGCATTTATAGCACTCTGCACTGCAGTCACATAGAGAGGTGTGTCAGTAACAACTCCAAAGTTCTGAAAATTCTCTTTTCCTGCAGCTGTGTATTTTATCTAATGAAATAAAACAAAACAAAACAAAACATTAATGCTGAAAATTACCAGGAAATTCCCTTTCAGCTTCCTTTAAATTCAGTTCTGGACAACTGAATCCCAATATTCTGGCCCAGTTAAGACCACCTTCAACAGTGACAGGCCATAGAGAAGAGATACTTTATAGCCAGTATGAACTAAGGAATAATGAAAATTGCACATCACTGTATAGCAGCTAGTAGGCTAAAGGTACAATCAGCATGTCAAGAGACACCATTTTCCCAACATAAATGTCTCATTGAGGTATCTTGTGCACACAATGGCATACGGAAAGACAAACTTATTTTCTCACTGTTACAACCCACAATCTTGCTGCCCTTCCATTCTCCTGTTTTCTTCTCCTTCAGTAACACAAGTGATCATGTCTTTACAGATGAAACTGAAAGAGTGTATTATAATAGTTTGTAAAAAAAATATTCTGATGTAACAGAAATTACCCCATTCTGCTCTGGACTAAGACAGGTGTCAGTCCCAGTGAATCACAAATGGAAGGGAAAAAAATCTTATAACTGTTTACTTTTGAGGAAAACAAGCTTACTTGGCTCTGGAGGTCATATGATTTTTTAGCCTGCAGGATTTGTGGAGTATCCCAGACATAACATCCAAGTCCCTTCAGCCAGTTTAAGTCATCTTTATACACCACCTGTATGGAAGAAAACAGAGCATTAAGTTAGGAAGAAATCTGCCTTCTGCTTGAAGGCAGTAGTATTTGTTTTCCTTCTCTATATTCAGTATCTTCCACTTGTACAAACTGCTGAAGGTTAGCACTGAATCTGAACCAGGCTCCCTCAGTAATTCCAATCTATTTGGAAGCTTAAATGTGAGCACGGAGAAGACTAGCCTATCTCTCAGTTTGACTGAATGATTTTTAACCACAGAATTTGCAAGAGATATTAAACCAAATAGTACAGCACAGCAATGGGCTAAGCAACACATCATCACATTTTATTAGGAAGGTTGGTTGGCCCAAGCTGAGATACTGTTGGCTATGTAACACGAAAAAGTGCTGTGGTTCATTGTGCCATTCACTCAGCTCAGATCCTGTGCAGCCAAATGAATAAAGTCTTTTCCAGACTGGATGCAGAAGGATTACGGATGCTGTCCTGGCCCATGTGCAAATGACAACAATCCCAGTTACAATATTTAACGATCACTGCAGTACAGCAACATTCTGACTGTACTAATGTGCATGGACCAGACTGTAAGCTTGTTATACGATTTCATCCAGTCAAAGAGAGATAAAGTGTTGATAGCAGTGACCTTTGAGAAGTTGATAGCAGTGACCTTTGAGAAGAACCAACAAAATGTTAACTTTTGTTTGATTTTTTTTTCCCAATTTACAAATGAGTAATAAATAACCAGACCAGTAAAATATCCCCCTCAAACCCTGTAAAAACATTAATTTTTGGTACTATGCTACCAAGCAATCTAAGACCACAGTTATTACTTTCCTATTTGTACACCACGGAAGACATTTTAAAGTATTTTATATTTAAATAGCATGCAAAAAAATACATGAAACATTACTAAAATGTCAAACAAATAAATTAAACACATACATCACTCAAAATTTCCTGGGCTCTTTTGGCTTGAATAACATCATTTTCTTCAGGTGAACAATTCCACTGATGGAAGTAAGTTTTGTATTCGAGATCACTGAGGATATATTGGCACTTCTTAGCTAGCACATGATTCATCATGTCACTTGGAATATGGACATTTGTTTTGGTGTCTTCGTAATTCTTTCTGTAAGCCAACTAAAAAGGAAAGATTGGGGAAAAGGCAAGAAGAGAGAATAGTGGTTTTCTGCACAATTTTGACTCTAACAGGTTACAGGTTATGGCATAATCTGAGGCATGCTTTCTATATTTAGTAGTTAAACACCCACGGGATTCAACAAAATGAAAACTTAATCACCATCTATTCTGATGATATTCTAGGAGGACAAGAAGGACCTTATTCACTTACAGATTTAACAGCTGGTGAAAAAATTAACATGAATTCAAGATTTAAAAAAGTCACATGCTACAAAACATGTTTGTAATCTAGTTAAATCTCCTTGTCCAAATGAAGGCAGAATATTTGGGATTATACTGACTTTATGCCCTGCATGATATGTTGTATGTGCCGTGGTAAGAAAACACCAAATGTATGTTTCACTTTTCCAGTTCTTATATTCCCATTTCAATTAAAAGTTAACACTTCTTTAATATAGATATGTAAAGCAAAAGTATCCCAAGTCATATACTGTTTCTTACTGTTCAGATTCTTAAACTGAAATAGAAAAAACAAGGTTTTTTCCCCTATTTTAGTATGTCTAATAGTGAAACAAATCTCTTCTTAACATCCTGAATAATTTCAAGTTCAATTGTTCAACACATGTAACAAAATAGCCATCCAGGAAACATAAACATGTTGAAAAAACTTTTACTGATGTTATTAAGTATTATATTACTTATGATTAAAGATGTCATGCTAAAATAAGGAAAATGGGAAAACACTACAGTGAGGCTAATTCTCTCCTTACCGCACTCCTCATTTTCTGGAATGCTAGTGAATGAATGACACTGGGGAAATCATCAATCTCCTTCCCAGCCAGGTAATGGCCTTTCAGCTTCTCATATATTTCCTTATATTTAAGCTGCAAAATATTCATGTGGAAATTTTAAAGTTCATTCTAACAACGTATATGGAAAATAAAGGAAAAGAGGAGAATTCATACTAACCTCACTATTTATGTAGTTTGCATGCTTTGCTCCAACAAGTGGAATATATTTCTCATCCAAAGAATAACCAATGGGCTTGCTAATCTCCCAAGCATTTTTATAACGTTTCTAGACAAAAACAAAACAAAAAACAAATAGAAGTTTTGGTTAAAAATTCATTATTAGTTTCAAAGAAACCTGACGTTGTCATTTATACACACATGGAATATAATTTATAGTCACTGAATTGTCCCAGTAAAGTAAATGAGGAATGTTAATTTTGAATACATATTCAGTCTGACTAAGGCAAACAGAATTAGTGTTCAAATTCAGGAAGGTACTTGAGCACAAATCTAAGATGATCTCCGCTTTCTTTACTATATTTGGAATTCAGCATTTCTCCTCAGAGTAATACAAGTATCCAACATGTAGATACAAATTCTTGTTTAAAAGTGCAGCATAGAACAGACATTGGTAATTTTATAGATACCTGTTCAATATGGTGAAATCTTCCAGTAATACCACTGTATATTTTAAAAGCATTAACTGTGTCAGTGGCACTTTTCTAATACACCGTATTTAAAAAAAAATGAAATATATTTACTTTCAGACTAACTTAAGAAGCACCTACTCCTATGAAAGAGTAGTCACATCTAAAAAAAATAGAGATTTCCAATAAAAATTAACTTATGAATGTAAACAATCTACAATTTTTCTTTCTTAGAAAAGAAAATGTAAATTTCATTAGTAGTCTCAGAATATATCATTGGATGGAATTATAAACTGCTGTCACACAAACTCTACTACTGCTATTACTGTTTCCAAACACCCAACAGCAGGGCTTTGAGATCAGTTCAATAAGGAAAGAAATTAGCCTTATCGCAATGATCCAAACTAAGGAAAATGAATAAAAAAGAGATTAACTTTCACAGTGCCCCAGTAGACTAATGACAAAAATGAACAGTTTCCTGAAGTCCACCCCACATTCTGTTCATTTCAAAACAAATTAAAGCTTAGTTAGATATTTATAGAATCTTACATCACTGTATAGCAAGGACATGTCTTTGGCATGGTTCAGCGCAGGAGTATCATCAGACCCAATATACTGGCCTTTCTCAAGGTTAAACGTTTCTTTGTACTTTATCTAAAAGAGATGACAAACACAATGTTAATTCCATGGGAGAAATATATTACCCCAATGTGTCATCTCTTGGAAGTAGACATCGATTTTCTGTTATCGTATTTTCAGTAATGTTTGCAGATCCAACTACTATAGTACATAATCAAATGTCATCAGTACGTCCCACCACAAAATGCACACAGTATTGTAACAAAATTCAACTGGCTGATCAGCAATACATCTTAGTAGCAACACCAGAACTCCACTAGTACTGTACAACTAAGTGCTGTTCACCAAGAACAGGACTCAATTTTAAACTACTATATGCAAAACGTGTAAACTCTAAATAACAGACATGCTATATTCTTCTACAGAAAAACATTAAATTATTTTGGCTATACCATGCTGTTTGTTTATATCACTTCTTATGAAACTTATTTACCCCAGTAAAAGTCTATTATTAATAAAGCATCCATATGTATACACACGCATACATAGGTACATGCATAAACAGTACAGCTTAACAAAAGCAATTCAGTCATCTACTAACTCTAGTAATATAACAGTTTCTATTAAAAAAAAATGTACATACATCACTCTGATTGACGGAGTTCATCTTCGCCAAAACAATGTCGGGAGTGTCAACCACACTGGTATAATTGGAAAAGTTATCAAGGGCTTCTTTTGTATATGCTCTCTGCAAAGAGATGAAATAGTTTCTTAAACACTGAGCATGAGAAAGAGCTAATCGCATAACTGCTGAAATATTTTCTTTTACCTTATTTATCAGTTCTTGTGCATTCTTAACTTTCTTGTGTTCCACTGAATCCAGAGGAATCCAACCACAGCCACGAAGCCATTCCAAATCAGACTTATAAATATTCTGAATGATAAAAGATAGTACAAAAGAAATTATTTAATTCAGGGTGACATGTCTATTCTTATGAAGTTCTTTACTGTGAGGGTGGTGAGTCACTGGAACAGGTTGTCCAAAGAAGTGGTAAATGTTCCATTCCTCGCAGCATTCAAGGCCAGGCTGGACAGAGCCTTGGGGGACACGGTCTACTGTGAGGCATCCCTGCCCGTGGCAGGGGGGTTGGAACTAGATGATCTTAAGGTCCTTTCCAACCCTAACCATGCTACGATTCTATGATTCTATAATACAGGCAATACAGTCAGACCAAACTAAGTGGAAATTACATATGTATGTGATATCACTTACATCACTTTGCAGATCATAGGCCTTCCTTGCCTGAATACAGTCATTCTGGTCAGGATGGCATGTCCATTCATGCAGGTACTGGCGGTAGTCAATATCGCTGACCAAGGTCTGGCATTCCTTTGCTGCTACAACTGACACCATATCGGGAGGGAGGTGAATTTTGGATTTTGTCTTGTGATATTCTGATTTGTACAGTCTGTCATTCTGGATCTCGCCCGCATGCTCAAACCACACCAGTTTTGGATCATCTCTCATGCTGGCAACTCCAACATAGTGACCTCTTTGTTTGACATATTCAGCTTTGTATTTAAGCTGATGGAAGAGGGGAGAAATAGGTATAAAATCAGCACTGATTATATCTGTTCTGTTTTTAACCTGTAAACAGCTATGGTTTTGTCAACACAAAGAACAGATGAGACAGGAAGTTGTGAACTGCTGTCTTAGGTTTTCAGTACATGACCAGATAAAACTACAAAATAAAAAAAACAATAAAGTTATTTTGTATAGTCCTCCATGACAAAAACATAGAATTTTCTAGACAAATATGCTGCCATTTCTCAGTAAACAGTATTTTCAACACAAGAGGAATGATTTGTTAGAAAATATTTACTAATAGTTACTTAGTGGATTTAGCCTAATTTTTATAACTAATTATTTGAGACTGTCTGAAGAGTGGGTGTTTGAGGTATTTATAACTCACTGTTTTGACAAAATGTATATTCAAACTAAGTCATGTAATAATTGCAATATTCATTACGCAAAAGTTTAAAAGGTAATGTGCATACCATCTTATAGCTGTTCAAGGAGGAAACCTCCAGCCAATCAGTGAAATCAGAACTATAGGTAAAAATACTAATACCACTTCAATTACTGAACATCTCTAAAATGTTGATTTTGAAAGGACCATTTCTGGAGAAACTGAAAGTAGAAAGGAGAATCTGATCTTTCTGCACTGATGCCTCTAAAACCCATAATAACAAAGATGACCAAATTATCTGGAGGACAGTGGACTTTTTGGGTCATGGAAAGTCTACTGTATGTTACCCCTAAGGGAAAGCTTCCTATGTCTGTTGCTGAATTCGCAAGGCCCTTCAGCATTTCCAGGCTTCCAAGCACTTGCATTCCTAATGAGAAAGATTATTACCTCACTTTGGACATCATTTGAGCGTTTGGCGTGACAGATTTGCACAGTGTCAGGAGGTAAAAGATAACCAGTGGCTTTTTCTTTCTCCCAGTTTTCCTTGTATAAATTCTGTGGAAAATGAAAGGAGGAATTCAACACTACTCCCAAGATAATTATTACCATACATATGTAACCTTTATTGAAGTACAAGGATAACAAATCCTTCCTTAAGGATATTTTTAATAAAGCAAGTTTTCTAAATTCCTCACAAGAGTTATTAATATAAGTAGAAACTCTCAGGGAGCAATCACATACCTGATTAAGAATTCTGGCTGCTTCTCGGGCCATATCTAGTTGTGGTGTATCTGTTACAGTATAATTTGACTTGACCTCATTCCATGCTTTGTGGTATTTAATCTAGAAAAGAGAAAGAAATTACTGCCTTGCAGCATCATCACATCAGAGCTGTGAAAACATAATACCAAGACCCGTATTTTAGGCACGAAATAGTGTATAAAACCCAAATTTGCAAAGCTATTAGACACGACACGTTAAATATACATACAAATAGGTGGGTTTTTTAAAAGAAAATTGTACAAGAGAAGAAATAACAACATTTCTCAGGGATAATTTTGAAAATATGTTCCAAGGCAGCTGGGTAGACAGGGTATCTTCAGAAGTTATGTTACTTGTTTGGTCTACAGGGATGTATGGCCAGTAACCAAGCAAGAAGTGTTTGAACCAGGGCAATAGATTTTAAACTTTTTAAGAGCAAATCCCTTTAGTCAGCATGATCTCTCTGTAAATGTAGCATTCTAGCACATCCCAAACACAGAGATCTACATCAAGTCATGTTTCCAAGCACAGGACATGCCTGAACGTGTGTATGTGGTTGCATGGCACTATGTCATTCAATTCAAACATATCACAGTTATTGCCAACCTTTTACCAGTGAAATAAATGGGGCTTGTCTCTTCCTGTTCACAGACCAGCTCCTCACAGACTAACCTCCAAAAGCATATAAAGAATGGCAAGCTGAGAGTACATCAGTTTTGTAAATGAGAAGCAAAAGTGAGAAGAATTAAACGTGGGACCTTGATAGGCTGAACTGGGCAGAGACAAACCTAATGAGGTTCAACAAGGGCAAGGGTACTGCATGTGAGGAGGAAGAACCCCAAGCACCAGTACAGGTTGGAGACTGGCCTACTTGAATGCAGTTCAGCTGAGAATGACCTGGTAGATGGTAAGTTGACTGTGAGCCAGCAGTGTGCCCTTTCACCTAGGAGGGCCTAGCATGTACTGGGAGAGTGTGGCCAGCAGGTTGAGGGAGGTGATACTTTGCCCTGGTGAGGCCTTCTCTGGAGGCATTCAAAACCACCTGGACATGTTCCTGTGTAACCTGATCTAGGTGGCCCTGCCTTGGCAGGGGGGTTGGATTAAATGATCTCCAGAGGACCCTTCCAACCCTAATGATTCTGTGATTCAGTGATTATGCTCTTGTCCAAAGATACTGCATGCAGAAACTGTCAAGTCATGAATAAAAGATAAAAGTCCAATATTTACAAGGGCATGTAGTGGCAGCAGAAAGGGGAATGGCTTTAAAGTAAAAAAGAGTAGATTTAGATTAGATATTAGGAAGAAGTTCCTTACTGAGAGGGTGGTGAAGCACTGGCACAGGTTGCCCAGAGAAGCTGTGGCTGCCCCATCCCTGACAGTACGCAACACCAGGTTAAATGGGGCTTTGAGCAACCTGGTCTAATGGAAGGTGCCCCTGCCTCTGGCAGGGAGGTTGGAACTCGATGATCCTTAAGGTCCCTTCCAACTCAAACCATGCTGTAATTCTGTGATTATGGTTGCCAGAGTGCAAGCAGCTATTAATGTTCATGTTGTCATTGGCAACCAATGATATCAGCCAAGACTAAAAGAAGAATGCCATCCAGAGGGACCTCAACAGGCTTGTGAGGTGAACTGATGCCAACCTCATGAAGTTTAACCATGCCAAGTGCAAGGTCCTACACCTGGGTTGGAGCAATCCCAGGTATACCTACAGGTTGGGCAAAGAAGAGATTCAGAGCAGCCCTGGGGAGAAGGACATGGGGGTGTTGGTTAATGAGAAAATGAACATGAGCCAGCTTCAGTGTGTGCTTACAGCCCAGAAAGCCAACCATATCCTGGGCTGCATCAAAAGGAGCATGACCAGCAGGTTGAAGGAGGTGATCCTGCACCTCTACTCTGCTCTTGTGGGACCTCACTTGGAGTATTGTGTGCAGTTGCGGTGTCCTCAACATAAAAAGGACATGGAACCGTTGGAACAAGTCCAGAGGAGGGCCACAAGGATGAACAGGGGACTGGAACACCTCCCATATGAAGATAGGCTGAGAAAGTTGGGGCTGCTCAGCCTGGAGAAGAGAAGACTGTGTGGAGACTTCACAGCAGCCTTCCAGTATCTGAAGGGGACTTATAAGGATGCTGGGGGGGGACTCTTCATCAGGGACTGTAGTGACAGGACAAGGGGTAACGGGTTCAAAATTAAATGGAGTAAGTTTAGATTGGATATAAGGAGGAAATTCTTTCCTGTTAGGGTGGTGAGGCACTGGAATGGGTTGCCCAGGGAAGTTGTGAATGGTCCATCCCTGGCATGTTCAAGGTCAGGCTGGATGAAGTCTTGGCTGGCATGGTTTAGTGTGAGGTGTCCCTGCCCATGGTAGGGGGGTTAGAGCTAGATGATCTTAAGGTCCTTTCCAACCCTAACTATTCTAGGATTCTATAAGAAACTGGTTGCAGAACTAGCACTGGCTTTTCAAAATGTGTAGGAAAGATGTTATTCTGCTTAAGGAGCTTCAACCCTACAATAAGTGATGGAGAAGAGCTTGTGGAGACCTATTCATCTTTATGTCATACATTCACAGAATTCCCAGGAATTTTTAGCATTTTTTAAATATCCTTTTAAAGATAAAATCCTACCATTTAAGTATGCAGAGCAGTTTAACAGCCCAGAAAAATGCTGGTAAAACTTACATCACTACGAATTTCACCACTTTTCTTTGCTGTGATATAATCAAGTCGGTCTGCCACTGGAGTAAATGAAAGAGCTTCAGGTTTCGTACGATACTTTTTCTATACATGAGAAAAGATCACAAATCAGATTACACGGGAATAGCTAAGAAAGCAATTCTGAATACATAGACAAGACAAATTTTATACTGAAAGAAAAACTCTCCATGCACAATTAATGCTGTGGAAATGCTCCAGTTGTATCTTTTCTTTTTTCTTTTTTTTTTTTTTAAAGTATTTAACCATTAACAGTACTTTAAATTGCAAATGCACTCAAGAAAATTTAAGTTTTGAAAAACAATGTGTTACCTCATTCAAGAGATCTCCAGCATATTTGACATGGTTGATTCCAAGTGAATCATTTGGCAACCACCCAATTCCCCGTAGCCATTCTAAATCAGATTTGTAAACAGCCTGGCAAAACAAAGATGGTCCATCTAGTTAGCTACAGTTTTCTGTACAATCCAGCAAAATTCATAAATAATAGCACTTCTACTGGTTAAAAGGGCAGCAGTAATTCTAATATGAGCACCATATCTGAATTTATTACACTTCAGATGTGGCAATAAATAACAGTGGCATATACTTCGCATTTCTAATAAACAGCAAAGCCAATTCATTGAATTCAGCAGAAGGTCCCTGCTACTTAGAGCTGAAGCAGACTAAGAAGAGACAATACAGAGATAATTTAAGCTGTTTTCACTTACATCACTCTGAAGATCATAGGCCTTCCTAGCCTGTACGACGTCATTTTGATCTGGAAGACAGATCCACTGATGCAAGTATTGACGGTAATCAACATCACTGACCAAAGACTGACCCTGTTTAGCTGATACGATAGATAGCATGTCTACTGGTAGATGGCACTGTGTCTTCCATTTGGCAAAGTGTCTCTTGTATTCCAGTTCACTCTGAACTTTGCCTATGCCAAGGGCAAACTGCATTTTCGAATCTGCTTCTGCATTTGGAACTCCAACATAATGTCCTTTCTGCTTCTCATGATCCAGCTTGTATTTATACTGGGTAAAGAGCAAATATCACCATTACTTACTGTTACCATAAAATAGCTCTTAAAGGATGTGAAGAGTTAGATGACTTTGGTAGCACTTACATCACTAGCAATTTCTCTAGAAGCTTTGGCTGTCTTGATTGGGATTGCATCTGCTCTCAAATCATAACTCGTCTTCACCTCATCCCAAGCTTCTTTATACAGTTTCTGAAAAGACAGCAAGATGTCCCATATATGCTAAATATTCTGGCATTTGCCATTAAAGAAACACGCAGTTTACTGTTATTCATTTGCTGAAATACTGTAACTATTTTTTGTGCATTATTCCTGCTCTCAGCCACAAATACTGATGTAAATCTTACTGCCTTTCACGCATATACAGTGCCTGCAACACAACTTTTGCAACCTATACTGCATAGAAGGGTGTTTGTAAAAGTTTAGAAAATATTTATATACTTCGGGCTCTCATCCATTTCAAGAAACTATTACCTCAGTGGTGAATGAAATTAATAATTTTTTTAACAGCTGCACACAATGCAAGCATTTATGTTAAAATGTCTAATTACTTTAAGAATAGCCATCAAAGGGAAGGGAATTTTGCAAGCTCTGTATGACTTCAATGAGATTCATGTGACTTAATCTTCAACTTTGTAAGCAACATCTTAGAATGTTAAAATCCACAGGATACACACACTACTCTATAGAAATGTAGAAAACAGAATAATAAGCATACCTTACTATAATTAACAGCATTGGTCTTGGCTAGGTTGATTTCAGGTGTGTCTGCCATAATATGGATCATAGTCTTGTCCTTTTCCCAGGCTTCTTTGTATTTTGGCTGTTAAAACAGTTCATTTTCTGATAATGTAATTACGGAATTTCACTTGTCAATAACAAAATCCCATAAATCCCCTCAAAATTATCATCTCTAAAAAATAGAATGTCTGGAAATGCATTACACTTGACTTACAATACTACTGATCAATTTTATATTTTAGCAGCGAGATTTCTCTTTAACTGTTTATAGCTTTGAGAGAACTTTAAAAACATTGTAACGTACAATGCTGACTTGTTCGGCATTTGCTTTAGCAAGAAGAACATCTGGAGAATCAACAACACTGGTATATTTCAGGCTTTCAATAGGTGTACGATAGACATTATCACTCAGAAGATCCTGGGCATGCTTCACTCTCTTAACAACTGGAGAGTCATTAGGCAACCAACCAATTCCACGGAGCCACTCCAGGTCTGACTTATAGACAGCCTGTATCAGACACAGTCGGAAAAGGAAAACATTGTGTTTTCAGTGTCATAAGTAAAATACAACCTGGGAACTAGCTTTTAAGTAGCTTTTTTCTTAAACTACACATTCGAAACCTGGTGAAGTTAAATGGAGGGGAAACAACAGAACTAAGTGCCATTAATGATGATGAGTACTGAGGTCTTAAAAAAAGACTTCTGATGCCCTCCAAAATATTTATTCCTCTAGTCATTTCAACAATTTACAAGTCAAAAAACCCACAAGCTGCCCACCAGGAAATTCAACAAAAAGGAGGAAAAACAATGTTACAGAGTTAATGGAGACTAGAGCTAAACAGTGTCATTCCTGAAGTGATATCAGGCACTATTATTAAAGTATTAATCGATAAAATCAGCAAGGACCATTTCAGCAAGGACCATTTCACTTTTGAAACTCATAATTGAAACAGGAGAGACCTATGCTGCCTAATTAGCAGCCAAGTCAGGACATCAGCTGTACTGACTCCTCCCGTTTTGAAATCAGCCACTTAAAGATCTTACCTGCTATCTTATATAGGTTTCTTGAAACTAAACAAATTTTCAAGTCGACTCAAAGAGGAGTAAAAAAAGACATGTGATTCCAAAGAGGCAAACAGATGTTATTCCATCAAAATAAGAGAAAAATACTTCATCCTCTCCAGATCACTGTTACAGTGTGTGTAACAGATGCCAAGTAAAGCTTCGATACAATTTAGACGTATATTTTTAAAATTATGAAAAAGAGCACTGACATGAAAAATTAAAAAAAATAAAATTCGGAAGATATATCCTTGGAGACTGTAGTATCAAACCATCAAAATCGGGCAGTAATATATCAAATATCAACAGCAGTTAATAACACATCCCTGGACATACTCACATCGCTCTGTAGATCGTAAGCTTTCCTGGCATGGATCACATCATTCTGGTCAGGCAGACACGTCCACTGGTGAAGGTACTGACGATAGTCAATATCACTGACTAGCGTCTGGCAATCCTTGGCTGCCTGCACTGACATTGCATCGACTGGTATGTGGACCTGGGACTTCGAATCATGGTATGCCTTCCTGTAAATTCGGTCATTCTGCAGCTGCATAGCACGCGCAGCCCACGACAGTTTGGGATCCTCCTGGGCAGTTTTGCACCCAATGTAGTGGCCTTTCTGCTTCTCATGTGTTTCTTTGTACTTGTACTAGACATGCAGAAAGAACATAAGCAGTCACACACTGCTCACCTCAACATCACTCACAAAGGCTTTCAGCTTCCTAAGCTATAAATCCTTTGAGCTGAACTTCAGTCAGTTGAGCTGGACACAGAAAGACAGGCATAGCTACAACATTAAGAGAAGACTATACCTCACTAGCAATGTCTCTGGAAGCCTTGGCGTGTTTGATGGGAATGGCATCAGCTCTCAGGTCATAGCTTTTTGCCTTGGCCTCATCCCAGGCCTTCTGATAATGTTTCTGCAAATAAAATAATCAACCTTGTTACACACAGTCAAGACTGATAGCAATGCCTCTTCTTAAAGACTATTCTGGAAATTTAATTGTCATACTCTACTAATTCTTCACATGCAGAATGATTTTATTCTCTTACATTGCTGATGTTGAGAGCGTTGACTTTGGACTGCAGCATTACAGGAGTATCAGAAGGTATGGAAACCTGCGTCTTATCTCTATCCCAGTTTTCACGATACAGACGCTAAGGAGAAAAGCATAATGACATTTCACTATGGTCTAAACACTGAAGAATCTCTCCCATAGGAATTACTTGGTAATTCTGATTTGCAATATTTTCCAATTAGTCATTCCCATGGAACAAATTCTAGTCTCCACCACAAAAAAAAGTCTGCATATAAATGAAAGATAAGTGAAAGGCAAGTGAAAGGTAAGCTTACGTCACTGATCTGCAAAGCATTGATCTTAGCCTGGACAATGTCTGGTGAGTCAGTAATGCTGGTGAATTTAATCTCATCCGGACGTGTGCGGTACAACCTCTCATTCAGGAGTTCCTGGGCTTTCTTTGCTTTCACCACATCCACAGAACCTTCTGTCAACCAGCCAATGCCCCGCAGCCATTCCAGATCCGACTTGTATACATTCTACAAAGAAACCAAGGTTTACTGACATTGTAGGGACAACTACGTGGAGAGAGATTTTGTAAAAGGTTTTCCCCAATTTCCTCCTCATGCAGTTACACAGCAAGCAGGCACTGAAATGGTGGTGTACTATGTCCTTCCCAAACACAGCAAGGACAGTACTGGTCTTTTAAAGATACTTGCTATATACATATCAGTGGTATTATCTGCAAGCAGTCTGCAAGCAAACATTGTATGAGAAAAATATGGTCACCTTACAAACTGCCTGGATTATTTCTGTTCCCCAAGCTGAAACCATGACTGATTTGGAAAGGACCATCCAGACAAATTAAAATAAACATACCAGGGCTCACTGCAGGCTCATGAATGTGCATTTGAAAGTATATTTGCTCAGTCGCAAACAATCAAAGCCTTACACACCTGCCATAAAGCTTTCCTACAATTATTCTCACTCACATCACTCTGTAGATCATATGCCTTCCTGGCATGGATCACATCATTCTGGTCAGGCAGACACGTCCACTGGTGAAGGTACTGACGATAGTCAATATCACTGACTAGCGTCTGGCAATCCTTGGCTGCCTGCACTGATATTGCATCGACTGGTATGTGGACCTGGGACTTCGAATCATGGTATGCCTTCCTGTAAATTCGGTCATTCTGCAGCTGCATAGCACGCGCAGCCCACAGCAGTTTGGGATCCTCCTGGGCAGTTTTGCACCCAATGTAGTGGCCTTTCTGCTTCTCATATGTTTCTTTGTACTTGTACTAAGGAATCAAAAAGAAGTATTAAATGAAATAGTGAAATGGGGATGAATTTCACATAATTTCACATTGCTACTAATGACAAATATATTTTGTTGTTGTGAAATTTACTCATTTAGACTTTAGAAATGCCTAATATATTTTTCCTCTACAGCTTCTGGTTATTGTTATTGTATTTTATTACTTTCCAATATCTGCTTAATGTCAGGATTTATAATTCTATCTTCCTTTTGAAAACGGTTGTCAATTTTCTTTCTGAAGTTAATCCTTTGTCCGTAGGTTTTCAGGATTAATCTGATATACCATGGGGTTTTATGTTGTACATAGCTTATTATTTCATTCTTGTTTCTCAAGGTAACTGAAAATAAATGTAAAGGAAGAACATACGTCACTCGCTATATCTCTTGAGGCCTTTGCACTTCGGAATGGAATTGCATCAGCTCTCATGTCATAACCCTTCTTTTTGGCATCTTCCCAGGCTTGTATATAAAGTTTCTACGCAAAAGGAGACAGAAAAGGCTTATCAATATTCTGAATGACAGAACTTCTAAATTTCATAATTGTTTTTTTTAATTTTCAGGAATGAATATGTTAAAATATCTTTATTGTTAAATAAATGCTTACTTAATTTCTGAATTTCCATTAGTTTAGTATATGTTTAAATGTTCTTACATGGCTAACGTTAGCTGCATTGGCCTTCGCTAACAAAATTGATGGTGTGTCAGGCATCACATGAATTGAAGTTTTGTCTGCATCCCAAGCTTCTGTGTATAAACGCTAGAAGAGAGAAAACCACATTCCTTTAGAAAGTTTCTTTATATGTGGCATAATGGAAAGACCGCAAATTTGAAAGCAGTAGTTATCAAAAGTACATCCATAATACAAAAGAAAAGTAACCTTGAAGCAGGATATATATATATACACACACACATAAGCAAACTATTACATTCATCAAAGAATGTATTTTACAAACTGTGAGCAGTAGTTCAAGCAAGCTTTAAATCCCCTGACATAGCAAAGTTTCTCACTGAACAGCTCAAGAAAGTTTTGTCCTTCATTGTTATTTCTTAGGTTAAGTTGGCACAACAATTGATTGATTTAGGATTGCTGGGAAACTGCTGGAGGAAAACTATATTCATTATTCTGCCCTACTTGTATGAGTTGTCTGATTGATGTTTCTTATTAAAGAGGAGTAGGTATTTTGTGACTTTCACCCTCTAGATCTAAGATAAATTGCAGAAGCTTCACTTCCAAAGTACATAAGCTATTTCCTCATAACTTGCTCATGATGCGGTATGACATTTGGTCATGATACAATACATCATTATAGCAGTTGCGGTAAAAGCCACAATATTCTGCTACATCCTATCTTATAACATGGTCATGGCACCGCCAGCTCTGGATATACTGTAGAGTACATCCACTACCTTGCTGAAACACTATTTCTGCAGATTTCACAGTATTGTCTAAGAACTGCAAAAAAATTTTGCATGTTCTGTCAGAGATAAGCTTTGTATAATGAAGTCACATTAACAAAATAGAAGAAAGATACTAAACAAGCATTTTAAAACAGGATTTCAGCTGATGTGAAAAAGAGAGAAATTCACCAAAAAAAAATAGAATTACTCTTGAAAAATATGTGATTTAGGTGACTTTTTTTCTGGACATTCTTACTACATGTTCAGTTTAGACAGAGCCCTGAGACAAGAGCCTTCCTGTGCAAAGGCTGAATTCAGACATTTATTTTCTCTAAGTCCACAATGAAAGTGTTTAGTCTTACTTTGCACTTCGAATTTTTCACGTAATGAATAAGTTCCACTAGCTAAAAACAGTAGTGATTTTTGACCAAAAAAAACCCCAAAACAACCAAAAGCCCCAAGCTCACCTTGTTCATTATCTCAGCATTTTGCTTGGCTAAGACCATGGCCAAAGAATCTGTCACACTAGTAAATTTAATTTGGTCTGCTGGTTGACGATACTTCCTTTCACTCAGGATTTCTCCAGCTTTCTTGGCCTTTTCAACTTCCATGGAACCAATAGGAACCCATCCAATACCTCTTAGCCATTCCAGGTCTGATTTGTAAACCGCCTGAAAAAATTCAAAAGTTCAGAAGTTATATATGTGCAACTTTGGTCAAATAGTAAAATAATTACAAATAAGCATATCTGAGTCTATATGAACAGTTGTGTATATTTCCATATAGCAGCAGGATATGGTTTTGAAAACAAATGTTATTTTGGAAGATATAGTGAAATAATTATTAAATAACAAAAAGAAGAGAGTTATTAAGAACTCTACAAATATCAGACTTAAACACAATTTACACCTCAGGCTAAGGACTGAAAAAATAGGATTGAAAATTAAACAAATTTAATGATCTGATACAGTAAACATTTCGCTTCCATCAGCATGTCTCATGCAAGTGCCTCAAGCATACTATGTATGCTTTAAAATTACATTGCACAAAAGCCTGTATATGTAGTTATGACTTACAAATGTAAAGATTTACTCACGTCACTCTGTAGATCATAGGCTTTCTTAGCATGGATAACATCATTCTGGTCTGGTAGACAGATCCATTGATGCAGATAGTGGCGGTAATCAATGTCACTGACCAGCCCCTGACATTTCTTGGCCAACACAATTCCCAGCATGTCCACTGGGCTACTGAAGTGTGTCTTTGTCTTCTCAAAGGCTTTCTTGTACTCCCTGTCACTCTGGATCTTGGCTACGTGCATTGACCACATCATCTTTGGATCATCCTCTATGTTACGGGCTCCAATATGGTGGCCAAGCTGCTTGCGATAGCCTTCTTTGTATTTGTACTGAAATTAGGTTCAAATTCACATGGTATAATTATAAATTAATAAATAATTCACAGTTTAAAATAAGTGTTAGTATTTTGCTTAGAGAAAAGTATTATTTGGGTTCTGCTACTGTTTTATTAATTTTAACATACAAATTATTTTTATTACACATATTATCTCTGATTTTTTACATAACTATATCACACTTCAACTTAACATTTCATGTCACATATTAACAAGGTTGATATTCCACATTCTTTAACTATTACGATTAAAATGTAAAGATTAACTTATTTAAAAGCTTATTACAAAACCCCAGTGAAGTCTTAGGTAGTTAATACTAACAGTTTAAGTATCAATCTTGATAGAAAAAACAAGGATCACAAAAAACTGTTATCATCCGTCTGTTAGTCATGCTTCCTCATTCCAGAAGCAAAACCTGTCATAGCAATCTTGAATTTCAATATTACATTTCAACAGAAGTGTAGTATTTTTCCCTGAGGAAAAGACAGCAATTTAGAATATTCAGAATTTATTTACTAATATATCTGGTTTGGGGACAGATTTTAAAGTATTTCCTATTTTTAATCAGAAATTAATTTGACTAATACTAGCACAGACTCGTATACCTTACTGACCATCTCACTTCAATATCCATGGACATCAATGGAACTATCACAGACGGCACAGAAATAATCCTCACAATTATTTTATTATTGCGGTATATACCTCATGCATAAAAATACTGGCTACCCATTCCTTTCATGTACTAAAAGCATGTGGTAGAATCACTGGATTTCCATTTTATTTATTCTATAAACCTAAGGTATTACAGTAGCAAACAAATGATTCTTTTCCATTACCAAATCCATACAGACATGATTAAAAACTCTGCTTACGTCACTGGCAATCTCTCTGGATGCTTTGGCAGCTTGAATAGGAATGGCATCAAAACGCAAATCATGACCCTTCTTCTTCGACTCCTCTAAAGCTAGTCTGTACATTTTCTGTGAGAAAAACATTCAAATTTTTCTTTCAAAAACAAAATCACACTTCAGTTAAGCACATATGTGTAATAAAACAAGTTAAGTGCTTAAACAATACTGTCAACGTTCAGGCAACTTTAACATTTGAAAACAGCTTTACCTTCTCTAGAAAATAAAAATATGAAGATTTTGCAATTGTAAATGCCTGGAAATGTTAAATAATTTAGGGAAGGCAAAGCAAGGAATATTCTGCAAGTTAAATTATTTATTTCCATACCTTGCTATAGAAATGATTTCTCATTTATAGCAGGTAATATATTTCAAAAGCTTAATTAGACACCAGCATTTTAGCAATTCTAACACTGGAGCTGGCAATTTGTGAAACTAGACAATTTAACAGTATTAAACATTAATGAAAGTCAGAGATGACAAAATTGTATTTGACAGATAAAAGGATCTCTGGCAACTCTTCAGTTTTACTCACCTGACTGTAGTTTATCTGGTTTTGTTTAGCTAGCAGGATTTCTGGTGTGTCAGGCATGACGTGAATCATAGTCTTATCTTTATTCCATACTTCAGTGTACAAACGCTAAGAAAGAATAAAGGAAGTGATTAAGATTGCATTCCAAAACAAGTCAGTATCTCTTTAGTCAGGTAAATCACAGAGCACACTAGATAAAATTATAGAAAAAATAGCATGAATAAACAGTTAGGTATTTAATCAGGTAGAGATACCATTATTAAAAAGATTTATCTGAGGAAATTCAATAACATTTAGAAAACTGCCACACTACTTAAGAATAATAAGTAAACAAGCATTATAACTGCTCACTGCAGAGACATGTCAAAGAAAAGATTAAAATGTAATACGCAGAATATTGTTATAAAGTTGAGGCTTCAATTACAAGGCTTGATAGTTTTTACTGAAATAAACAGAACACACTACAGGAAAATACATCATTTCTTAACTTCAGCATTACCTGTGATCATTATATTTCTAGTCCTGCACACAGAGGTGAGGCAGGGACTACTGATGTGTTACCTAATCGAATCAACACTCACCTTATTCATTGTCTCTGCATTCTGCTTGGCTAAGACCATTGGTACGGAATCAGGGATGCTAGTAAACTTAATTGTGTCCGGAGGCTGACGGTATACTTTATCACTCAGGATCTCTGCCGCCTTTTTGGCTTTTTCAACTTCTGGGGAACCAATTGGGACCCAACCAATGCCTCGTAACCACTGAAGGTCAGACTTGTAGCAGTTCTATTATCAAAAATATACATAGGTTATTCTGATAATAGTAATGAAAATTACCTAGTGCATCTTTTCACAGTTAAGTAACCTCACTATCAACTTTTAATTCAAATAAATTCAAAAACCCAGAGAAAATTTTAGGAAAAATAACTGCACACATACACATTAAGAGTGATACCATTATCCAAATTTCACAGAATGGCAGATGATAAAAAGCCCAAATTATGAAATTAAAGAATATAATTTAAATATCAGTTAGTTAAAATATCCTATTGGAGATAGAAGTTTCAAATTAGCAATGAAACTTAAATCTTGAAAATGTCATTCTACCACAGTGATATGCGATCCACCTATTTAAAATATCAAATACATTCCTCAACAAAAATGAAATCAAAAAGAGCTTACATCACTCTGCAGATCGTAGGCTTGCCTAGCATGGATAACATCATTCTGGTCTGGTAGACAGATCCACTGATGCAGATAGTGGCGGTAATCAATGTCACTGACCAGCCCCTGACATTTCTTGGCCAACACAATTCCCAGCATATCCACTGGGCTACTGAAGTGTGTCTTTGTCTTCTCAAAGGCTTTCTTGTACTCCCTGTCACTCTGGATCTTGGCTACGTGCATCGACCACATCATCTTTGGATCATCCTCTATGTTACGGGCTCCAATATGGTGGCCAAGCTGCTTGCGATAGCCTTCCTTGTACTTGTACTGAAATATAAATCAAGATAGTATATTTCTGTATTACCTACTAATATCAGTTACTCATATTAAATATTTCTAATAATAAACTCTTTAAATTACTCCATAGCCAAAGTCAAAACAACCCAAACTGTCAAAGCAATTCTGGAGCTAATAATATGAATTCTCACATTAAATTTCTGAGATTTGAGTTAGAACCCTAGAGATTTTTAAGTAAGCTTATTGATAAAAAAAACCTCACATTAGTGAGAAACAAACCTCTTATTAAATATTTGATCTTTATTAAATATAATAATATACATGGTCTTATGATTTAATTAAGGATATAGGTTTATGAGCTATGAAATTGATGGGAAGCACTATACTGCCCTTATAACTTCCCAAACTTTTTACAATAAAATCTGTAAACATATATAATAATTTGCTTCCCAAAATCTGTCATCTGGGATCACAGTTTAACTGAAATGCCTTTTTCAGATTTCAGCTATAACTTTCAGGTTGCAGAGATCAAATATCATCACACAAAAACCCAAAACAGTGGTTTCTTACATCACTGGCAATTTGCCTGGATGCTTTGGCAGCTTGGATGGGGATAGCATCACTTCTCAAATCGTAGCCTTTCTTTTTGTCTTCTTCCATGGCCTGCTTGTAGTGTTTCTAGGTAAAGAATTAAACAGTGAGATTTATGTAAGTTCATTCCATATATTGCATTCTATGTAAAACAGACTGTGAGTAGATTTTTAAAATTGTGTTAGGATTTATTCCAACATAGCTTTATCTAACTTTCTCAACTCAAAGCCCCATATCAGTAGGTGATACAAATTCATAACAAAGGAAAAGCTTTGCTAAATACATTTGATAACAATTTTTTTTCTGTTACTTCTTTGAACAACATAACATGGACTACAGTGTACAGATAAACTATTCTTCTATAAAGTGAAGTAAAACTTACTTTTTAAAGCCACTTCTTACTGATGTGAATTTATTTGCCTAAACTAACACTAAACATTGGGATAACTGCTCTTCAGAACTGTGCTGAAAATTACCTTTTTGGTATTTCCAAGCTTGAAATTAATTTTGTACCTTCCTAATAGTATGCACACTGAGAGAAACTACTCCCAGAAATTTATTGGAGACACACAGCTTCTCATGAAATTTATTGTCAATACTGCTCACTGTTGTATGCATGCACTACAGTATAAATATCAAAATTATGTTTTTAAAGTCACAATTTTGAGGATAAATATTGAGGGCTACTTAAAGAAATTGATGGTATCATCAATACAAGGTTTATCAGAACACTGATGACCCAGACATTAAATAGACCAGTTACATTTGGAGAGCTCACACACTCACCACACTGTAGTTTTGCATGTTCTGTTTTGCCAGTATGATTTCAGGTGTGTCAGGCATTACATGGATTTGTGTCTTGTCTTTATCCCAGGCCTCAGTATATAAACGCTGCAGGAGAAATAATATACATTAAAGGGGAAGAACGATGGTTACTAGCTGGAGACCTCCTAAAACACAAAAATTAAAGATCTGTACTCAAAGCCTAAAAAAAAACCCACCCAAAACAAAAAACCACCTTATTCCTTATATAGCAATGAGATTTTATATTCACTCTGTAACCTGTATATTAAGTATCTAGAGAATTAGTAATGGAGAAAGAATTCTGTTCAAAAAACAGTGTTTAGAAGAAAAGGCACAGAATACTCATCAGAGACACAGAGATCTAAATGCTAAGGACAAGGCGTGTTTGGAAGAGGAAACGGTTTTATTGACATAAACAGGGTTGAGATCAGGGCCACAGATTAAGAAAACTCTTACATTAAGTACTACACTGAATTGTTTAAAATAGGAATGTTTCAAAGACTGACCTAACACAAGTAGTTTATTAAGTATTAAACTACTAGATAAATCTAGATTTATTAAACAAATTGATATATTAAAAATTAGATGAAAGTTAGGTAACATATTACTAGATACACAGTATAGTATGTGGAAACTTCACAGTTGATAATTCAAATTTAAATCAATAATTCAAAAGATATTCTTTAATTAGCACCTACTGAAAAGAAGTTACCTGACAGCTACCAAAAATGTAATTTATACTTTCAAAGCCTTGCTTCACAGTTATCTGATACAGCAATCACATGTTTGTATCCCTAGTCCTGTCTAGAGTTTACGCAGGGACTTCTGATGTGTTACCTAATCGAATCAACACTCACCTTATTCATTGTCTCTGCATTCTGCTTGGCTAAGACCATTGGTACGGAATCAGGGATGCTAGTAAACTTAATTGTGTCCGGAGGCTGACGGTATACTTTGTCACTCAAGATCTCTCCTGCCTTTTTAGCTTTTTCAACTTCCAGGGAACCAATTGGGACCCAACCAATGCCTCGTAACCACTGAAGGTCAGACTTGTAGCAGTTCTATTACCAAATACAAATACAGCTGTCTCATTAATATTGCCAGGTAAACATTTTACATATACCATGAAACTAATTATTACTTTCTATAAGTTGTCTTCCTCCTACTTCAATCTGCAAAACAATCTTTGTTAGGAAGCTAGACTGAGACCCCATATCTGTAATACGTGAAGACATGTGAAGGAACATATCTAACTTCAAGAGGTATTTTTCACCCCAAAACATGCTGGAGAATGATCAAAGAGCAATAGATTATAACAAAACCCTGGAGTCAGTAGAAAGTTTTCCTGTAATATTTGTTCACAATAAATACATAGTTACCCACTTAAAACAACACTTCTTAATGAAAAACATCTTCTCCAAGACAGAACGAAGTAATACCTTCCAATAAAGAGGCCGAAATATAAAAAAAAAAAAAAAAAAAAAAAAGCCTAGGCAATTTCCTATTATATACTGTTAATCTGCATACTATTAAGATGCAGATTGACTATTAAGATGCAGATAGACTATTATGAAGGAGTATATGCATATAGATCTACTGTTCAGCTAATTAATAAGCTGTTTAGAAACTGCCCTAATACCCACACATACTGCTACTCACACAGAGATTCAATCAGTCCTAAAATTCCAATGACCTTGCTTGGGAATGAAAAAAGAAAAACATAATGTGAAAAAAACCAACCCAATATGGGACACAGACACTTCAAGCAGCATCCATATTTTAGAATCAAAAAAATGACATACAACTTAGAACTCCAATGCTTATCACCTAGTACTCACATCACTCTGCAGATCATAGGCTTGCCTAGCATGGATAACATCATTCTGGTCTGGTAGACAGATCCACTGATGCAGATAGTGGCGGTAATCAACGTCACTGACCAGCCCCTGACATTTCTTGGCCAACACAATTCCCAGCATATCCACTGGGCTACTGAAGTGTGTCTTTGTCTTCTCAAAGGCTTTCTTGTACTCCCTGTCACTCTGGATCTTGGCTACGTGCATCGACCACATCATCTTTGGATCATCCTCTATGTTACGGGCTCCAATATGGTGGCCAAGCTGCTTGCGATAGCCTTCCTTGTACTTGTACTACGGACAAAAAAGTGTTCAGAGAGATTTAGATTAGTTTTCATTTCATGAGAGAAGTTAGAAGCCCTGCATTCAATTACGAGCACCCGGAAACACTTTGAAAGGGTGGGCCCGCAAGGGCTCCACTGTACTTACATCACTTGCAATGTCTCTGGAAGCTTTAGCAGACGTGATAGGAATGGCATCTGCCCGCATGTCATAGCCCTTTTTCTTATCTTCCTCCATCGCAAGCCGGTACAGTTTCTGGAAGAGAAACAACCACTCTCCTCAAACAACAGTGCTTCCCAGGCCACAGCAGTGTCCAGAGATGGACGCTTAACCCCAGCTCAACCACCTACCTCACTGTAGTTCACTTTGTTCTGCTGGGCCAGCAAAATACCAGGTGTATCCGGCATAATGTGAATGCTGGTTTTATCTTTCTCCCAGGCTGACGTGTACGCACGCTGAAAAGAACAAGTCCAATGTGAAAGAAGACCAAGCTAGCACAGGGAAACATAAACAGCAAACTGCATCAAGGAACTGAAGCCACGGGACTCCACTTTGCAATGCCTCAGGAACACCTCTCCTAGTCCCAAAACATTCTAAAACTTCGCGCATCTCTTTTCTACCCTGCGCCCAATAACACATAAGAGAATTTGATCACAAACAACAAAAACAAAGACCCCGTGCAAGAGTAGGCAATATACTCATTAAGAAACCCAGGCCTCGGAAGGAGAGAACACAGCGTCTTGGGCCATGCACCTATTTCCCTCAGGCTGAAAACACAAGTAAAGCACACCTGGTTCATGATTTCAGAGTTGTGCTTTGCCAGAACCATGGGCATTGAGTCAGGAAGGCTTGTGAATTTGATGGTGTCTGGGTGTTGCCGGTATTTCTTGTCACTCAGGATGAGGCTCGCCCTCTTATTCTTCTCATCATCCAGCGAACCGATCGGGGACCAGCCAATGCCCCTCAGCCAAGTAAGGTCAGACTTGTACACGTTCTGAAAGGACAGGCAAGGACACAAAGCTGCTCAGCATCCTCCTTACGCCATGCAACCACTCCTCTTCTGTGATCAACATTTATGACCATACACTAAAACCAGCACTGGCCATTCCTTACAAATCTCAGCAAAAATAAAGCTGGACAGTTGGGAAATCTCCTGAATGGTCAAATCAGAAACTAATGAGACCCGGAGGAGAAAGGCTGAAACTGTAAATTTCTTTTCAACAGAAATACAGGGGGAATGGCTCTAAACTGAGAAAGGAGAGACTAAGATTAGCTATGAGGAAGAAGTTCTTCCTTGTGAGGGTGGTGTGGCACTGGCACAGGGTGCCAGGAGAAGCTCTGGATGCCCAGCGCCTGCAAGTATTCAGGGCTTTAAGCAACTGATTCTACTGGAAGACTGGTTCATACTGTAGAAGTCGTGGGAAGTGGAGATCATTGAGGTCCCTTCCAACCCCAAACCATTCTAGGATTCAGCAAGAATTTAAATACACCACACAGTCTCAGTCCCACAGAATAAGCCTACAATTACTCTCCCCATCTAGACCTACTCCAACAAAGGAATACCACTGACCAAAGTTGTTTCCTGGTTTTCACATAGACAGCAAGGAACAACTTACATCACTCTGGAGGTCGTACACTTTCCTGGCTTGTACAACGTCATTCTGGTCCGGCAGGCAGGTCCACCGATGCAGAGGGTGCTTGTAATCAACATCACTGACCAGCTCCTGACATTTCTTGGCCAGCACGATTCCCAGCATGTCCACTGGGCTACTGAAGTGTGTCTTTGTTTTCTCAAAGGCTTTCTTGTACTCCCTGTCACTCTGGATCTTGGCTACGTGCATCGACCACATCATCTTTGGATCATCCTCTATGTTACGGGCTCCAATATGGTGGCCACGCTGCTTGCGATAGCCTTCCTTGTACTTGTACTATAGCAATAAGGAGTTCAGAGAGTTTTAGATTAGGTTTCTTTCCCTCCATAGCAGCCCCTAAAGCTCAAACTCTCAACAAGTTAGCATCTTAAACCACAGAGAGTGAAAGCAAGAAAGTATTGAGATGATGAACTGCAGAGTGCGGCAGCGAAAAGATTCTTATAACATTATCTGCCTCATATGCTTTCCACATTTTCCAGATATTCCATGTCCTGTATATTAGGAGATACCACTTAGGATCTGGGAGTAAAAAAAGTCTTAACATAATGGCAGTGACACAAGAGCCACAAATCTCAATAACTAAACCCTATGGAAATATCAATTAGCAACCCTCAAGACAGTAGCCAAATAAACTACAATTATATCTATTTAGGAAATAAAAACTGAGGAACATAAAGACAGAATGGGAAGGTTAAGTGTAGACACCAGTTAAATTAAACAGATATATATACTAGTACATAAAAATAACAGCAAAATGTTTTATTTTACCCTGCCTATATTTTCTACACTAAAAATAGCTTGGGGTTTTTGTTCCCATTGTGCAGTTCAGCTGTGTCTGCTACCAGGGGCATGCAGAGTACTCACAGTGAGGGCAGGACACCTCCTCACAAATCCAGCCTGAATGCTCAAAGTGATGCTGCCACAAGCCCCTCACGGACATTGCTTTGGATTACGTCCATCACACAGATCCCACACATACTCTCCCCACACCATCTGCAAATTACCTAACAACACTGCACACCAACAACATGCAAGGCCAGTTACACGCAGACACTCCAGAATCAAAATAGTTATGGACTGACTGAATGGTTATGACATGTAAGAGCTATGTCGACTCCATCTGGCTGAGGTTAGAAGCCCTGCATTCAATTACGAGCACCCGGAAACACTTTGAAAGGGTGGGCCCGCAAGGGCTCCACTGTACTTACATCACTTGCAATGTCTCTGGAAGCTTTAGCAGACGTGATAGGAATGGCATCTGCCCGCATGTCATAGCCCTTTTTCTTATCTTCCTCCATCGCAAGCCGGTACAGTTTCTGGAAGAGAAACAACCACTCTCCTCAAACAACAGTGCTTCCCAGGCCACAGCAGTGTCCAGAGATGGACGCTTAACCCCAGCTCAACCACCTACCTCACTGTAGTTCACTTTGTTCTGCTGGGCCAGCAAAATACCAGGTGTATCCGGCATAATGTGAATGCTGGTTTTATCTTTCTCCCAAGGCTACGTGTACTACGTTGAAAAGAACAAGTCCAATGTGAAAGAAGACCAAGCTAGCACAGGGAAACAAACAGCAAACTGCATCAAGGAACTGAAGCCAGGGGACTCCACTTTGCAATGCCTCAGGAACACCTCTTCTAGTCCCAAAACATTCTAAAACTTCACCCTCTTCTTTTCCATGCTGCGCCCAAACACTGCTCCAACCACACATAAGAGAATTTGATCACAAACAACAAAAACAAAGACCCTGTGCAAGAGGAGGCAATATCCCCATTAAGAAACCCAGGCCTCAGAAGGAGAGAAAACAGCGTCTTGGGCCATGCACCTATTTCCCTCAGGCTGAAAACACAAGCAAAGCTCACCTGGTTCATGATTTCAGAGTTGTGCTTTGCCAGAACCATGGGCATTGAGTCGGGAAGGCTTGTGAATTTGATGGTGTCTGGGTGTTGCCGGTATTTCTTGTCACTCAGGATGAGGCTCGCCCTCTTATTCTTCTCATCGTCCAGCGAACCGATCGGGGACCAGCCAATGCCCCTCAGCCAAGTAAGGTCAGACTTGTACACGTTCTAAAAGGACAGGCAAGGACACAAAGCTGCTCAGCATCCTCCTTACACCATACAACCACTCCTCCTGCCAAGGGAAGCTCTGCCAACCAAAACACATTCCCCGGGTAAACCACTTGCCACCACAAAAGGGACTCCCGTTAAGCTCAGATCCACACCGCCTGCCTTCCCACACCTACAGCACCATGAGCAAGTGCCAAGCCATCCACATACCCTCTACCTCCATCTTTCTCATCTCCCCAGGAACCAACTGCAACACTTGGCCATCTCCATCCGGCTGGCAGAGCCATCAGAGAAGCCTTATACCTCATCACCTAACACTCTTCGTATCATTTGCCTCTGTACATCTGGCATTCCTTTGACCACTGACAGCCCTCCAGAGGAAAATATTTGACTCTGTTGCCCTCCCCCTGATGTACACAACTACAGACACCTGAAAACTGCTCAAGGCAAGACAGGACTCTTCTGTGACCATCATCCATGACCAAACACTAAAACCGGCACTGGCCATTCCTTACAAATCTCAGCAAAAATAAAGCTGGACAGTTGGAAAATCTCCTGAATGGTCAAATCAGAAACTGATGAGACCCGGAGGAGAAAGGCTGAAACTGTAAATTTCTTTTCAACAGAAATACAGGGGGAATGGCTCTAAACTGAGAAAGGAGAGACTAAGATTAGCTATGAGGAAGAAGTTCTTCCTTGTGAGGGTGGTGTGGCACTGGCACAGGGTGCCAGGAGAAGCTCTGGATGCCCAGTGCCTGCAAGTATTCAGGGCTTTAAGCAACCGAGCCTACTGGAAGACTGGTTCATACTGTAGAAGTCGTGGGAAGTGGAGATCATTGAGGTCCCTTCCAACCCCAAACCATTCTGGGGTTCAGCAAGAATTTAAATACACCACATAGTCTCAGTCCCACAGAATAAGCCTACAATTTCTCTCCCCATCTAGACCTACTCCAACAAAGGAATACCACTGACCAAAGTTGTTTCCTGGTTTTCACATAGAGAGCAAGGAACAACTTACATCACTCTGGAGGTCGTACACTTTCCTGGCTTGTACAACGTCATTCTGGTCCGGCAGACAGGTCCACCGATGCAGAGGGTGCTTGTAATCAACATCACTGACCAGCTCCTGGCATTTCTTGGCCAGCACGATTCCCAGCATGTCCACTGGGCTACTGAAGTGTGTCTTTGTCTTCTCAAAGGCTTTCTTGTACTCCCTGTCACTCTGGATCTTGGCTACGTGCATCGACCACATCATCTTTGGATCATCCTCTATGTTACGGGCTCCAATATGGTGGCCACGCTGCTTGCGATAGCCTTCCTTGTACTTGTACTGCAGGATTGAAGAAGCTCAGTCAGTTTCAGGACAGCTCTTCTCCCTTCTGACACTGTTCTGTAGCAGCACCTCGGAGCATGCACTTTTCTAATGGTGTCTGGCAAGATCACCAGCTGAAGAGGTGACTAAGTGCCTCATAGCCCTATTGAGTCCTATACACTTCCATCCCATGCATGTCTACACTGGGCCACAGAAGGTGCATGGAGCCCAGATAAGAACTGCAACACATCTAGCTTGGGAACCAGGAGGTATGTGTGCAAAGAAGACATTCTTCTCCATAGAGCCTAAGCACATCCACTGAGAGGCCTGCTCAGCAGCTGGGACACAAAAGTCAGGGAAAAGCACCAGACTGCTCCTGCAGGCAACCTGGGCCTCCATCTGCACAGTCCCAACAGTACTCACCCATAGCAGCCCATAGCAGCTGGCATACTCCACTGCTCCAGGCTCTCCTGCCAGTGCTCAGGAGTCTTATCCTCCCAGCTCAGTGTGGGCCCTGAGCTGCAGGCCTACAGCCACTGAGTGGGAAGTGACAAGAAAGTGCCAACTGAGAAAACACTCCCTTGCCTCTCAGTGAAATCTCATGTAAGACTGAAGAGATCAAACTCATTTCCTTCCAGCCAACAAAGGAGCCTTTAACTACCGAGTATCACACAAGAGATTAAATTTGGATCTTGCAGAGCTGAGACCTGAAAGGATACTCTCTGGCACTGCAATGACTGGCCTTCAGTGACTCCACCCACCCCTTGACAGAAAAGATAACTGCCCAATCATTACACAAAATTTGGCTTGATTTTCCAATCCAGTTGTCCATCTCAACTGGGTTGCTGTAATGTCAGGGCACAAAGACTCACCACACTGGTGGCAGAAACACATGTCACAAATCCAGCTTGAATGCTCAAGGTGATGCTGCCACAAGCCCCTCACAGACATTGCTTTGGATTACATCCATCACACTGATCCCACACATTCTCTCCCCACACCATCTGCAAATTACCTAACAACACTGCACAGCGACAACATGCAAGGCCAGTTACACGCAGACACTCCAGAATCAAAATAGTTATGGACTGGCTGAATGGTTATGACACGTAAGAGCTATGTCGACTCCATCTGGCTGAGGTTAGAAGCCCTGCATTCAATTACGAGCACCCGGAAACACTTTGAAAGGGTGGGCCGGCAAGGGCTCCGCTGTACTTACATCACTTGCAATGTCTCTGGAAGCTTTAGCAGATGTGATAGGAATGGCATCTGCCCGCATGTCATAGCCCTTTTTCTTATCTTCCTCCATCGCAAGCCGGTACAGTTTCTGGAAGAGAAACAACCACTCTCCTCAAACAACAGTGCTTCCCAGGCCACAGCAGTGTCCAGAGATGGACGCTTAACCCCAGCTCAACCACCTACCTCACTGTAGTTCACTTTGTTCTGCTGGGCCAGCAAAATACCAGGTGTATCCGGCATAATGTGAATGCTGGTTTTATCTTTCTCCCAGGCTGACGTGTACGCACGCTGAAAAGAACAAGTCCAACGTGAAAGAAGACCAAGCTAGCACAGGGACAAACAAACAGCAAACTGCATCACACTGCTGAAGCCCAGGGGACTCCAGAAGAGCATCCCTCAGGAACACCTCTTCTAGTCCCAAAACATTCTAAACTTCACCCTTCTTTTCCATGCTGCGCCCAAACACTGCTCCAACCACACATAAGAGAATTTGATCACAAACAACAAAAACAAAGACCCTGTGCAAGAGGAGGCAATATCCCCATCAAGAAACCCAGGCCTCGGAAGGAGAGAACACAGCATCTTGGGCCATGCACCTATTTCCAGGCTGAAAACACAAGCAAAGCTCACCTGGTTCATGATTTCAGAGTTGTGCTTTGCCAGAACCATGGGCATTGAGTCGGGAAGGCTCGTGAATTTGATGGTGTCTGGGTGTTGCCGGTATTTCTTGTCACTCAGGATGAGGCTCGCCCTCTTATTCTTCTCATCGTCCAGCGAACCGATCGGGGACCAGCCAATGCCCCTCAGCCAAGTAAGGTCAGACTTGTACACGTTCTGAAAGGACAGGCAAGGACACAAAGCTGCTCAGCATCCTCCTTACGCCATGCAACCACTCCTCCTGCCAAGGGAAGCTCTGCCAACCAAAACACATTCCCCGGGTAAACCACTTGCCACCACAAAGGGACTCCCATTAAGTTCAGATCCACACAGCCTGCCTTCCCACACCTACAGCTGTATGAGCAAGTGCCAAGCCATCCACATACCCTCTACCTCCATCTTCCTCATCTCCCCAGGAACCAACTGCCACACTTGGCCATCACCATCAGGCTGGCAGAGCCATCAGAGAAGCCTTATACCTCATCACCTAACACTCTTCGTATCATTTGCCTCTGTACATCTGGCATGCCTTTGACCACTGACAGCCCTCCAGAGGAAAATATTTGACTCTGTTGCCCTCACCCTGACGTACACAACTACAGACACCTGAAAACTGCTCAAGGCAAGACAGGACTCTTCTGTGATCATCATTTGTGACCATACACTAAAACCGGCACTGGCCATTCCTTACAAATCTCAGCAAAAATAAAGCTGGACAGTTGGAAAATCTCCTGAATGGTCAAATCAGAAACTAATGAGACCCGGAGGAGAAAGGCTGAAACTGTAAATTTCTTTTCAACAGAAATACAGGGGGAATGGCTCTAAACTGAGAAAGGAGAGACTAAGATTAGCTATGAGGAAGAAGTTCTTCCTTGTGAGGGTGTTGTGGCACTGGCACAGGGTGCCAGAAGAAACTCTGGATGCCCAGTGCCTGCAAGTATTCAGGGCTTTAAGCAACCGGGTCTACTGGAAGACTGGTTCATACTGTAGAAGTCGTGGGAAGTGGAGATCATTGAGGTCACTTCCAACCCCAAACCATTCTAGGATTCAGCAAGAATTTACGTACACCACATAGTCTCAGTCCCACAGAATAAGCCTACAATTTCTCTCCCCATCTAGACCTACTCCAACAAAGGAATACCACTGACCAAAGTTGTTTCCTGGTTTTCACATAGAGAGCAAGGAACAACTTACATCACTCTGGAGGTCATACACTTTCCTGGCTTGTACAACGTCATTCTGGTCCGGCAGACAGGTCCACCGATGCAGAGGGTGCTTGTAATCAACATCACTGACCAGCTCCTGACATTTCTTGGCCAGCACGATTCCCAGCATGTCCACTGGGCTACTGAAGTGTGTCTTTGTTTTCTCAAAGGCTTTCTTGTACTCCCTGTCACTCTGGATCTTGGCTACGTGCATCGACCACATCATCTTTGGATCATCCTCTATGTTACGGGCTCCAATATGGTGGCCACGCTGCTTGCGATAGCCTTCCTTGTACTTGTACTGCAGGATTGAAGAAGCTCAGTCAGTTTCAGGACAGCTCTTCTCCCTTCTGACACTGTTCTGTAGCAGCACCTCGGAGCATGCACTTTTCTAATGGTGTCTGGCAAGATCACCACCTGAAGAGGTGACTAAGTGCCTCATAGCCCTACTGTGTCCTACACAATTCCATCCTGTGCCATGTCTACACTGGGCCACAGAAGGTTCATGGATCCCAGACAAGAACTGCAACACAGCTAGCTCAGGAACCAGCAGGTACATGTTCAAAAAAGACAGGTTCTGCACACAACCTAAAACATCCCCAGTCAGGCCACTGGGAGGCCTGCTCAGCAGCTGGGACGCAAGTCAGGGAAAAGCACCAGACTGCTCCAGCAGGCAACCTGGGCCTCCATCTGCACAGTCCCAACAGTACTCACCCATAGCAGCCCATAGCAGCTGGCATACTCCACTGCTCCAGGCTCTCCTGCCAGTGCTCAGGAGTCTTATCCTCCCAGCTCAGTGTGTGCCCTGAGCTGCAGGCCTACAGCCACTGAGGTGGGAAGTGGCAAGGGGTAACACAACACTTTTTCAAAAATGTACATATTGAGAACTTCTGGAAGAAAGTTAGAGAAGAAGCAAAGAAACGAACCTTTGTGACTGCTGTCTACTAAAGGCGACCCTATTAAGAGCAAGAGGCTGAGGAAGAGTTCTTTGTTCACCTGCAGGGAGCATCACACTCAGAGTCCCTCATCCTGATAGGGGACTTTCACCATCTGGATATGGGTTGGAAAAACCATACAGCAAACAGCAAGCAGTCCTGGAGACTACTGGAGTGCACTGAAGACAACTTCCTAACATAGGTGATTGAGTCCTGACCAGAAAACAGGCACTGCTGGAGCTGTTGCTCACTCATAAGGAAGAACTTACTGAAGAGGTCAATACTGGAGAGAGCCTGGGCTGTTGCAATTGTGTTCTGGTAGATTTCTCAATAAAAAGGATACAGGAGAAGTAAAAAGTACAATCAGTACCCTAAACCTCAGAAAGGCGAACTTTCAGTTGGTTAGGGTGCTAGTGAGTGGGATGCCTGGGGAAAGTCTCCTCAGAAATACAGAAATAAACGAGAGCTGGAGTGTGAGGTGTCCCTGCCCATGGCAGGGAGGTTGGAACTAGATGATCTTAAGGTCCTTTCCAACCTTAACTATTCTATGATTCTATGATTCTATTTGAAGACATTATTCTCAGGGCACAAGAATTCTCCATCCCAACATTTAGGAAGACAGGCAGGAGAGGTAGGACATGAGCTTGACTAAGTGAAGACCTATTAGTCAAACTCAAATGCATAGGCAATAGCAGCAAAACCAAACCAAAACCAAAATGCACAGGCAATGGAGGCAGGGACACACATCCTGAATAAATTATAGAGATATGGCCCAGGAGAGCATGGAGTGGATCAGGAAAGCTAAAGCACAGCTGCAGCTGAACTTGGCTAAGGATGTTAAAAAAACAAGGAAGGTTTCTTCAGGTAGATAGGACAACAAAGGAAGATGAAAGAAACTGTACCCCTGCAATGAATGAAATGGGAGACCTGGCTACAACTGACATGGAGAAAGCTGGGGTACTCAACAAAACCTTTTCTTGGTCTTCACCAGCAAGTGCTCCAGCCACACCACCAAAGTCACAGAAGGCAAAAGCAGGGACTGGGAGAATGAAGTACTGCCCACGACCTGAGAAGATCAGGTTCAAGATCATCTAAGGAACCTGAAGGTGCACAACTCCATGGGACCCAATGAGATGTATCTGTGGTTCTGAGGGAACTGGCAGGTAAAGTGGCCAAGCCATTATCTATCCTATTTGAGATGTCATGGCCATCTGGTGAAATTCCCACTGACTGGAAAAGGGGAAACATAGCCCCTATATGTAAAAAGGCAAAAAAGAGAGTCCTGGGGACCTACAGGCCAGTTAGTCTCACCTTGGTGCCTGGCAAGATCATGGAGAGGATCCTCCAGGAAACTATGCTAAGGCACACATTAAACAGAAGTGACCAGTGTCACCAAACATGGCTTCACTACAGGCAAATCATGACTGACAAATGTGCTGGCCTTCTACCATGGTGCTACAACATTGGTGCATAGAGGAAGAGGGACTGACATCATCTACCTGGACTTGCGTGAGGCATTTGATACTGTCCCACACAACATTTTCATTTATATAATGAAGACAAAGGGATTTGATGGGTGGATCACTCAGCAGACAATGAATTGGCTAGATGGTCACACTCAAAAGAATTGTGGTAAATAACTTGATGTCTGGGTAGAAACCAGTGATGAGTTGTGTCCCTCAGAGGTCTGTACTTGAACCAGTATTATATAATGGCATTGCTGGGAACATGGACAGTGGGATTGAATGCACCCTCAGCAAGCTTGTGGATGTCACCAGGCTGAGTAGTGCAACTGATACATCAGAGGGAAGAGATGCCATCCAGCAAGACCTTGACACGTTTGAGAGGTGAAACTGGGTGAACCTCATGAGTTTCAACAAGGCAAGTGCAAGGGCCTGTATGTGGGTCAAGGCACTCCCAGACATGGTCACAGACATATAAGTGGACTGAAAACAGCCTATGGAAAAGGACTTGGGGGTACTGGTGGATTAAAAACTGATTAGCACAGAAAGCAAATCATATCCTGGGCTGCATCAAAAGAAGTTTGGCCAGCAGGTCAAGGGAGGAGATAATATCTGCTCCACTCATGATACACCACTTGGAACACTGAGTTCAGCTCTGGAGCACAAAGTGTAAGAAAGACATGGACCTGTTGGAGCAAGTCCACAGGAAGCCAAAAAAAAGATGCTCTAAGAGCCAGAGCACCTCTCCAATGGAGACTAGTAGAGAGACATGGAATTGTGCAGCCTGGGGAAGAAAAGACTCTGGAAACACCTTATAAAAGCTTTCGAATACCTAAAAAGGGTCTATAGGAAAGATGGGGAGGGACTCTTTATCAGGGAATACAGTAACAGCTCAGGGGAAAATGGTTTAAAACAGAAAGAGGATAGACTCAGATTAGACAGTAGGAAGAATGTCTTCACCATGATAGTAGTGAGGCACTATAAAAGGTTGCACAGAGAAGTGGAGGCTGCCCCATGCCTGGAAATGTCAAAGGCCAGTTTGGACAAGACTTGGAGTAGCCCGGTCTAATAGGGGAGGTATCCCTGCCTGTGGCAGGGGGGCAGAAACAACATGATTTTTAAGGTTGTTCCAACACAAACCACTCCAGGATTCTATGATTTTTTTTACAAATTCTCCTCCTGAAAAGTCAAGTAAGATAGAGAAAGGTGCTCCAAGAAGGGCTCTGCTGTACTTACATCACTTGCAATGTCTCTGGAAGCTTTAGCAGATGTAATAGGAATGGCATCTGCCCGCATGTCATAGCCCTTTTTCTTATCTTCCTCCATCGCAAGCCGGTACAGTTTCTGGAAGAGAAACAACCACTCTCCTCAAACAACAGTGCTTCCCAGGCCACAGCAGTGTCCAGAGATGGACGCTTAACCCCAGCTCAACCACCTACCTCACTGTAGTTCACTTTGTTCTGCTGGGCCAGCAAAATACCAGGTGTATCCGGCATAATGTGAATGCTGGTTTTATCTTTCTCCCAGGCTGACGTGTACGCACGCTGAAAAGAACAAGTCCAGTGTGAAAGAAGACCAAGCTAGCACAGGGAAACATAAACAGCAAACTGCATCAAGGAACTGAAGCCACGGGACTCCACTTTGCAATGCCTCAGGAACACCTCTTCTAGTCCCAAAACATTCTAAAACTTCACCCTTTTCTTTTCCATGCTGAGCCCAAACACTGCTCCAACCACACATAAGAGAATTTGATCACAAACAACAAAAACAATGACCCTGTGCAAGAGGAGGCAATATCCCCATTAAGAAACCCAGGCCTCGGAAGGAGAGAACACAGCGTCTTGGGCCATGCACCTATTTCCCTCAGGCTGAAAACACAAGCAAAGCTCACCTGGTTCATGATTTCAGAGTTGTGCTTTGCCAGAACCATGGGCATTGAGTCAGGAAGGCTTGTGAATTTGATGGTGTCTGGGTGTTGCCGGTATTTCTTGTCACTCAGGATGAGGCTCGCCCTCTTATTCTTCTCATCGTCCAGCGAACCGATCGGGGACCAGCCAATGCCCCTCAGCCAAGTAAGGTCAGACTTGTACACGTTCTGAAAGGACAGGCAAGGACACAAAGCTGCTCAGCATCCTCCTTACGCCATGCAACTACTCCTCTTCTGTGATCATCATGTATGACCACACAGTAACACCAGCACTGTCCATTCCTTACAAATCTCAGCAAAAATAAAGCTGGACAGTTGGGAAATCTCCTGAATGGTCAAATCAGAAACTAATGAGACCCGGAGGAGAAAGGCTGAAACTGTAAATTTCTTTTCAACAGAAATACAGGGGGAATGGCTCTAAACTGAGAAAGGAGAGACTAAGATTAGCTATGAGGAAGAAGTTCTTCCTTGTGAGGGTGTTGTGGCACTGGCACAGGGTGCCAGGAGAAGCTCTGGATGCCCAGCGCCTGCAAGCATTCAGGGCTTTAAGCAACCGAGTCTACTGGAAGACTGGTTCATACTGTAGAAGTCGTGGGAAGTGGAGATCATTGAGGTCCCTTACAACCCCAAACCATTCTAGGATTCAGCAAGAATTTAAATACACCACACAGTCTCAGTCCCACAGAATAAGCCTACAATTACTCTCCCCATCTAGACCTACTCCAACAAAGGAATACCACTGACCAAAGTTGTTTCCTGGTTTTCACATAGACAGCAAGGAACAACTTACATCACTCTGGAGGTCGTACACTTTCCTGGCTTGTACAACGTCATTCTGGTCCGGCAGGCAGGTCCACCGATGCAGAGGGTGCTTGTAATCAACATCACTGACCAGCTCCTGACATTTCTTGGCCAGCACGATTCCCAGCATGTCCACTGGGCTACTGAAGTGTGTCTTTGTCTTCTCAAAGGCTTTCTTGTACTCCCTGTCACTCTGGATCTTGGCTACGTGCATCGACCACATCATCTTTGGATCATCCTCTATGTTACGGGCTCCAATATGGTGGCCACGCTGCTTGCGATAGCCTTCCTTGTACTTGTACTGCAGGATTGAAGAAGCTCAGTCAGTTTCAGGACAGCTCTTCTCCCTTCTGACACTGTTCTGTAGCAGCACCTCGGAGCATGCACTTTTCTAATGGTGTCTGGCAAGATCACCACCTGAAGAGGTGACTAAGTGCCTCATAGCCCTATTGAGTCCTACACACTTCCATCCCATGCATGTCTACACTGGGCCACAGAAGGTTCATGGATCCCAGACAAGAACTGCAACACATCTAGCTTGGGAACCAGGAGGTGTGTGTGCAAAGAAGACATTCTTCTCCATAGAGCCTAAGCACATCCACTGAGAGGCCTGCTCAGCAGCTGGGACGCAAAAGTCAGGGAAAAGCCCCAGACTGCTCCAGCAGGCAACCTGGGCCTCCATCTGCACAGTCCCAACAGTACTCACCCATAGCAGCCCATAGCAGCTGGCATACTCCACTGCTCCAGGCTCTCCTGCCCAGTGCTCAGGAGTCTTATCCCCCCAGCCCAGTGTGGGCCCTGAGCTGCAGGCCTACAGCCACTGAGTGGGAAGTGACAAGAAAGTGCCAACTGACAAAACACTCCCTTGCCTCTCAGTGAAATCTCATGTAAGACTGAAGAGATCAAACTCATTTCCTTCCAGCCAACAAAGGAGCCTTTAACTACCAAGTATCACACAAGAGATTAAATTTGGATCTTGCAGAGCTGAGACCTGAAAGGATACTCTCTGGCACTGCAATGACTGGCCTTCAGTGACTCCACCCACCCCTTGACAGAAAAGATAACTGCCCAATCATTACACAAAATTTGGTTTGATTTTCCAATCCAGTTGTCCATCTCAACTGGGTTGCTGTAATGTCAGGGCACAAAGACTCACCACACTGGTGGCAGAAACACATGTCACAAATCCAGCCTGAATGCTCAAGGTGATGCTGCCACAAGCCCCTCACGGACATTGCTTTGGATTACGTCCATCACACAGATCCCACACATTCTCTCCCCACACCATCTGCAAATTACCTAACAACACTGCACAGCGACAACATGCAAGGCCAGTTACACACAGACACTCCAGAATCAAAATAGATATGGACTGGCTGAATGGTTATGACACATAAGAGCTATGTCGACTCCATCTGGCTGAGGTTAGAAGCCCTGCATTCAATTACGAGCACCCGGAAACACTTTGAAAGGGTGGGCCGGCAAGGGCTCCGCTGTACTTACATCACTTGCAATGTCTCTGGAAGCTTTAGCAGATGTGATAGGAATGGCATCTGCCCGCATGTCATAGCCCTTTTTCTTATCTTCCTCCATCGCAAGCCGGTACAGTTTCTGGAAGAGAAACAACCACTCTCCTCAAACAACAGTGCTTCCCAGGCCACAGCAGTGTCCAGAGATGGACGCTTAACCCCAGCTCAACCACCTACCTCACTGTAGTTCACTTTGTTCTGCTGGGCCAGCAAAATACCAGGTGTATCCGGCATAATGTGAATGCTGGTTTTATCTTTCTCCCAGGCTGACGTGTACGCACGCTGAAAAGAACAAGTCCAACGTGAAAGAAGACCAAGCTAGCACAGGGAAACAAACAGCAAACTGCATCAAGGAACTGAAGCCAGGGGACTCCACTTTGCAATGCCTCAGGAACACCTCTTCTAGTCCCAAAACATTCTAAAACTTCACCCTCTTCTTTTCCATGCTGCGCCCAAACACTGCTCCAACCACACATAAGAGAATTTGATCACAAACAACAAAAACAAAGACCCTGTGCAAGAGGAGGCAATATCCCCATTAAGAAACCCAGGCCTCGGAAGGAGAGAACACAGCATCTTGGGCCATGCACCTATTTCCCTCAGGCTGAAAACACAAGCAAAGCTCACCTGGTTCATGATTTCAGAGTTGTGCTTTGCCAGAACCATGGGCATTGAGTCGGGAAGGCTCGTGAATTTGATGGTGTCTGGGTGTTGCCGGTATTTCTTGTCACTCAGGATGAGGCTCGCCCTCTTATTCTTCTCATCGTCCAGCGAACCGATCGGGGACCAGCCAATGCCCCTCAGCCAAGTAAGGTCAGACTTGTACACGTTCTGAAAGGATAGGCAAGGACACAAAGCTGCTCAGCATCCTCCTTACGCCATGCAACCACTCCTCCTGCCAAGGGAAGCTCTGCCAACCAAAACACATTCCCTGGGTAAACCACTTGCCACCACAAAGGGACTCCCATTAAGCTCAGATTCACACAGCCTGCCTTACCACACCTACAGCTGTATGAGCAAGTGCCAAGCCATCCACATACCCTCCACCTCCATCTTTCTCAACTCCCCAGGAACCAATTGCCACACTTGGCCATCTCCGTCCGGCTGGCAGAGCCATCAGAGAAGCCTTATACCTCATCACCTAACACTCTTTTTATCATTTGCCTCTGCACACCTGGCATGCCTTTTCCCACTGACGGCCCTCCAGAGGAAAATATTTGACTCTGTTGGTCTTCCCCTGCCTTACAAAACTGCAGCCAGTTGTTAATTTCTTTTCAACATATTACAGGAAGAATGGCTTTAAGCTGACAGAGGAGAAATTTAGATTACATATTAGGAATAAATTCTTTCCTGTGAGGGTGGCAGTCACTGGTACAGCTACTGGATGACCTGTGCCTGGAAGTGTTCGAGGTCAGGTTGGACGGGGCTTTGAGCATCCTGGTCTAGTGGAAGGGGTCCCTGTGGCAGTGTGGTTGGTACTGTGCAAAACATGCTAAGTGGTGAAACTGGCCTTTTAGCTTCAATCTGATCTACATTGGCATCACAAACTAGTTATGAAATTTTTTTCAATAAGCCGTATATATCTTATAGAAAATAAATTTAATTCAGAGGAAGCTTACGTCACTCTGTAGTTCATAAACCCTCTTTGCCTGTTCGACATCAATCTGGTCTGGCAGACAAGTCCAGCGGTGCAGCACTCGTTTGTAGTCTACATCACTAACCAATTCCTGACATTTCTTAGCCAGAAGGAAGCCCAGCATATCCACGGGCATATTAAACTTTGTCTTCCACTTCTCAAAATCTTTCTTGTACTCCCTCTCACTCTGCATCTTAGCAACTTGCATAGACCACAGCATCTTAGGATCATCCTGTAAGCTGCGGAATCCAATGTGATGTCCCTGCTGCTTGCGGTAACCTTCTTTGTACTTGTACTAAAATGACAAAAATTGCATTATTGAAATTACAGTAAGGAACAGACAATGGTAAAATATATAAGCAAAACATGAATATATTATCTCAGTTCAATGTCTTTCATTAGCAATGAAATGAGCAACTTGTTATGGCTTTTCATGTAAATTTTTAGTAGTCCCTTGATTAATGTGCATCATTTGGTGTCAGTGAACAATGTCCCTCAGAAGGAAGACAGTCCCTGGAGAGGAAGAATGCATGGCTACAAGAATGGTCTCCTGTGCCATTTAATTTATACAGTCATACTGTTCAGAACTCCCAAAGGCCAACATATTGAACTATTTTGATGAATACAATAATCAGCAACGAAAATTGCAGATGCTTAATCACTCGAAACATTTCCTAATGATTGATAAAATCTCTTCCATAAATGCAGGACTTATATTTATACCAAGTTATGGTAACAGCACTGTGTGTCACCACATCTATTTCAGAGTTTTAAAAGGGATTTCTCAGTATGGGCACTGAGATCAGCTAACTGGACTAAATTTGCTGCTGCTCTGAAAATGCAACACCCAGAAGAGCAGACAACTGTTAACCTTGTATGACTAGCCACTCCATGGGCAGACCACAATCTTTGGAATTGTCAAGATGCCAGAGCAACCCTTCTTAAATTTTCTCCACTGACAAAAACAGATCAGGAAAGAGTTTTGCCAGCAATTTTGCTTTTTACTCCAGGCTACACCTTAGCAAAAAGGTGTATCTCAATCTAGTGCAACTCTGTAGGTTATAGCAACTAGATAAAGTGTCCGTCATATTAAATTAGAAATATTGCTTACGTCACTTGCAATGTCCCTTGAAGCTTTGGCAGTTTTCACTGAAATGGCTTCAGGTGTGAGGTCATAGCCTTTCTTTATCATCTGCTCCCAGCCAAGCTTGTAGAGTTTCTAAAATTTAAACCAGTATTAATTTAAAAGTCTTAGTAATATGCAAGTCACCTTCTATTTAGATCTGCTAATGAGCCATAATACCGAATTCTGATCACCTCTCAGGCTGCAGAACAGAAACTGAGAATAAGCAAGGAACCCAAGTCTTCCAAGTCTTAGGCTAGTGACTAAATAGTTTTTTTCTTTACTACAGCAGCTTCCTACTATGTCTTATCCAGAAGATTTGAAACATATGTGGGGAATTTGAAGTATATACATCCAGGATAACTGAAAACTTTTCAGTTGGCTCAACAAAATTGTAACTAATAAGGCTGTAATACAGCCATTTAATAGTCAGGTCAGTTTGTGCATGGTTGTTTTTAAGAACCAGCACTTGCAAGTCAAAATTTTGCCTCTAGGCAATAACGCAAAGCAAAATCTAAGTCTTTTATACCAGCACAATTGTCACTTTCTTATATTTGAAAGCTGACAGAAAAATTAGAATCACTGCATGTATTCCTTATCCCACATGTTAAACATATACACAATAAAATACTCATTTTGTAGTAACAAATTTTTAACATAATTGATTTCTATGATAAGCATAGAGTATGGATCATTCATATCCAGATTTTAAAATAAGAATTTATCTTTTCCATACAATAAAATGTAATTTAGGCTGCTACTTTGCTAGGCTGAAGATGGTATTGTTGCTACTCTGAAAATACTACTCACGTAAAAATTCTTGCCTCTGTCCTAAATCATCCACTCCATTTTTTCTAATTTAACACAAATTAATTACTTATTTTGAAATGGGAGGCATCTTTAAATTTGAATAAAGTGGATATTAATTAAAAATGTAATAGGAAGTATTGAAAAACACTACCTGACTGTAGTTCGCCTTGTTCTGTTTTGCTTGTAGAATATCTGGTGTATCTGGCATCACATGAACCTGAATTTTATCCTTCTCCCAGGCTTCAGTATAAGCATGCTATTGAAAAAAGTAACATCAGGTATGTCAAAATATAGGACAAAGCATGGCTCTTTGGGGATTTTCACCTTTCCATCTGTGCACTTTGGATATGGATGGGTAAAAAGATGAAGGTAATGACTTAGATTTATCTTAGGACATAATGACCCAATCCAGGATCAGCTGAATTAGGATGCAACCTTGCTTCTAATTAAGTCCAACTATCAAGATTTTCAGGGCCAGTAATTTCTATATAGGAATGAGAAGAATAGAGGTTGGAGAGGTAGCAATGAGAAAAATGAGGGAAGATTTATTTAACCAATGTTATCTATCAGCAACTGAGTATTTCATTAAGGGAAAGCAAAAAAAAACCAAACTTGTGACAGGTTGTTTTTCCCAGGGAAACACTGCTACATAAAGGCTGTAACAGAGACAACTGTTTCTTGAAATGGATTAGATGTGAATGTCTGCCTTATTTTCCCCTTAAATACTCACTTTGTTCATTATATTTGCATTCTGCTTTGCAAGGACCATGTCCATGGAATCGTTCTGTTTTGTAAAGGGGAACATGCTGGGATGCTGACGGTATTTCTGATCACTTGCAATTTCCATGGCTTTCTTAGATTTCTCCACATCAAGAGAGCCAGCAGGACTCCAACCAATACCCTTGAAATACTCATTATATTCCTGCTTGTACTCATTCTGCCAAACAGAATACAAAAGGAAAGTTTACAATATACAAATGGCTCATATAAAATAATCTGTTGCTCCCAAAACACAGCTGTAATGAAAAAAATCAGGGAAAAAAGGTCACAACAGTGAACAACAGAAAGACAAGAGAAACTTACATCACTTTGTATCTGATTCATGTTTCTGTACAGTTCTAAACTCATTGCATCTGGTAGCAGCATATATTTGTGAATCAGTCGTTTGTAGTTAGTATTGGTTATGCGATCTTGTGCCTCCTTAGCTGCTACAATGCTGAGCGTATCAGAAGGTGTTTGGTAATGTGTCTTGCTTTCCTCATAACCTTTCTTGTACTCGCGATCAGACTGCATCTTAGCCACTTGCATATAATGGACAAGTTTGGGATCGTCCTGAAGGCTGCGGAAGCCTACAAGTTTTCCCTTGTCTTGTTCATAACCTAATTTGTATTTATACTGTAAAGAAAACAGAGACAGAGACTTTAATTCTACTTCATTTGTTTAAAACACAGTATCTATCATGTGATGAAAAATCCCCACAACTTAGATTAATTTTTACATTATTAAAAAACATCACAAAGCAGACAGAAGTATTGGCTTGGTTGTAAAAAAAAAAAAAAAAAAAAAAAAAATGGTGGGCTAAATAAAATGTCTTCACGTTCCTCTCAGGCTGGATTTGTCCCTGCCACAGCACGTCCCTCATCACTGATACATAAAGGAATTCAGAATGGTCCTGATTCCAGAAACTGGTATTCTCTGCACCAAGAAATGTTACGAGACTTTCACCAAAGGAATAAAGATAACTGTACCACAGCAGTAAAAATAATTTTAGTTCGTATCTGTTCTTTCTGAGTATTCCTAAGAACAAACTTTGATCATTCTGTCTAAACTACAAATACAAGACATACATTTATAAACTATTCAAGAACCATCACACTGAGGAATAAACTGCCTTATTTTTTTTCTCTGGAAATACCTCATACATCTCTTTACCTTTCTAATTAAGAAATTTTTTTTTAACCCATCTAGAAAATGTATTGGAATATATATTGTATATTTCAGAACTATTTACAAGCAAAAAAAACAAAGACATTTCATATATTTGGCATATAAAATTGAATTGTGTCAAGAAATGAATGTTTTACAACATCTGAAATGGATCATGTTTTCTTTCAAGAACTTACATCACTAGCAATATCCCTAGAAGCTTTGGCAGCTTTAATAGGGATAGCATCAGCTCTAAGGTCATACCCTTTCTTCCTAGATTCTTCAAAAGAAAGTCTGTACATTTTCTGTGAAAAAAAAGAAAAGAAACATCCTTTAAAATGGCAAAACATACCACAATCACTTAAACAAAACTCTAGTAATTTAATACAATAGCGTGAAACAGAGACTATTCCTATATTTAACATTCCTTGAACAGTTCTTTAAGGCACTCAAGGGACAGAGCTATAAATATCCATTCAAAATTAACACTAATCCTAGTATTCATACATCAATGCAGATGGACTGAACTATAATCAGTGACAACACCCTATAATAAAAGAGCAAGAGATTGCGTTAGTTTTCCATGTGTGCAGATATTGGTGAATAGTTTACACATATAAGGATGCCACCTTTAAAAAAACAACATAAATATGTCTATTTCTATGCACACTGAAGATGTGCACAAACACTTTTCTATTTAGCATACACAGTCTTAAAAACTGGCTACCAAAAAATTCTCAAATACCATCTGTTACAGAAAGAATAGGTTCAATTTGCAAGAATTCTGAATCCTGTACAAAACATTGGGCACAGGGAAATAATACAGTAACTACAGTAACAAACACAGACAGTACTCAAACTCTATTTTGTCAGTAACTATTACATTTTAATGACCTACCTAAACACTTCGTAATCTAACTACATGTATTATGGGTTAAATTTTCAGTATTTAATTTTGGGGAAAGTGGGAAAAGGAAAATGAATCACTTGTGAAATTACTACAGGTTTGCAAAGTGAGAATGAGGGATACTGTCATATGCTGACTTCTCCCTTATTCCTAATTAAAAAAAAAAATTAAAAAATACAGTACTCACATCACTTAGATTAAATGCATTAACTTTTGCCAAAGCAATCTGTGGAATATCTGGTGTGATGTGAACTTTCTTTTTGTCTTCTTCCCATGCTTGTTTGTACTTGTGCTGGAAGGATAAAAAAAATAAAAAAAAAAAAGTCAACATAAAAAAACTACAGGAAACAGTCTGAAATAGTATTTGAAATATAATCTCTCTTTACAGTGGTGGAACTACTAACATGGCAGGAGCATGTGTCTTTTTATTTTAGCAATTAAAAGCAGTGTATATCAGGAATAGCTCTTATGAAGTTCATTGTGTGAGGCTGAAATAAAAGAATTTTTATTTCAATTTTTATTCAAATAATTGATTTCAATTTTCAATTTTGTTAGAGTATTTCATTGCTTCTCTTTTGAACAGCTCATTTGTCAAGCACATTGAACAGCAGAAAACAACAGGTTTCAGAACACACTGGGTCTGGCTGGGATGGAGCTAATCCTCTTCGCAGCAGCTCTAACCATGCTTTATTTTAGAATTGCAACTAAAATAATGCTGGTAACACACCAATGTTTCGGCTTTTGCTGAACAGTGCGTGCATAGTATCAAGGCCTTCACTGTTCCTCTGTGCCCCCACAGTGAACAAACTGGGGATGTGCAAGAAGTTGGGATGGGATATAACCAGGTAGATGAACCCAGCTAACCAAAGAAGTATGCCATGCCACATAATGTCATGCTCAGCAAATAAAAAGGGGCAGAGAGTGTTTTCTTGGGAACTGGCTGGATGTCAGCCTTCCCGTGGGAGGTGACACGCGACTGCTTTTGCATCACTTGTTTTCTATCTTCTTCCACTTCTCCTTTGCTTATTAAACATTTATTATCTTGACCCACAAGGGTTTTTTTTTTGCTTTTACTCTGCCCTTCCTCTTCCCCATCCCACTCTAAGGGAGGAAGTGAGCAAGTGGGCTACATGGTGCTTAGCTGCCTACCAAGGTCAACCCATGGCTAAAAGCCAAGCCAGAAGGTATAAGAAAAAAAAAGTTACAGGTGGAAGATTATTAGTTTATCTCCAAGAAAGTAAGTGTCAGTTGAGAGAGGCGATAAAGCTTCTCTTAGAGGAAACAGAGCTAACAAAAGTACACATAAGATTCTGACGGTCTCTGTAACTACAACACATGTGAAGCCTAGATATTTCTAAGGAACACCAGCAGATTACATCAGTTCAGCAGGAGAGGTAGAAAATAAATATCTCATTATAACAGCATTCATATCATGTAGTAATTTCATATTAATGTAACAGGCATCAGATGAAATGGACTATACATTTAAAAGCTTAAACCTTGTTTCTGAAAGGGCTCACCCCAGTATTTTTAACCCCAAGATTTAAACTGCTAAAAGGCTAAAATCAGTTATCTTGGGCAAACTTAAATGAATTTCGATTAATGCTTTCTTACCTCATCCATGATTTTAGCATTATTTAAAGCTAAGGCCATGTTCATGGAATCTAGAGGAACAGAATACTTCAGCTTGTCTGGATGCTGTCGATACTTCTTTTCACTAAGAATTTCCATCGCTTTCTTATTCTTTTCAGCTTCCAGGGAGCCCAGTGGTACCCATCCAATACCCTTCATACTTTCATCATATTCTGCTCTGTATTGATTCTGGAGGCAGAAAAAGAAAATACTCAGATTTACAAAAAAGTTTGCAAATCATGATACTTATTTCTGTGTTCAATTAATGTTAGATTTTTAATGCACTTATTCTAAAAAGAAGCACAATATCAAGGTGTATTCAAGGTTTATCTAGAAACACATTTGTTGGTGGTGTCTGTATTTTACTACTCTGCCTTTTATACAATGTGTAGATCTTCCTTATGATGTATATAGATTGCTCCTATGAGATTACATACTCAAGTCCCATTGAAGAAGGAGATCATCTTGAACCACTCTACCAAGAAAAAAAGGCCCTCCTCTATAGAGGTTAAAAATCCCAGAAAAATCTGAGAATATGGCTATTTAGGTGGTTTCCCCTTCTGAAAAGATCTTTTTGGAAGGACAGTATAAAACTGTTAACAAAAAAAGAAGCTTTTCATGTCTTGGCCTGCACACAAATACTGCTCCTGGAGATTGAACAGGACATGTAAGCAATAAATATCCATTTCACTTTATACATAAAATTATTTATTTCTGAGCCCAAATTCTTTAGCAATAGGTGTAATTTAATACTTCAGCCTTACAAAAATATAATGGCTATCACTGCTGAAGGTTTTGTTCCATTTGATACATTTTAGTACATAACTAATTTCACTAGGAAAGTAGTACTATTTATCTTACAATATGCTTTCATAAACCATGCATCATTGTATTCATAATGCAAAGGGTGAAGGATCTCTCACTTACATCACTCTGTATCTGCATCATGGTTTTGGCTAATTCAAGACTCATAGCATCAGGCAGAACCCTGTAGGTATGAATCAAGTTTTTGTAGTTTACATTTGTAGCCACTTCCTGTGCTTTTTTGGCTGCCACAACACTGAACATGTCAACTGGAGTATGGAAATTAGTCTTTGCTTTCTCATAGTCTTTTTTGTATTCACGATCAGATTGCATCTTAGCGACCTGCATGAAGTGCACCAACTTGGGGTCGTCTTCAAGGCTGCGGAATCCAATATGCTTTCCTTTTGCTTTTTCATAGGCTAGTTTGTATTTATACTGACAGCAGGAAAGAGAAAGAACAGCAAAAAATTAAATTTAAAAAAATGTGCTATTAAGCTCAATCATATCCCTGAAAACAATAAAGTATCGGGGGGGGGGGGTTCATGACAAGATCTCAGGTTTTCTCATTTAAACATAGCCTTACATAACAGCCCATGGCACAGGCACATGGAGCTCAGCAGCTTGCTGAACAAAGAGCAAAGAAGCACAATTCAGTATTTTTCCACTGCAAAGGCTTATACCATCAAGCATACAATTGCAATATAAACAACTCAAGATGTTTGAAAAAAATTATTTGTGCATAACAGAACACCTTGAAAATGCTCTCTTACTGTTTTTATAGTTACTCTGAGTACTATCACACAATCAAACTTACATCACTTGCAATGTCTCTGGAGGCTTTGGCTGCTTTTATTGGAATGGCATCTGGCTGCAAGTCATAACCTTTCTTCTTGTCTTCCTCCCACCCAGCTTTGTAAAGTTTCTAATTTAAAAAGCAAAAGAAAATATGCTCTATTATGAAGGCAGAAATACTGAAGCAGCCTTAAAAGACATAAACTTAACTTAAAAGACATAAAAATGACAAAATTTTTTGCAACAGACACTGAATGCCCCATGTGAGCATGGTGACTCACATTACTCATTGTGACTTGGTTCACTCTAGACTGCAGAATTTCTGGAGTATCTGGCATAACATGAATGCTGGTCTTCTCTTTGTTCCATTTGTCAGTGTAGAGTCTCTGCAATTAAAAAGTAATATTTAGCACTGAAAAAGCATTGCACTCATAAAATAAGAGCTTGCTGCTGTTATGTTCATTTGCAATAAATATAGTGTCATAAGGACTATAAATAATCTTCACAAATACAACACCTGAGTGGCAATATTATATTTCTCCTCCTTGGCTAGTACTCTCTTTGAGAAATTTGCAAAGTATGTTTTGAGAACTAGTAAATATTTAAACAGAATATTTCAGTCTGCATTTTCCCCTACTTTAATGCAAAGCATAATTTTCTTCTTTTTCTACACACCCCCTTTCCACGGCAAACATAGAATGTGGGATCACTGGTGTCCCAGACAACATGGGGCAAATTTAAAAAACTCCACTTTTCAAGGTAAGTTGTACATAACTAAAAGAATTCCAGAGGTTTTTCAACTCACTGATTATGAATACTACTTCCTGCAGAAAAAGAATGAAGGCTACCAAAGCACTATAAATCTGGAGAAGACATCTTTACTCACATACACAAAAGAGAAATTTTTAATCTTTTGAAACAGAAAATAAAACCCCTCAATTACGAATAGTCTGAGGCTTCCGACATCTCTCAGTGCCCAGTCTTAATGAAGCAAATCATTGTACTCATTGAAATCTAGTGACTTCTATGGGAATGCACCAGCTTTTTGCACAATTTTGCAAGACAACGACCCAACCTCCGACTCATGATCACCTGCACAAATTCTCACCTTATTCATGGTCTTGGCATTTTGCTTAGCTAGCACTTGCTCCATGGCATCCATTGTAATAGAGTACTTCAGCTTGTCTGGGTGCTGGCGGTACTTCTTCTCACTGAGAATCTCTGTAGCTTTTTTTGCCTTTTCTACATCCAGTGACTGAATTGGTACCCAGCCAACTCCTTTCAGCCAGTTATTAAAGTCTGATTTGTAAACATTCTTTTAAAAAATAAACAAGGAAGACCACAGTGAGACAAGGAAAATTAGAATGCCTATATAAATAAACACAGGTAAGGCCTTAAAACTTCTCCTGGTTATTCATTTTTTCAGGAAAATTTAGACAAGCCTGTTACAACTGCTACTGGTTTCCATATTCTTAGCATACATTAACAGCTATGCATGTCTTAGGGATACAGAAATTCTTTTCACTAAACCAGTCTGTAGAACTCTCACTACAAACCAAATGCACAGACCTTAAAACAAATTTTGAGTGATAAATACAAAATTCTGTCAAAAAAAAAATAATATTTTTCTTAACTGACACTTGTTTGTTGGTGACTCAGTTTGCAGTAGAACTGATTTAGAGAAATCGTTTCAACAATTTAATTGCCTTGTTCTGCACAATCTTGACTAGACACCATTCCTACTTAATCATACTTTAGAACAGACACAGGTACAAAAATACTGCAACAATAAAACCTGAAGAGTTAGGATTAACAAGGAGAATACCAGAGTCTGAGAGAAAGGCTACATACTTTCACAGCATGTGTACACAGGGCAAAATTTGTCCTCACGTAATACACTTCTCTCCTTGCAAACATCTGAGACAGCCAAGCAAGCTCAGCCAATGCAGTACGGTCAGGTAAAAATACAACGGGGAAGAAAAAGACTTGAGGTGCAAATTTCTGTGTTCGGAAAGAACAGTGTCTAAAGGTTGGATCCTCTATCTGTTGGCCAATGGAACATGCACATGGTCCTCTCCAAACAATACTTAGAATCTGAAGAACACTTCCAATCAGATTACTAACATTTTGAAGAACTTCAGATTTGTCAGAGGACTGCTAAATAAAGAAGATTAAACTAAATATTTCTGGGTAAAGAGGCAGTGCCTGAAGTTACACTACAGGGAAAAAGAAGAAAAAAAGGAAATGAGTCACAGAACTTAATGGAAACTACGGAAACTACAAAGCTATTTTAGGAACCTTTATCATAAGTGTCATATGCATCTCTGGGAGAACAAAAGCAGAAAGGAAAAGTGAACAAAATAAAATAATCTCAAATCCCTAGATAAAATACAAATGTACAAAATGTACATTTTTAAAAAACTTGAATAAAATATAGTCAGAATTTAGACTACATATAACCTACAATCGGACAATACAAATAATAATCACAGTAACAACAAATTTAAATTCAACTACAAAAAAACATTAATTAGAAAAACATGTTCATTAGTCAAATACGTAGAGATACAACACAGGAAACTGTTACTTGCTAGTGATGTCCCTTATCAGCTACACATAATTCTGGTAATTTTTGAAAACACAGGGTTCCAGACCAGATCTTTACATCTCAGTCTACTGTTAATCCAATATAGTTAATTGTTTATCCTTAAAACATTAACAGTATAACACAGTCATTATGAAAAGGAAAAAAATTAGATTAATCATTACATACATCACTCTGAAGCTGCATCACATTTCTTGATAGCTCCAGATTCACAGAATCAGGCAAGAGTGTATAATTGTGAATTGGCTGCTTATAGCCAGTATTTGTAATCACTTCCTGGGCTTTCTTGGCAGCCGTCACGCTGAACATATCCAACGGAGTATGATATTTGGTCTTGGTAACTTCATAATCCTTTTTATATTCACGATCTGACTGCATTTTGGCCACATTCATGTAATGAACAAGTTTAGGATCATCCTGCAGGCTACGGTATCCAACCTGTTTGCCTTTACCTTTCTCATATGATTCCTTGTACTTGTACTAGAGACAAAAGAAAAGAAAGCCTTCACCCACTTCAGAAAGACAAAACATGCTTTTGATAATTTTAATACTGGGATACTCAGTATTTTAACAACTGCCATTCATTCTTAATAAACTTTTTCAGGGAAAAAGATAGAACAGGATTGCTAGATTTCTCTGCTTGTTTTGATTGTTGGTACAGATCTAAATCTAGATATGCAGTTACATCCCCTCCCTCGACATTGCCTCTGCCACATTATATTTTACTGCCATAGACTTCTAACTCCCAGGAATATTCATCTTTTCATTAAAAGGCTAACATAATAATATATTATTAAAAAGCCTAAGACTACCAGGCAATTAGATGTCCCTATATTCAGCTACTGGAGAGAGGCAGTTTTTAAGTGGGCAATGGAAGTCATTTTAGCCATTTTAAAGTTAGTAAATTTATTTCTGTGTTCCAAATCCCCTTTCACAGCTTGTGTTGGATAGCACACCACGTTTTACTATTGCTAATTAATGTAGCTGCATGAACACAGCCACATTTCTGTACCACTCATGAATGCCAGTCAAGTAGAAATACAGGTCTCCAGCAATTAAGAATACAGCTCAGGTAAATTATAACAAAGAAAATTCAAAACAAGCTGGTGAATACATGAAGCACATAAAACAACCAGCCCCACTTCACCAGCACTCACACACATTATGATGCATTTCCAAAGTAAGAGGTTTTTTCAGACATTCGTGTAAACATCTGAACTTACTTCTTATTTTGAAGTATTGTAAGAGTTCCAGTTCTCAGGGTTAACTGCCTCTATACCATTATACATATATAGCTTACATTCTATAGCAGGCTACGCTACAGAAAGCTGTAACACAGTAGATGTATGTATTCCACTTCATGTGAATTATACTTACATCACTTGCAATATTCCGAGAAGCCTTAGCAGCAATGATAGGAATGGCATCTGGTTTCAGATCATATCCTTTTGCTATGGTCTTTTTCCAGTCTGCTTTGTAGTTAGCCTTGTAGGGAAAAAAAGGTATGAGCTTGCAAATGTACAAGTAACAATTTTAAAACAGTTGTTTAAGCCCATATTTTTATTATAGTTATGGGAATCAAAATACTCAGTTTAGTCTGTGCAATTGCAAGGAAAAACGTTGACCTGCACAGAAATTACACCTATATTCTGATAAATATATTGATACAAAGACAGGAGAGTCCTTCAAGACAATCAGTTTAACACACGTAGACAAACCACTAACTCTGTAAGCGTTTCTTGCAATTTTTATGCTGAATAACCCTACCGTAAGGCATTTTGCCCTTGCTTTGAAAGCAAACCCTTTCTTATTTGACTAAACCTTCAGAAATTTTTTCCTGTTAGCTTAAAAATCAGGCCTTGTGATCTTAATGAACTGAAGAAAGCAGTCTGTCTGTTTTTTTGTTAGCAGTTAACATCTGGATGGACTGTTAGTATTTCAAGGCTATTAAAGGAGATTTTAGCTGGTTCTTGGAGGCCTGATAATGTCACCATAACACTTAATATCACAAAGGGAATAAATTTGATACTAATAATGGAGATCCCTGTGGTGCTGGATGGATGGAAGAAGTGATGAAAAGGAGACAGATTAGTAGCTGAACAGCAGAAAAAAGGCATTATTATCTTGCCATGGGATAAGTTAATTTCCTTTGAAAGCCCAGAAGGAGGGAGCAACATAAAGAGAACTTGCACTGCTTGCCTCTGTGTTGCATTTCATACAAAAGTAGATGACATAAGTCTCCAAACCTACAGGAATATGAGTAATTTTCTCATTCAGTCTACCCAAGTATTTTGACAATAAAACGTTGAAATGTGTTCATGTTCATGAATGCTCAGACAGTTTAAAAATTTACCAGCACAAAACTCACTGTCTTCTAGAAGTAAAAGTTTAGCTGAATTCAGAGCTTGTGCATCTCTATATTCAGTATCATAGCACAAACAAAGTTATTTATTCTATTAAGTAAATTACATATCAATGTATTATTGATCAGACTATTGGTTATATGCTTACATCACTCAAATTGTAGGCATTGACCCTGGCTTGAATAAACTGAGGAACATCAGGATCCAGGGTATATTTGTGTTTCAGTTTTTCACCTTCTTGTTTGTATGTTACCTACAAGGAAAAATAAACAAATACTTCTTGGAAAGCAGGTAATATTAGTGTTAACAAATAGAGACAAGGTAACAATACTTCATTCTTACCAACAAATGACAATCTTACTATTTTTACCGTTCTTAAAATGTAACTTCTTTTTTGGATGGAATGTCAAACAGTAACACAAAAATCACAAATATGGTAAAAATTAAAATCACTATATTGCATTAATAACGAAAAATTCCTTACATCACTCAGTTGCTTGGTGTTGTGCTGAGCTAAAACCATTGGCATTGAATCTGGTATACTTGTAAATTTGATGGTGTCTGGGTGCTGACGGTATTTCTTTTCATTTAATGCCTCCCCAGCCTTTTTAGCTTTTTCAACATCCAGAGAACCAAGAGGACTCCATCCAATACCCTTGAACCAGCTGTTATACTCTTGTTTGTATGCATTCTGAAGGAGAAAAAAACAACCTGGATCAAGATTGTCCCACATAACTGTAATAATTCTGTTTAAAGCAATAATCACATAGCTCAGCTAGCATATTCTACATGAGTGTATTTTTGATTCATGATTCATGAATCCAGTACTTACTAACCATCCTTTTCTTTTACCTATGTGAAAAATTTCACCAACCTTCAATTCTTGGTAACTTCTAAACTAACATATGTTCTGTGTTTCAGCAGACTCTATGAGACTTGGCCTTATACAGAGGCTCAATTTTTTATTTGTTTCTTATCGTTTCTCCTACAGTAAACTATGCAGAGTCCACAGACTGCAAGTGAAAAATTTATCATGGCTACAAAATATGCAGAAGGTTATCCCATATAAACATTCAAAGTTCTGAATGCAAGGATATTGTGTACACTCTTTTTTTAAGACCATTCCATGTTCTAACTCTAAAATGAGTGGTCCTCCACAGAGATCCACAGAGAGTCAAATTCTGCAGTATATAGGGAGGTGCGGAGTGCAACTATGTATGCCCAGTCAACCATGTGAAACTCTGTACCTGCAAGGACCAAAAAGCTCCTAAGAGATATCTCCTACACTAGAGATCTCCAGAACATATTTCCAACAATATCAATAGCTTCATTTTGTCCACTCCTGCATCCTAAGTGATTAACAATAGTCCCCCTACACTATCCTATCTATCTCCTGTAATAAAAAAGCAAGACAACTTAAAAGAAGTCTTAAGGAATAAAACAAAATTATGTTAGCTGCAAAATAAAGTTTCGTGAGGAAATGGGGGGGAGGGCGGGTGGGAGGGCGAAAAGTTAGCTTGAATTCAGCATTCCAGAATTCACCTCTCTACTGATATGCCAACATCAAAATCCTGTTGGCAAGAACTCCCCTGCAGTTTGGTATTTCTAAATGCCACCAGCTGATAAAACTTACAACTTCTCCAAGACATAAGAAAAACAAAGCATTCCAATACAGTAATGGCAATTTTAATGGAATATAAACTCATATTTTACCTTCACAGTATGCAGGAAAACATCCATGAAATTGCTATCAATGAAATACTTACGTCACTCTGAATTTGCATCATGTTCTTCGCAAGCTCAACATCCATGGCATCTGGCAGATAAGTGTAGTGATGGATCAGTTTTTTGTAATTAGTATTAGAAGCTACATCCTGAGACTGTTTAGCCGCCTGGATACTGTACATGTCAGGAGTTGCATGATAGTTAGTCTTGGTCTTCTCATAGTCTTTCTTGTACTCGCGCTCAGACTGAATCTTCGCTACATTCATGTAGTGAACAAGCTTCGGGTCATCTTGCAGGCTTCTGAAACCAACCTGTTTTCCTTTAGCCTTCTCATACGATTCTTTATATTTATACTAGAAACAGAGGAAAGAGTGGTATGGCTACTTAAGTCCAAGCTAACGCAAAAGAAAAGCTCTCACAACTGTAATTGGAAAAAGAAGCTGCAAGCAGTTCAGAAAGATAAACTCTCCTAATTGGCACAAACAACGAGCTTTTCTTGCTGCACCATCTAAGCCTGTACACTACAGGTTATGCGCACCACAATAAGATCTATCAGTATTAGCTTTTCTTTTAAGTAAGGGAAAAAATTTCCTAAGCATTCCTGTGCAGAAACGTATATGAAAAATATCAGAATAATTGAGACAATCCTTCTCAGTCATTTGAAAAGAATAGCAAACAAATGGAATATGACTGGAGAGCTTCCTCTAGTTATAAAAAACCACCAGTACATATCCCCACCTTACACTATTTGTACTACATGGCCCTTCAATTCATGTATAAGCCATGCTCCACTGTATAACCAAAAGCACCCTGAACACATGTTGTTGTCTGTAAATAGGTGCCAATGTAGTGTGTTTCTGGAATCACAGAATGATTGCAAGAACTACTGATTTAATTTCTCCTGTGTCAAGTGGGTTAAGAAACACAGTAAAGCATTTGCCTATCTAAAGCAAACAAGATGAGCATAAAATAAGTTCTGTGCAAACTAGGCCTTTCAGAAAGACTAAGAATCGCCTTCTCATAATGCTGACTCTAGTTGAGACTTATGCAACACATGAGGTCTACCAGACAGCCTGTAAGGGACGTTCTACTAAATGTAGGATAGCATACCTGGAGTAGATACTTACATCACTAGCAATGTTTCTCGAAGCCTTGGCTAGAGTAATTGGAATAGCATCAAGAGACACCTTGTTCCCTTTAGCTATTAGATCATGGTAGCCTTGTTTATAATAAGCCTAAAAAAGAAAATCCATATTATTCCAGAGAACTTAGTAATCACATGACCTATATGCAAGTCAAAGCTATTCCTAAGCTACTTCAGGCAATTCTTTAGAAGCAGGTGCAGTGGGGATCATATACAATCATCGTTTATAAGAACAGATTTATCTATTAATTACATTACTTAAATGGTACCTGGTTGGAAATTCAAGTAACACAAAGAATGAAAAATTACACTGATAGAAGCTGACTATATAGAACTGTGTATCTGTGAAAGGAACCTGCAATCTCTAACGTATTACTCAAAAATTCATTAACAATGTGTAAAAAATGTTGTAAAGAAGTCACTTACGTCACTGATATTAGCTGCATTGTATCTAGCTTGGATAAACTGTGGAATATCCGGGCTTAGAGTATATTTATGTTTAACTTCCTCTCCAGAAGATCTATATAGTTTCTGTAAAATATATGATACAGAAATAAATCCTTTCCCTGTTTAGGTTACTGTAAATTAACTGAGGGTTTATGTTTGATTTTGCAAATAGATGTACATTGCCACCTATTTCATAAAGATTGAGGCTACACTTTTCAAACAGAATTGTTAATCTTACTGAGGAATGCATCCTAAAAGCTTCATGCAGTCTTTACTCAATAAAATTAAGGTCTTTAATGGACATAAAGCCACATTTATGAAAGAACAGGATAATAAAGAGTAACACAAAGCAAAGCTTCCTGGTTATAGTGATTGACATACTAAGATTTGTTAAACATTCTGTAATTAATTTATTATTGCAGGTGGTAAAACACAAATAACCTGGAAATTTCACATTTCTTAAATAAAATGTATTTCAAATGTACTTAGAATACAAATGGGCAGAATCAACCCATGTGAACTTAAAAAGCCACATGATTTCAGAGAGATGTACAGACCTATACAGACCTTACTCCCAGGCAAATCAGAGCACAAAACAATGACAACACAGGGAAACACTTTAAGGCTAACAGTACTTTAAAAAATTTTACAAATAATTCCAAGCTTTTCAGTAAATACATCTTTACAATATCTTTACCTTAACACATATTTCTTTCTCTACTTACATCATTGAGTTGAACTGAATTCTGTTTGGCTTGGACCATTACTGGAGAGTCCGCCACACTTGTAAATTTAATGGTGTCTGGATGCTGGCGGTATTTCTTTTCATTCAAGGCATCTCCAGCTTTTTTAGCTTTTTCTACTTCTAGTGATCCAATGGGGACCCAACCAATGCCTTTCATCCAGTTATTATAATCAGCTTTGTACACATTCTAATAAAGGAGTGAAAACAATGTTTTAAAAGTTAGGAAGTATTAAAAACAATTCAGGGACCTCTCCTGACTCTTCACAGTTTTCGCTAGAGGCATCTCAAAAAAATTCTGTTCACGTTACTTACATCACTCTGAATCTCCATCATATTCTTGGAAAGCTCCACATTCATTGCATCTGGTAAGTAAGTATAATGGTGGAGGAGGTTCTTGTAATTTGTGTTGCTGGCAATCTCTTGAGCCTTCTTGGCACCAACAACATTGACCATGTCCAATGGAATGTTGTACTTAGTTTTTGTCTTCTCATAATCCTTCTTGTACTCTCGCTCAGACTGCATCTTGGCTACCTTCATAGAATGAACGAGTTTGGGATCGTCTTGGATGCTCCTGAAGCCAACAAGTTTACCCTTGCCAAGTTCATAGGCTTTTTTATAGTTAACCTGTTAGAATATAACAGAACAAGGAAAATATCATCTAAGTAACTTAGCAATAAGTAATTAAAAGCAAAGGCTACCCTTTGTTTTCTACAAAGAATATACCACACTTCTTCATAAATCCAGGCATGTATCTCTTTACAGTTCAGTGACAAACAAATCAGTTAGCTAGCTTTCAAAGTAGCATTGTCTCACTTGTACTGATTATAAGAGAGAGAAGTCTAAAACACTAAGGGACCCCCGCAAGACCATCCCCAAAAATCTACCAAAAACTCCAGTGATGTCCTAGAGTCTTCCATCTAATTTATGATTCGGCCTATAATTCATGACAGGGAGAATTCAGGGGTCCATTGCTCATAGAGGTGTCATTACTGACCTACACGTCATGATTTGCCTTAACCATGCTGGAGCGCAAGATAGCCTAGTTATTCACGAGAATTAGATAATGTAAAAGCCTTTTCTAAATGTAATTATACAGATATGTATTGAAACAATGAAACACTATGAAAATATAACTGTGTTAAATACATCCAATAACATGCTCAAAAAAAGCAATAAAGAAGTTATCCTATGTGTCCTTAGTAAACAGAATTGCAAATGCTGTTTAAGTATAAGCTCTTGTGAGTTAAACAGTTTCTTCAAGAAGGATATACTTACATCACTGACAGCCTGCCTAGCAGCCTTGGCAGCTTGGATAGGAATAGCATCACTTTTTAGATCATATCCCTTTGATTTTAATTCTTCCAATCCCATTTTGTAATAGTTCTAGGAGAAAAGGTGAATTTTTAATAAACAGTTACTAGCTAACAGACACTTTATCTTGTAAGTTGAATTAATAACTTTAGATTCAAAATATACTCACATCACTAATATTGTAGGCATTAACTTTAGCCTGTATAAACTGGGGCACATCTGGAGGGAGGTGGTACTTATGAATAATTTCTTCACCTTTGGATTTATATATTATCTACAAAGAAAAACAATGGAAGAAATTCAGCAACACAATATTTAGAGATTGCAAATGCTTAATAATGCTGAGTGATACAGCTTAAAGAACTGTGCTATGATTCTATGATCTCATGTTACTCACTCACAAAGACACACAGATAAAATCCTAGTCCTTGCCAAGTGAGTGGTATAAACCCCACTGACTTAACTGGTGTGAATACACTGAGAATGATGGACACAAAGTTACAAACATACATACTAAAAACTGACATGAACAGCCAACTGAAAAACTGAAAAAAAAATCTGATTTCCAGCTGATCTCCCGTTGGAGTAGAACTGTGAATACACATGAACGTTTTTGTGCTCGTGCATGTGTGTATATGTACACATATTCACCTACACTTTCATTTCAGGAGTTCTCTTAAAAGTGGATGATAAAGGAAAGGTAGTCAAGATTGCAGAAACTGATAATGTCAGAGTGCAGCAACATATTTCCTAAGATTACTTACATCACTCAGCTGTTTGGTATTGATCTCTGCTTGCTTCTGTACTGGAGAGTCAGTCACTTGAGTAAATTTGGTCTGATCAGGATGCTTTTTGTAGGTGTGCTGAAGGAATATAATATATTTACAGAAAATGCAAATAAGCAAAACTATCTTATAAGACACAGCAATCTTACATTACTTAGGATAGTTAACAGTTGTGGTATGTGTGCAGATAAGCACTGTCCTGAACAACGGTTCTCATGCTACTTTTTAACATAATCAGAGCTCAAATAATTTTTTGAAGTATTAAGATAAAATATTTTAATAGGTATATAAATATTATCATGTATGGCATATGTAATACATTATAAATATTATAGCCTATTCATTTTAGTATATTATATACATATATAAAGCATTTTCCAAGTATTGACAAAGTAAATAAAATTAGTATTAATAAAGTACCTTTAATGTATTAATGGAAAAATACATTGACTTCAGCAGGTAAATGCTTGAGGATCATTAATTCAGTTTGGTACTACTCCAATTTTATGGTTTTACTTGTTAAAAATAAAAGATTATGCTGTACCTGTCTTGATCACTAGATGCCAGAAAAGGTGCTAAAATAGAGCTGAACATGGTTTTTACAAGTCATATATGCTAATAAGACTAAATCAAAAATCATCTAAATTAAGAAGAATCACTCTGTAAATCTCTGCGTGCCTGAGGCACAGATACTCTGCATGTAGTTGGCTACTTGATAACCATTACCATCCCGTACTTACATCCTTACACTGCTCTAACTTCTTAATTGCTTCATACTCTTGAGTTATGGTCTGAGGGAAGTAGCATCTTGTCTTTTCCTCTTCATACTCTGCTTTGTAATTTTTCTAGGAATAAAATCAATGCTCAGTAAGAAGCCACTTCTACATGTCATGAGCTTTCTCTGACATGACAACATGGTGGTGAAAACATCATGACAGCCACACTTACATCACTCTTCATAGCTTCAACTTTCATGCAGTGTATCTGATGTGGGTCCTCAAAGCTGCCCACATAGTGTCCTAAAATATTCTTTTGATATGCATCTTTGTATTTTACCTGGAAAAATCACAGAATCACAGAACAGTCAAGAGCTGATAAACAAAGGTAATCAGGAGTGCCAGTACTGAACAACACAACATAAATCAGATGCTTACATCACTAAAATTCTTCAGAACACTATCAGTCTGGAACTTTGGTGTGTCACAGTAATTAATGCTGGTTCCTTTTGATTGTTCATAGGCTTCTTTGTATAATTTCTGCAGAAGAAAACAATGTCAGATAATGAAGTATATTTCACTGCAACTCACAACAAATTAAAAATTATAAAAGAGTGAAATGATTGCAAAGAAAAGCTTTCCCAGAAAACTTAAAAACAGATGGCACTTTTTCCCAATGATTTTTTAAAAACCTTTTTTTGGTTACTATTAGGCCTGTAATAGGAGGTAGAAAGGCCTGACTAAGGGGTTTTGAACTTCTGACACTTAGAAATAAGCAGTCTACTTCCATACAGATGCAAACAGCAAGAAGAGACAGAGAAAGCCATTACAGTGAGTAACCAGAATACAATATTATAGATAAGTACCAGATATTTTATCATTATTGCCATCAGTTGAAGCTCCTTAAAACAGTAAGGGAAGAGCTGTCATTTAGTGATCCATTTTCCAGAGAGATCTAAGTGAACTATTAAATAATTAGCTATCCCCAAAGCATGTTACAGCTATTGTCCATTCTGCTTTGAAGAAATTACTCCTTACCTATACTGCCCTTCTGGGTGGGATTTCATGATAAATATTGATCCATAAAACTAGAAATACTAAGAGATCCAAAGGAGAAGCCTTGTGAAGAAATGATGACTTATTGTACATGACTAAAAATCATCCAGCTGTATTTTGATAATACTTACATCACTCAGCGCATTTCCTGCAGCTTTTAATTGCTTCAGCAATGGGTTCTCTGTAGCAGGAAGCACGTTATAATCTGCAATAGCTTTGTTCTTTTCATAGTCTGCTCTGTATTTTACCTTTAAAAAAGTAAAAAGGGTGAGGTTTTAGAAATCAGTAATAAAAGCCAAATGCTCACAAACCTGTACTATGCTGAAGTTTTCAGGAAAATTTCCCCTGGTTTTTGACGTATGATTCACGATGGCAAAGGACCATGAAAGGCACTCAGATCATAGGAGGGCATGGATGATGAGATGGGAGGCAGGGTCACAACATAAGTGAAAGCTATTCAGTAGATGTCCCCACCTCTAAGCACCTCTCCAAACATTGTAATTTTTCAAATATCAGCTGACATCTCAGAATAGTCATATTTTTACAAGTAACGACATAAGATGTCTTTGCTGATGCATATACTATTGCAGAAAACACAGAAGCCAAATTTTGTACTTTGAGTAAAGCACAATGTCTCTGAAATACACTGAGCAAGGATGAATAAATATTAAAATACTGAGCCAAATTCAGCTAGCTTAAGTTGGTCTTGGTTAACAGTATGAATTTGTTCCAGCTAAAAGTTAGGCACATAACATCATTAGAACAAATAATGAAGCAAATTCTACTTCAATGGAAGAAAATTCTGTTTCACAGGTACTACTGTGGAAGACCAAAAGCACAGCTATGAGCTTCCTGGGGAAAAGCACACAAGAATTTTGCATGCAAGAAAATACTTTTTGACACTTGACAAAACAGCTTCAGCACAAACTGGCCTGACTTCAGCACTACTCTCAAGCTCAACACATGACATACCTTACTGACGTTGTTTGAAACTCGCTTATTTGCTTCGTATTCTGGAGTCTCAGTTTGCATAAAGTAGATTTGGTCTTTCATGTTTTCAAAGTCTTCTTGGTATTTTCTCTGTTAGGAACAGAGATGAGCAGATAACAATGCACTTACATTATAAATCATACATCCATGAAGTTACTTATTTAGGAAAAGAGAAATACTACGAATGGAGCAGGCAAAAGTAATCAGTATTTTCCAGGTTAACATAAACAGCAGATAAAGCTGTTCACGTCAAGATTTTCTGAAGAGTTCACTTACCATGCTTAGATTTTCTGCGTTCATTTTTGCAATTGCAACATCATAGCATGGAGTTTGAGTCCATTTGCCTTTGATCTTGTTTTTATAGTCCTCATGGTAAATAATCTATAACAAAGAAAATAATTAATGCCTAAGATACAGTTCAATTTTCACTTGACAGAATTGTTTTTAAAAGTCTTTTTAAAGTTGCTTCACTTTTTATATCTGCCTTACAATCACTTTATCAGTTATTGTTAAAAGCACCTTAAATATGATCTGGCCTATTCACTTCAATATTCAGTTATTTCTCTTAGTACCTTGCCTGACCAAAAAAAAAGATAAATAGATGAAATAAGTCCCCTCTTCTAGAAGACAGTTATTAATAGAAAATCTCTCTATGAGATATCACTAATATATTCACTTAGTTCAGTTTTCTCATTGGTCACATAACACTGGGGCATAGTATTGCCCATGGTTAAGCCAGAATTCATTGTTACTGCTGCTGAAACTTGTCGTAAGCAAACTCTTTAACATACAAATTGCCTGGTGTATGCGATTTCTGTTAGACTAGGTTCAAACACATGGAAATCAAGCAGCAACTGTTTAAACAGACAGCTCCTGTTTTGACTCAGTGTTCCAAATACATTTTCAGCCACAGCTGTTTATCATAAAAAATACAATTTCTCCAGTGCCTTTTTGATAGTTACCACATTGATAAAGACCATATATGCCAAAAATAACCTTTACAAGTTCTACATTTTATTGTTTGGGAGATACCTATATAGCTTACTATTTTAATCATTTCAAAGAATTACAAGAATGATCTTGCTTTTCACACTTCCAGAAATTTTGTTGATGACAATTTAGTTTTTAAGCTATGGAAGAATAAGACTAAAGAAATTTTCTCTAAATTAAATTTTTTCACCTTCCAAATGGGTTCACTACAATATTTTCTTAGTGGTTTTGAAACCATAAATGAATACTTTAACTCTCTAATCTTAAACAGCAAATCACTTTCAACATACAGCAATAAAATCATGCATGTCTCCTTCATAATAACTGAATTCTGAAGTGAGTTAAAATCCTATTTACAAGATTATGCAACTTAGCGGGGTCTTTGCACATGAGCTCTGTTCTTTTCTTTTGCTTTCCCTGTCTCTAGGTACCTTTTTGCCTCTCTAATTCCAAAAGCGAGAAAGAAAGAAGAGCACTGCATTCTACTCACATCACTCAGCTGCCTTGTCACTTTCTTGGCTTGTTCCACATCAGGTGGATCTGGCAGAGGAGTATATTTAGATTTTCGCTCATCATGCCCTTTTTTGTAGACAATCTGAAAATATGAAAGAAGTAAACATTTACAGTAACTAAGCATCAGGACATATACTCTTAACTTCACTATCACCACTATTAATGAAAGCACTTCTGTCCACAGCTACTGCAGCACAAGCTCTTTCAATCACTGTATTCTGGAAGACTATTGAGAAGCCTTTTGAGAAGGGACAGTGGAAAAGAATCAGTTCCCTGGAAATTTTTCAGGTATATTACTCTGCTGTTTCTGATAAACACGGAATAGTGAACTTCCAAACCTTGTAAAATTCACCAAAATCTTTGAGACCTGAGATCCTCGGTTAAAGAGTTCTGTATATCCAAGCATCAGCAAATCACACAGCCTCACGAATTCCTGACTTTTCTTAACAGAGACAGCTTTGTAGACCCATGACAATGAACTGGGCTTACAGCCAAACCTGAGAGTTTGTCCACACTTCTCAGAGATACTCAAAGTCTTCTTATGGATTACCTCAGAAAATCTTTAATGATTAATTATTTCATTCATTCATAATCCAGCACCAAATTGCCAACAGATTTATACTCTAACATGGAATACATATTTTGCTATTGAAATAGCACTGCTATCAGAACTATCAGTGCACACCTACACATTTTGTTTTCTGTTCCATTATGGAGTTTATATTTAGCCCAAGTCACCCACCAAGTCTATCAAGTTGCACCATAGCAGTTACCCAAGTGTCAACCAGGCTTTAATACATACATCACTCAGAGTCTTCTGAGCCTGAGCCACCCTCCTGAGCTCTGGACTGTCATTGTACGGATAGAATAATGTTTTGTCTCCTTCCCAGTCTTCAGTATAGAGTTTCTAAAAACCAGAAAAATGCCACAATACTTATTATGAATTAATCTCTGACTGGGAATGCTTCTTGCATTTCAGCTGCCGAGGCCTGGCGTATTTTTTACTTACCTTGCTGAACATTGCGGTGTTTTTTATTGCATTCACAAGCTCTGGAGCATCAGGGGGAAGCAGGTACTTGTCCTTATTCTCCTCCCAGTTCTGTTTGTATAATACCTGGTAAGAAAGACCAGCACATTGGTTATTCTATCATTAGGAAAAAGTATTTACTTTAGTGAATAAACTATCTGCTCTAAAGATTTTTTTCAAAGTGAAAGTTTCAAACCAGTGATGCCTGAAGACATCAACTGGAAACATTTAATATTATATCTATACTTGCATTATCAGCTTCTCTGCTATCTTTCCCTGTTCTTCTAAATTGTTCCATAAGCATTTCTTCAGTGCCTTGAGCTCAAAACTTTATTCATATCAGTAACCTCACAATCCACTAAGGCTCACAACCCTTCCAGAAAATCAGAAATCAGAACTCACTTACCTTGCTCACTTGCTGTGACACCTTCTTTGCATGTTCTATATCCATGGCCTTTTCATCAACATGGCAAATAGTTTTAGCAACTTCACCAGCCATGCGGTATTTAACCTAGGTCAATGCACAACCAAATGCATTTATTCTTAAAGCAAAAACTGACACTTTTTTTTAAAAAAAGCAGAATATTAGTATTTTGACACTTACTATTGTAAAAACCCAAAACATGAATTCAGGAAAGCATTTAGGACTAGTTGTTTCTTCAAAATTAAGCATACAGAAACAAATGGATTTTGTGAATTGACTCACAAAGAAATGCAGCATTAAGAAAGTTTCAAGAGATGTGAAACCAAGTTAGAGGTAGTGCCCTTCTGTCATCACAGAGTTTGCTCTTCCACCCTGCATAATGAAATACAGATCCCCATGCTATGCAGTATATCTCAATTTCAAAGTCCATTACTATGTAAACACTAGCTACAGTTCCAAAACCAATGCAGCCACATTACCATGCCAAACCAGCAACTTGGGCACAAAATCACCCTAATGCAGTTATATCAGTTCGGCTTGACAGCGGGCTCAGCAGCATTAGCATCTGGAATGCTGCATCACATTCCTCAATATACCCTAAGTCAGGAGTGGAGCAGAATTCAATGCACACTCTTCTGAAGACTGACTGGGTTAGGTGACTACCCTCTCAGCTTTAGGAGTTCCCACTCCCAGGGACTCAGCTCCCCCCATTTACTGTACAAAGAATTAAGAGCCTCTGTAGGTGGATTTCAGTTTCCCAGACTGCAAGGTGTATTGTTGAAAGGCAAACTAGAGCTGCTGTATTTTTCATTCTGTTTAGGAAAGTGACTTTCAGTTGCTTTATGAAAAAAATGTTTACACGTTTTAAAAACAAATCTAGGGTTATTTACCCAGCGCACAACTTAACCTCAACAAAAATTCACCAGGCACATCATTCATGATTACTGCAGGACATTGGGTGTGGAATCTTCAAATTCTGTGATACAGACATTCCCATCATCTCCCATGCCTGTAACTTCCAAACTGATATTTTTAAACCTCTTTAGGCACAATGAAGCAGGGCTATTATTCAGCTAGAAAGGAAACATCACATCTCCCTTCCTGAAAGGCCTAAATTCCAACCCACATCACAGAACTCAAACTTGTCATATACTCTGTATTCCTTGTTCTTGAAATCTGATGAAGTTTCTGCTAAACATTCAGACTGCCTTACCGCAATGTCATCAAAAATGTATCACTCCTTATCTAACATTTAAAATTGTGACTTAATTTGCTTCTTTAATACTCACTAACATTTTTTCTTCCACAATTGTTACCTACCTCACTGAGCTGGTCTTGCACTTTCTTTATTCTCCGAATTTCTGGGGTATCAATTGTGGAAGCATATGGCTTTCCTCTTTCTTTTCTAAATTTTTCTTTATACTTGTTCTGAAAGAAAATAATGACAAATGTAACTAAGACATATCCTGAAGCCCTGGAAGAAATGTGTGCAGCAATTACTGATTTATTTACCTGGTTAGTATAGGAATTTGGGGCAGATTATTCAATAATACCAATTAGCATTACACAACCACATTTGCAGAGTTATGCTTATTTTAGCCAACTGACTTTCTTCCATCTTACATCCACAATAGAAAATATCAATTTCTAAATTTAGCCTGGTTTAGATCACCTCTGATTATATTCTCCGTGGGAGCTTAGTATTGATAAATTTACAGTTATTTGGTTCAGTGACCAAAGATACAGAAAATATGTGGGTGAAGGTAGAAGTCCTAGATCTATGATTTTACATAATCATTTAACAGCGAACGTTGGTAGGTAACATACATTAAAATTTAGGAAAAAGGATCTGACACCATCTACATCAGTGCACAGCAGTCGTTTTCCACTCTTCACAACATCGTAAACACATCATACAGTATTAGTCAACTGGACTTTGGTATCCTGTACCAGGAATTTTGGCTTGTTATCGTTCCTATATACTGTGCACAAGGATTTTTCTTGGATATATGTAGAGGGATAAAGAAATATACTATTAAATAGTGTATATATATAATTGTATATTTATAGTATAGTATATTTCTCTATATATTGAGGATATACATTGAGTAGTATATTCAATGAGGTTTGCTGTTCAATAGACACTAGTCCTTGTTATCATCATTTACTCAAATATCCAAGTCAGAGAGTGCAGGAGTCCTATTAACTGACATCTCTGCCAATCTTTAGCCGCTTCTTGTGCTTAATGATTACCTAATGCACTTAAGCAGGAAACAGGCAAGATGGCCTAATTCAGAGAAGGAAATTTTCCACTTGAGGCAACTAACATTCATACACATGATGAAACAAAGTACAGCAGACAAAATAGTATCATGAAGGTTTGCAATAATCCCTATTAAATATTTTTAAAGTTGGTGTTCCTCAAGAAATAAAAGACACGGGACAACTTACTTCACTGAACAGGTCCTTCATTTTATTACTGTGTTGCAGGTAAGGTGTCAAAAACTTAGATGGGTCCACTTTTGTCCGTACTGTCTTCTTTTTGACTGGAGGTGCTGCATCTTCAACAGACTTTTCATATTCAACAGATTTTTCACGTTCAACAGTATAGGTAGTAGTTTTAGGACCTGTGAAGTCTGTACTAACAGTTTCAGTGATCTCAGTGACCACCTGGGAATAAAGAAAAACACAATTACTTGCTTTACAGCTATAAAAGTTTAATAGGAAAAGAATTTTTCATCTCCCCTAGCTAGTAAAAGGATGCTAAGCTCTTATCCAGGAACCACCTGCAAGACAGAAAATCAGAGACACTTTTCCTCTTGGGCAAAGTATGCTATGTATCACCCAACCTAAAAAAGCCCAAGAGGAATTAACAGACTGATTGGTCTCTGTATCAAATTCATGTAATTATTCTCCAGAGGCACTGGAATGGGGCTCCTGCTGCGTTTGTTCTACATGCATAACAAAACGTGACGCTATGTGTTATAAAAAGCTGTAATATATGTCTAAATATCTGTCATAGTTTACACACTGCGAGTAACTCAGGTCCATGCAGGCGCTCGCTCACTCCACTGCTTCCCCCCCTCCCCAGGTAGGATGGGGAGAAAGACTGGAAGAATGTAAAACCCATGGGTTGAGATGAGAAAAGTTCAATACCTAAAATCAAGTACAGTATAATACTAATACTAATGATGGGAATAACAGAAAGAGAGATAAAACAAAAGAAAAAAAAAACACTGCAAAAAAACCAAACAAAAAACCCCACAAAACACCACCACCAGCAGCAAAAAAACAACAACAGAGAAAACCAACAAAAAATCCCACTAAACACCAGTGATGCACAATACAATTGCTCACCACCCACTGACGGATACCCAGCCTGACCCAAGCAGCTATCAGTCCCTCCCAGGTAACTCCCCCCCAGTTTCTATACTGGGCATGACGTGCTGTGGTATGGAATCCCCTTTGGCTACTTTGGGTCAGGTGTCCTGTCTCTGCTTCCTGCCCTCCTCACTGGAAGAACATGAGAGACTGAAAAGTCTTTGATCAGGGTAAATGCTACTTAGCAACAACTAAAGCATTGGTGTGTTATCAGCATTGGTCTCAGACTAAAGCCAAAACACAGCTCTGTACCAGCTACCAGGAAGAAAATTAACTCTGGCCTTGATAATTCTGTTCATTTTTAACACTAAAGATTGGATTTTGTCAATATGTTACCCAAATAATCTACCTGCCTGTGTTTCCTACTATTAACAGAACCTGTTGCTTCATTTTGTTAGCTCCTGTGCAAACTGGGCAGAAGCAAATGGAAGACACAGGGTGGGACAGGAATCAGGACAGTCCTTATCTGATGGACACAGCCACAGCTCCAGCTAATGGAAACCAATGAGTGGCATACAGGATACTCAACAAGCTAGGAGTCCTCCAGATCATCCCACAACAGTCTTGAAAGGGAAATAAAGTCTTAAGAAGCAACTGTTCACTGACACTTGTGTATTTAATGTGAAAAATTAGTCCACGGAATACAAAATTTAGCATTACTTAGTAATTTCATGCATATAGAAACCACATGCAACATTACAGGAACCTTTACCTCATATGGCTCACCCTCCTCAACAGTGGTCTCTTCAATGTAATACTATTGAAAAGAGGGGAAAAAACAATCATTGTTAGGCCAGATGATCAGAATAGCAAATTGTAGCTTCTGTTAAGCTGTTTTAAAAACACACTTCTGGGGAAATAGGACTGTAGTTCATAGGTACCTCTGTGGTCACATTTGCATTACTGGTAATTCTGAACATCTGTTTGTTGGGTTTTTTTCATTAATGATTGAATTTTTTCCATACATTCCTTCCAAGTAATTAATAAAGGATCATTACTTTAACTACAAGAGGTAAGACAATGATGACTGCATTAAAAGAAACAATTAGCATGCAAAACCCCAGGAGTTTCCAAGTCCTTTGTAATACACTGAGAGGACTGTGGTAGGTTTATCTCCCTAATGCTGTCCTCAGAGTTTTTCCTACCTACAGATCCTTGAAGAACACCAGTAATTAGTGGCTGCTGGACTTTGTACTACTAGCTAGACTTTGTACTATTGATCACAATTCTGAGCTCCACAGCTCAGCCAATTTTCCACCCACTTTATTGATCACTTGCCCATTCCACATCTCAGAAATTTGGTGATAAGAAGACTATAGGAGATTGTTTCAGGAAATCTCCCAAAGTAGTCAAGGCGTGCAACATCCACTGGTCTCCCCTTGTCCGTAACAGCAGTGAACTCATTATAAAAAGCAATGAGTTTGGTCACCCATGATGTGCCTTTGATAAATCAATGTTCACTGCTCCCCATGACTTTCATATCTTTCATGTGTTTAGAAATAGCTTCTAGAAGTATTTGCTCTGTAGCCTTCCCAAGGTCTGATGTGAGGTTGACCAGCCTGTAATTCCCTGGATCTTCTTTCATGACTTTCTTGAAGATGGGTATGACATCTTTTTCCAATCAGCAGAGACTTTCTTGCATGACTATGAGCTTTCAAAGATGACAGCAGCCTTGCAACGTCACCAGCCCATTCCTTCAGCACCCATGGATTCATGTCCTCTGGTCCTATTGAGCTGTGTACATCCCCATGGGTTGTCAACCCTAACTGTCTTCCTCTGCTGTGGCTACTACTTCATTCCCATGTCTCTGCTATGAAGGTCAAAGATGTGGAAGACCACACGACAAGTCTTATCAAACCTGAGGCAAAATAGGCTTCAAGTACCTCAGCATTTTCTCTGTTCCTTGTAATTCTGTTTATCTTGCTCACTCTCTGCATCTTCAACTCCATAGTCTCATGGTCGCTGTGGCCTTGGCTGCCCTTGACCTCTGCATGTTCCACCAGTTCTTCCTTGTTTGTGAGCAGCATGTCCAGCAGAGCATCTCTCCTAGTTCATTAATCAACTGTACTAAGAAATTCATCTTCACAGTACTTTCCCAGAATCCTCCAGGTTGCTCATGCCCAGCAATAGACCCTTCCAGGAGAACCTGCGGTGGTTAAAGCCACCCTTGAGCACAAGAGCTGTGCCTGTGAGCCTTTCTCCAGCTGCCTAAAGAAGTTCCCAGGGTGCTACATCTACTCTGAAGTGGCAGATCTTCACGTGGAGCACGAACCTTCCTCCTGGTGCCACAAACCACGAGCTTCCTGCTTTGTCCATTCTGATGCCACCATCCATCACCCATTTAACCACGGTCTCCAACTGGCACTCCTTCCTTGCCATGTATGGCTCTGCCTCTTGCTTTTCATGAAGGTGCTTCCAACAAACTCTTCCTCACTTCCATTTCGGTGCAAAGCATGTTCACCTCTTCCTTCTGGAACCGGCAGTGCAACTGACCCGACCAGAACACATCTTCCCCCGGGGAGGCAACAAAGGCTGTGTCTTGTTCCTCTGTGGGGTTCGCTCCCCGCCGGGAGCCGAAGGAGCCCGAGTCAGCTCGGGGAGAAGCAGCGCCGCAAACACGGCGCTCGCTGCCGCCCCGCTGGCCGCAAGCCGCGGCCGCACAGCACATGGCAGCCTCACGATGGCGCCGTCCCGCCGCTGAGGGGAGCCGGGGCGCCCCGATGTGCTTTAATGAACAGAAATCCACTTGAAGACATTTCGGCCCCCGCTGTCGTAAACAGCAGCTGGTTTATTCGAAAGGTGCTTGTCTTGCCGCTGGCTTCCAGAAAGGAGAAAGCGTAAAATGCAGATTTTATCTTTGACAGTCTACTCAACAACGGTTTGCTCAGGGTCACATGCCAAAACTGGGGGAACAAAATCCCCTTTGAATCAAGCCCTAAAAACAAAAATCACATTAACTGGTTCCTCAGCGTTAGGTTCATGTAACTAGCCCATACTTTTCAAGCTTTGTTTCAAGGTTTCAACCTTTCAAGGGTTGTTTTGAGGCAATTCCTGCTCGCTGGCTGCACCCCGTCCGTGCTTGACCCACCCACCTTTCACAAAGCCTCGAGTAACTCAGCAGCAAAGGTTTGTGTGTACGCTGTGGGGCTTTGCACACCACAGATACCTACGATGTTCAGTTCAGCCTAGTAACTCCAGAGAGAGCAAAAGTAGTGTTTTAAAATCCTCAACGTTTTCTCAGCCACTCGTTATTCAGCAACAATTTTGTACTCTTTTGGAAGATGAATTTCTGATAGTACACCTACTGGTTTAAAGGAGGTGGTTCATACAGAAGTGTAATTCTAGCTTAGAAAACTTTGGGAAGGCTGAACCTGCCTTAGAATTGTACCAGATGCTATTGTTCTGTTTTCCGTAACTTTTCACCATGACTGTCTCAAGGGGAGCTACTAAAGCAGTACTATCTCAGTGTGCCCTAGGGATGTGGTTACAGGAAGGTGGTGATTGAAAAGTAAAACCAAAGAATGAAACAGCTGTGTAGACAAAAAGCCCAACATACCATAATTCCAGCAGCAACAAATAAACACGGATAGCAAATAAATATACATTTTGTTACAGAAAGCACATTATGCTCGGGAAGCATAAAGGCAATGACAAGTAACATGGTAATAGGAAACCTGATGGACTGGTGTCTTTGTAGCTAGGTCTTTAAAACAGACTTTATGAACAGTAACACTTATTTTCCCAAACACATTAAACTAATTTAACTGGTAAACCATTTGACTTGACTGCATTCAGTACGTGAAATGTACAAAATCTGCAGTCAGGACTCAATGCTGTCACATGGCCTGAAATTAACAGTCCATTATATACTGTGTGGAGATAATTAGTTGTGGGATACCTACATTTGTACTGTCTGCTTCTTTTCCTCAAACACCGAGCAATTTGTTACAATCATTTATGTATTTCACAACACATAATTTCATTTCAGAGTAGTAATACTCCAACAGGTAAAACCATGCTATTTATTAATCTCATATACTGTTTCAATAGCAAAGTCATTATTCCAATGGCATTTGCTCATAACAGGAAGTTCCTGGGGATTTTTTAATCAAATTGCCAAGACTGAGTAATTAGGCATGAAACTGTTAGTTTAAATGCCCTATTGGCAAATTAGTCCCTGAGGCAACTCCACAGACATCTACAGGTTTAAATCTAGCTCCATCTCTGTGGCTTCCAAAGTTATATTGGTTAATAGTGGCATAAAACTGCTGCATTTCTGCATTTCAGTGGGCACAGAGGTGAGGCTAGAAAGTGGCTTCCAAAGTCATTCTCTATAGCATGGATTGGATGACAGCAGGCAAGCCAGAAGGGAAAAGAGATGGCCCACTGCATCTATAATTACATAGAAGAGTAATTACAAAAGCTCGCAATGTAGGTGTGGGTTGGTCACAGTCCTTATTTAAACAGAACAGCTATGACAGGAACCAGGGAGACTTTGCTCCACTGAGAGCAACTTTGTTGTTGCTGTTGTTGTTTACTCATTAAACCATTTAATAGATATCTACTCATACCCTAATCTTCAGAGAGCAAACAGCAAGGGACCATCTATGCTCACAGCAGTGTCTCATTAAAGTGATTAACATATTCATTCACAAGGCAGAAAACAAATACTTCTACTCTCAGATTTTCTTCTTACCTCCACAACTTCCTCGTATTCTTCTTCCTCCATTTTGAGGGTATTCTTCTGTCTCTCCCCCACTCACTGGTCATGCAGCAAATGAAAGAGTGAAAACAGCATTAGCCCAAGACTGAAAATACGATGAACTAATAACGTTCATAAAATGCCTGAGGTCATGGTTAGTAACTAGTCAGATTATTACAATGTTGTTGGCTACTTAGTGAAAGAACTTGAACAGAGATAAAGTTGAGATCTGGCATTACTTTGACTGTTGTGAGAAAGCATTGGATTAAATTGCAAATATACTAATATATGTTACAATTTTGGACAAATACTTTATTCTAATAGTTGTAACACCAATACTGGAATTCAATAAAACCATAAAAGAAATTAAAAAAGAGGAAGAGAATTCTGGAAGTCTGGTTTGGGTTTATTACAATAAGGTTATTTGAAGAATTTCCCTGTGACTATTTTATACTATTTCATGACATTATTCAAGCTCCTGTTTGGACGGGAGCTCTATCTATCTATTCTACTATATTAATTCATAAGTAAAAGCATAATATGGAAAAAGTTTGTATATATTTCAAGGGGCCATAGTTTAATGTGACAATTTTTGTCTTCCCAGCATTATAGATGGTTGTTTTTTTGTTTAGCTCTTGTGACTTTTTTCTCTCTGTTTCTTCAGACCTGGAAAATATGAAAATCCATACCACTGGCTAAACTACAAAGTACAGATGACTGTCAAAACCTTTACACAAATTAATTAACACAGCGATTTTGCTGTGAGGCAAAGCTATGATTTTCCACCAGAGAGTACAGCTCTATTTCTAACGCTGGTAGGGGATGAGGCTTTGGAACAGCTGTTCCTGAGTCCAAAGATATTTGCCATGTAAGCTAATACTACCAAATGACAGGGTGGTTTTGTTTAGCTGGCTAAACTGCAATTCCTTCTGGGGCAAGTGAAGTCTAGTAATCAGGTTAAATATAGGAACACAAAATACTGTCCCTTTTTAGTTTCAATGTGTTGAGAAAAATTAAAAAAAAATTAAAAAAATTGTTAAATCAGATTCTTAACTATTAAAATACATGAAGAATAACTCAGAAAGTGGCATGTTGTATGAACAAGTAGGCCAAAGTTTATGAATAAACCCAAGAAGCAGAATTGTATATAAGGACAGAATCTATACAGTCACTACTGTAACCTTCAGTTACACTTCCAAAACACAGTTCTGGGTCCTTTCCTCTTACTTCAATTTGCTACTAGTCATCCAGACAGAAAATCTGACTTCCATGGGCATGGCGCAATGACTATACCCAAAAAACTACAGAATTGGTAAACAACTCAAGATCCTATTCTAAGGAAAACAAGTGAAGTGTGATTAAAATGTTCTTACCAGCAACATCTAGTAAATATCCTTAGGAGCAAAGCCTCTCCAGTCCTCCCTCCTGAGCAGCACTGGGCAAGAGCAAGCCTGATAGAGCATCAGCTCCTAATTACGTATGTGAATAGCACAGCCAATCTGGCTCCAGTCTGCTCAAGTTTCAGCCCTAAATATACTTGGTGACCCCAGAGGAGGCCACCTGTTCTCAGCAACATGAAGGAAAAAGGAGCTGGGCACTTCTGTGCTCCTGAGGAAACCCAGAACACACCAGAGCTTGACTGTACTTCACCTTTTCTCCACTGAAATGGTTCCCTAGGCAAATCCAAGGGAGCACTCTAATGGAAAACCATGCACATTTTCTTCTTTCAGCATTGATAATAATAATTAATTTAAATTAACAGATAAGTTCATTCATGTATTGCACCTGAATCAAAATTACCTGAATTCAAGAATCTCTGAACTTCAGAGAAAGGAGAGAGGACTCTAGACTTCAAATGAAATTTTTAGTATCAGCCTGTCCTTAATTTCATCCCTTAAGTATACTGGAAGTGCTTTATCAACTTAACTAGAAGTGAAGTTGAAATCGTATGTCTATAGTTTTATCACTTCTTATAGAATAGAATAGTTAGGGTTGGAAAGGACCTTAAGATCATCAAGTTCCAACCCTCCTGCCATGAGCAGGGACACCTCGCTCTAAACCACATCACCCAAGGCCTCGTCCAACCTGGCCTTGAACACTGCCAGGGATGGAGCATTCACAACCTCCCTGGGCAACCTATTCCAGTGCCTCACCTTATATCCAACCTAAACATCCCCTGTTTAAGTTTTAACCCATTACCACTTGTCCTAGCACTACAGTCCCTAATGAAGAGTCCATCCCCAGCATCCCTATAAGCCCCCTTCAGATACTGGAAGGCTGCTATGAGGTCTCCACGCAGCCTTCTCTTCTCCAGGCTGAACAGCCCCAACTTTCTCAGCCTATCTTCATATGGGAGGTGCTCCAGTCCCCTGATCATCCTCATAGCCCTCCTCTGGACTTGTTCCAACAGATCCATGTCCTTTTTATGTTGAGGACACCAGAACTGCACACAATACTCCAAGTGAGGTCTCACAAGAGCAGAATAAAGGGGCAGGATCAACTCCTTTTACCTGCTGGTCACACTCCTTTTGATGCAGCCCAGGATACGGTTGGCTTTCTGGGTTGTGATTACACACTGAAGCCAGCTCATGTTCATTTTCTCATCGACCAGCACCCTCAAGTCCTTCTCCACAGGGCTGCTCTGAATCTCTTCTCTGCCCAGCCTGTAGCTGTGCCTGGGATTGCTCTGACCCAGGTGTAGGACCTTGCACTTGGCATGGTTAAACTTCATGAGGTTGGCATCAGCCCACCTCACAAGCGTGTCAAGGTCCCTCTGGATGGCATTCCTTCCCTCCAGTGTATCAACCGAACCACACAGCTTGGTGTCATCAGCAAACTTGCTGAGGGCGCACTCAATCCCACTGTCCATGTCAGCAATGAAGATGTTAAACAAGACCGGTCCCAACACCGATCCCTGAGGGACACCACTTGTTACTGGTCTCCAGCCGGACATTGAGCCATTGACCACAACTCTTTGTGTGCGGCCATCCAGCCAGTTCTTTATCCACTGAGTGGTCCATTCATCAAATTGATGTCTCTCCAATTTAGAGACAAGGATGTCATGTGGGACAGTGTCGAATGCTTTACACAAATCCAGGTAGATGACATCAGCTGCTCTACCCCTGTCCATCAGTTCCATAGCCCCATCATAGAAGGCCACCAAATTGGTCAGGCAGGATTTCCCCTTAGTGAATCCATGCTGGCTGTCACCAGGCACCTTGTTGTTTTTCATGTGCCTTAGCATGCCTTCCAGGAGAATCTGCTCCAAGATTTTGCCAGGCACAGAGGTGAGACTGACTGGTCTGTAATTCCCCGGGTCATCCATTTTCCCCTTCTTGAAAATGGGGGTTATATTTCCCTTTTTCCAGTCATCGGGAACTTCACCTGACTGCCATGATTTTTCAAATATGATGGCCAGTGGCTTAGCAACTTCATTTGCCAGCTCCTTCAGGACCCATGGATGGATTTCATCAGGAGCCATGGACTTGTGCACGTTCAGATTTTTAAGATGGTCTCAAACCAATTCCTCTCCTACAGTGGGCCCAAGGTCTTCATTCTCACAGTCCCTGCGTCTGCCTTCCAAGACTTGGGTGGTGCGGTCAGAGCCTTTGCTAGAGAAGACCAAGGCAGAGAAGTCATTCAGAACCTCAGCCTTCTCCAAATCCTGTGTAGCTAGTTCACCCGAGAGCTTCCTGAGGCGGCCTACGTTCTCCCTAATCTGTTTTTTATTTGCTATGTACCTGTACAATACCTTCCTGTTATCCTTAATATCCCTAGCCAAGTTTAATTCTAACTGGGCCTTAGCTTTCCTAACCTGAACACATGGATGCAGGAACATGGGAAAACTGACTACTTGCAAAGAAAAAACTTCCAAGGAACACAATTAACATTCAATATGCCTGGTGAAGAAAGACTAAGAATACATGATAAACAGAATAAGTAACATGGGAGGAACTCCAATGCACAAATTATTTCAGAAGGTCATGAATTATATCATGGATGGAGTAGAATCACAGTAATGATAACAGAAGTGACCTCTTAGGCCATCTAGTTATCTCACATGATAGGATTGGCTTTAGTTCTTCAAGAAGGCCCATTTAAAAGCCAGTATCAACAATGATCTCTTTTCATGCGCTATATTACATAATTCAGTAAATGACTGTGAGGAGACCTTGAGAGACATCTTCTTGTTCCTAAACACTTTCTACAAGCTAATATTTATATCCAGATGAAATATCATATCTCATTCACTACTGCCAAGAATTTTATACTTTGCACAGACACAGAGCTGTAGATCCTTCCCTTTTTCTTTTAGGCAAGCTATATTCTTGGAATTACTTAGCATTTTACTTCTCTAAGCAATCCTTCCCTTTTAATCTTATTTCTGTTTATTTAAAAGTCCTTCAGTTTCTTAGCGTCTTCTTCTGAAGATGTTCAGAAGTGAATATAGCATATTAATGGAGTCTTACAAGAGCAATGCCAGGTTAACCGTCTGCTCTGTGATCCAGATCTCATGTGTGTGCATTCCAGAAATGACAAAGTCATTTTTTCTGCAAGTACTGCTTTCAGTTGGTTAGATGCATAATGTGCATCTGTCCTGATGGTATTTCTGACAAAACCAGCAAGCATTTTCAAACAGGATGCAATTCTCACTACAATTTTTCTTGCAAGTTCCTGAAAATAATTGCTCCCTTAGTGATACACTCTGCAACTTCCAGGTTACTAGAGCATCTCCCTCAGATTCTTTTATAGTGCCATTTGTACATCTTATTTATAAAGATACTAAAGAAGGCCAAAATTACATGCAAAATGCAAGTACCACTTTTTTTGCTATTGAAATGCAGATGTCTTTGGTTTGAAACATGGCAGATCTTTAGCAGCAGACAGGGCTGCAGTTCAGGGCTGGAAATGAAGCATGGAATAAACCATCAAAATTACAGAAGGGGTTTAAGAACCAAAGGTATTATCGCCTAAATGAAAGGTTGGACAAACATAACATTTGTGCCCTGACATCAGAGCATGAAGAGGGTAGGAGAGTGCTCTTAGGTCACCTACAGCTGCTGGCAAATCTTTCAATTCCTACATATGCTGCTTTGCTCTTTCAGCTCCAAATCTCTGGGAACAACTCTCACAAAACTACCACTGCTACCTTCAGTTTTGTTTAAAATCGAAAAAGAAACCCCCCAAAACTAAAACAATCCACTATGCATACTGTGATTTCTACTCAAGTCCACAATTTAATTTTATTGGTGGAACTTTGGTGTTCACTTGCTTAAGTGCTTTTGTCTACATGCAACACATACCAATAAATGGACCCTTATCACAGCTGTCTATATATGTTATTTATTGTATATTTATATATAATACCTAAACACATGCTCACCAATCTTTACATGTGTATAGACATACACTGGTCTTCACTGTGGAAATAAACTATTATGCTCATTGTTTCATTTCATATCATTTACTTTATCTGGACAATTAAGATGTCAGTGTTACATATTCATATAAAAATATCAGCAACTATTGCATGCTGAAGTAGAACATGCATGAAGAACGGAGTACTAGTGGTTAATATTCCCTTAATATCTTTTTTAATTGCTTTATTATGAACATTTGTGTTTATCACTCGGATTTCAAGTTACTCTGATAGAATACTCTAGGAATACCAATTCGATTTTCTGGGAGACAAATGTTTTAAAGGCATTAGGAAAATTCTGCTGTAGTTGACAGCCTGGCGGTTCTAGTGCAGGTTAGCACACCAGACCAGACTGTTTTATCCACAATACATAGATATCCATGCACTCGCTGGTTTTGAACTAAACAGACAGAATGCTGTGAGGTGACTGAGGTAGAGGAAGGTGTTGTTTTGCATCCAAATGGCCCAACATCTTAAAGGAGAAAATATTTTCTTGTACTTAACTTTTTAAAATATTAAGTTTGCTCAGTCCTACTTACCAAAGAGTAACCACTTGGGCCAGGGGGAAAGGAAGGAAATAACACATGGCCTTCTCTAGATTTGTTTAGAAGGTACATGGTACTAGAACTACAAAATAACAGCCTACAAATACTTGTTCTCCCAACCCACACAGCATTCACATACAAAAACTCGTGGTTTTGTTTTGGTTGTTTTTCTAGAACTGCCTTTGGCTTGTTTTGGGAAGGAGTCTTTCAGCTATGAAAAATACATAAACTAATCCTTGAGCCTGATCAGTAGAGGAGCAAGGACCATCGGACAGCCACTCTGTAACCCACTTGTCCCAAAAGACAGAAATTCTAGTTTTCCCCAGTTTCCCTGATAGTTACTGACATTTGTGTATTGGCTTGGTCATTATTTCCCTTACATTTCTCTTATAGTGCATCCCTCTCTAGATCCCAAGGTAGAATTTAGAAGACTTTTGATAAGCCAAGGCCACATCCCACATTATGAAACCCAGCTAGTGCATATCACTGAACTGCAAGCCTGCAATTACCTCTTGAACACAACTTCAAG